TGCGTGGGTGTTTCTGTCTGTTCGTACTTGTGTGCCAACAGTTAGCTTATATATTTTATCAGGCACATTCATTTCAGTTTGAGTCCAATATTATGTGCAGGTTTGCAGAATCTGGAGAGCTTGCACACTCAGGACCTTGATCCTTGCTCTCAATACTAAAAGTATTGCCACCTTACCAGGAGCCTTGACAATGGTGTTGGGCGGAGTATGTGCAAGTATTGCTCCCTCATGCATGCACTTCCTATTTTCCATGTGCGTGTGTTTGCTGTTGTTCACCAACAGTCTGTTACTCCTCCGTCGAGTGCACCACAAGCCATGCGCCGTAAGTACTTTTTTGTATTTGTTGTGTGTGTGTTGGCAGAGCGAGATTTTGATTTTTTTTATCAAAGACATGCCTTAGTTTCGTTGTCATGAGCAACTCTGGCCAGTGGAACCGTACAAAATCACGCAGAGTACCTGGTTATGGAATTTGTATTTGTATTTATTCAACATTTCCTGGCTCGTCAAACGACTGCCAATGACAAATGAATGTGAAATGAAGGGTGACTATCCGAAACAGTAAAAAGTAAAAGGCATGAAGGAATCAAGAGTCGAAAATAACCCAAGGTTAACTTAAGAGAGTACAGGTGACGATAAGTAGAGGCAGGCGCAGTTAGCCAGAGATAACACGTATAAAATCCTTGATATCAGTGCATGATTTAAGGCTTAGAGGCAGAGCAGACCATAGGGAGTATGCGGAGAAGAAAGGAGACTTCAAGTACAGAGAGGATCGGACACGTGGTAGGGTTAGCGCATCACGAGTATAGCCATTGCTAGAAAACCAGTTACATGCATTAATATGCCGTGGAACCTGCGCGAGACGTATTCTATGGACAAGGCTGCAAAGATGTTGCTGGTATCGGTCAACAAGGGGGGTGAAGAAGCAAGAGTATAGAGAGTTTCAGATGAGAATGTTGGGTCTTTGCGGAATTTTTTAAAGAGTAAGCGCTGATGTACTTCTAGCTTTCGAAGAAGCCGTTTTGACAGGCCACACCAAGCAGTATCACAATAGTCAAATATGGGTAAGATATAGGCCCTAAAAAATATTATTGTCTGCAACGATCAGGTAGATATTGACAGTGAGGCTGTAGAATAGCTATAGCAGAGCTGGCTCGCTTGCATACATAACTGACTTGTTGGCGCCAGGAGAGCTGGCTGTCTATGATAACGCCAAGTTGCGTGTGCTGGTCCACAATAAGGATGGGGGGGGGGGGGGGTACTGTAAGATGACCGGGAAAATGCAGTGGTTGAGCGGGAGGGGAAGGGGAAATGTACATTGCCTCGGTTTTCGCGAGGTTGGGCTTTAGTTTCCATGTCTCCATCCAGGATACGATGGTGTTAATGCCATGCTGCTGCAGTCTGTGCACATAAGTGAAGTGTCGTCTGCAAACAGACTGACACCGGACACTTGTTAGGGTAGATCATTAACGTAGGTTAAAAACAGAAGCGGGCCAAGGATTGATCCTTGTGGAACACCAGACTGAACAATCAATGGATCAGACAAAGTACCAGACACGCGTACAGTTTTATTATATTACTATTATTATTACACCTTCCAGTGGCTAAAGATGAATCAGTGCCAATATAGATGAGGAGGGGATGTTTGCCAGCCATGGCGTAGAGAGAAAGTATAAGAAGTGTGGTGGTGCACCAATACATGTACCATGGTAAGTAACAGAGGAAAGGGAGCAGTACAGCCGACATGAGACGACCGAGACTAAACAGGTATACTGACTATTGAGTTGGAATGTTGAAATGCTGATTTGCAAGATTGCGAAACGAGGGAAGCGACTTTGCCTGACGGACATGAAGGGGCAGCGCCAGCCATTTAGTATAAGAGCTGAAAAAGGGGGAAGATACAAACAGAGATGTGGTAGCTCGGGGGAGACGGACTTTACTACGTGTGGGGGAGTTTGAAACAAACCAATTAAGTTACTGTAGGTGCGGGGGGGGGGGGGGATATGCCAAGGTAAATTGCGTGCACAAGACAGCACATTATAACATCGAGATAACTCTGCAGGGGGGGGGGGGGGCACAGGTTGCAATTTTGTACAAGTCCGAGTTAGAAATGTAGCGGCCAGTTCTAAATATCATGCGGAGGATACGGTGGTTGAGAATTTCCAACCTCTCCAGTTGGGACTTCGTAATGGTAGACCATGCAGGGTATCCATAAAGAAAGAGTGGAAGAATGTAAGATTTATAAAAACATACCTTACAACTGGTGGGTAAGTGAGAGAAATGGGACGTCATGATGCCTACAGTACGTGAAACACGGGACAAAACGTGGTCAGTGTGGGCAGACCAAGATAGAGAAGAATCAAATACAATGCCAAGATGCTTATGGCTAGATGTACTAGTTAATGATGACGCAGGGGGTGAATCGGGGAAACGGAAGGTGGGAAGGGGATCGGGAAGAGATGGAAAGAATAGGAGTTCTGTTTTATCTACGTTTGGGCGCAGAAACCACTTCCGCATCCAATTTGTAGTGGCGGATATCTTCTCCTGAACAATGGGGTAGAAGCTGGAGTAGGTCGGCGACGAGGCAAGGGCAGCAGTGTCATCCGCAAACAGGGACACATCCGGAATCTCGTATGGGAGGTCATTCACATAGACTATGAATAGAAGAGGCCCCAGGATTGAACCTTGAGGCACTCCAGACGTGACAGGCTTTGACCCGGACAACGTACGTTTGACGGCGACAGGAGGGGTGTGATGACCACCACTGGAGGGCGGGACCACGTACGAGGAATGATGACTCTAGCTTGGCTTGGAGACCACGGTGCCACACAGTGTCAAACGCTTTCGACAAGTCGAAGAACACCAGGCCAACATGTTCTTTCACGTCGCGGCTGGTATGAATATCTTGCACGAGGCGTGCCAATTGAAGGTGTGTAGAGTCCCCTCGGCAAAAGCCAGACAGAGCGGCAGATAAAGCAGGGGAACCATGGTGATACAAAGATTCGTGGAATACATGCTCGCAAACCTTGGATATTGCTGGGAGAAGAGAAATAGGCCGGTAGTTAGCAGGATCTGTGCGAGGGCCTTTCTTGTATATTGGGACGACAACAGCAGACTTCCACGCTGTTGGAAAAGCTCCCGAGCGAAATGAAAGGGTAAAGAGGAGACAAAGTGGATAAGCTAGGGAGGGGCAAGACATTTGAGAACTTCGTTAGGGATACCATCTTCGCCTGGGGATTTGACCGTTTCCCTGTTGACGTGGATGAGGGCAACGCCAGGAAAAGTGGCCGATTTCTCCGCAGTTGAAGCAGGTTCTGGGCCCTGTGTTTTGTGGCCTGTTTGGCTGTCTACTTTGCTGCGTATCTTGAGCCAGCCGGTCTAAGTTGCGGTCAATGCTCTTTAAGAGTGAGATCGTTCACAGTAGCTGTTGCTGCAGCGACCTGAAAATGCTCTGAAGGCAATGCAGTACGGCTTGGAGCACGCATTGCCTCCATTTGGTACGCAGTGGTGATGTTAATTGCTCTTTGGACAGCTTCATCCAATGTGTTTGGCCTATTAGATGCTAGCTGCAGGTGTACCTTGGACGTGTTCTGCCCGTCTATGAACCTTTGCAGGACAATTCTCTCAACAATATTTCCTCCTTGGCGCGGGAAAGCGCGTGCTGCTAGAGTAACGTAAAGCTGCAGCAAACGCTGGCTGTGTTTCATACAAGAGTTTTACCCTGGCCCTGAGTTCCACCTCCCGCAGCTGTTGCTGTTGCACGGGCTCGAAGTGGGCTGTCAGATTCGTGGATAAAACTTGATAGGTGTCGTTTGGGTTTGCCGCCCGCACGGTATTGAAAGTCTGATGAATGTGTGTCCATGTCCCTTGAAAATGCTTTACTATCGTATTGGACAGTTGATCTTCACCCGTGATTTTGACTCCATGTGTTGTTGCTCTTTCACATGTACTGACTAGTGGCCTGTTTTATGTTGATGTGTCCGGTGCGTAGAGAGCCGGATTCGTCAGGATTCCAGCACTCGGTCTTCATTTGCCAGTACTGGCAGCTCGCGTGAGTACTACTGCCTGAGCACATACGTCTTCATGTAGTGTTGTGGTTCAACCATCTACATGTACAGTAAAGTTCCCGCGAGAGCACCCCTTACTTTTACAGCCAGGGAAAGGGAAATCGTTTGGCAAAGGGCAAACCAGTTTGTACGGTGTGAGAACCGTAGTGTCACAATGTGAGTCCAAGGTACGTGCCGTATGACCTACAGACGGGACACCACCTCCACAGCATGACCACGAAAGGACGAGTTGGTGGGGCACTCTCGCGGTACTTTACGGTACTTGATGTACATGTATCATTCCATGAATCCATCACAGTACTTATGATCCTGTGCTACAGCCATCTACTTTAAAAAATGTCACATGACTTCGAGGGATGAATCCATGACTATACTTATGGTCCCATGTTGCTACAGTGAAGTGAATCGCTGTGGCTCTGTGTACCTGGCAGTGCACGACTGTGAATGTTGTGTCTGCATTACGAAATCATAGAGCATGCAGTCTTTGTCGATGAATCGGATACGTCACCCTGATTATTGTTGTTGCTGGTGGTGCTGTTGTCATTGCTGTTATCCAGGTGCTGACTCTGAAATTGATTTGAGCGACAGTGATTGTAAGTACAAGCAATCATTTTCAGGAATTTGCATGTGCATCCATTCATCTCTCATGCTCACTAACTTTTAAAGCCTGAATGGGAGTGGTACTAGTACGTGGTTGGCTAACACCCGCTCTCTTCACATTGGCCAGTGTTCCCACTGCGCCTGGATGTGCTGCAATAATGCCGGTACATACAGTAAAACCTGATACGGCGACCACCTGCCTCAGAAGACCACTGCAACCAGGACCAAGGGATGCTATTTGCAGCCAAACAACCCTGGATATGGAGACCACATTTTGCAGGTCCCTTGAGCGGTCGTCATAGACAGGGTTTCACTGTACAGTCGTCCCTCTCTAATCCGGCACCTTTTGCTACGGCGTTTTCTGCTGGATTAACGAGGGTGCTGGATTAAGAAATCCTGCCCTCTGACCCGGCCCTACCCAATTGCATGCATGTATCATACGTCAAAACACAGGGTTTTTCCGTGTCGACCCAAGTATTTGGTGCACGGCTTTATATTCTCAACTGTTCTCCAGGAATATACACAGTGATAAAGTGATAAAGTAAAACAGAGAACATGTTCACATGTACTCTTGCACACACACGCACCTGAAAATTGGCAGGACACTACTATTGAGTTAGGGTTCGGAAAAGTCCTAACAACCAACCGAACTGAACTCTCCCGCGCGAGGTAGAGTACACTTGTCAACTGAACTGAACTCTGAAGTGGCCCCGCGGCACTGACCAGACTGGCCTAGCCTGGCCTGGCAAGGAGTGCACCTGTACAGTACGCGATTTACGACTGCCGGATTATGAAATCAAACTACGTGCAGTTTGAGCGATTCGTTCCAAAAAGTCACTGCCGGAGGCGGAATTCAAGTGCCGGATTAAGATGGAGGAATTGAACGAAAAAAATCGGTTTCGTCAGAAAGTGCGCCGGTTGGCAAGGGTTCCGGATAAACAAGTGCCGGATTAGAGAGGGACGACTGTATATAGGTTGGCGTAGCGCTTGACTTGCATGCTTGTACTGTTCTGTCTCTTGTGATTGGGGTGTGTAGTGCGACCATGTTCTGTGTGCCAGAGTGTGCTGCTGTTGTGGTGTTTATTTGAAGGGAATTACCAAAACAGGCCTGACATAGTTACATTGGTCGTACTGAGCCGTACTGAGTACCATATCAAACTTTGTGGGGAGAATGCATGACGCCCTTTTCAGACAAAGAAACTGGTATGTCTGATTTTAGACTGGTTTCCACTACACACTCAAGGAACGCCGTGTCAAGAGAGCATGTTCCACTCCACCTTTTCACACTACATTTCGGCATTCAGCGCCGTTTCAATGCATTCCTTCCCAAGTTTGCTGCAGTGCGCATTCTCCTCAATCGAGAAACGTCACACATCCTTGGCTGAGAAACGTCTAATGTATCCTATGGTTGCCGGTGTTGCGTTTATCCCTCTCACTACAGTCATGCTTGCTTATGTGTATTTGTGTGTGTGTGTGTATGTGTGTGTGTGTGTGTGTGTATGTGTGTGTGTGTGTGTGTGTGTGTATGTGTGTATGTGTGTATGTGTGTATGTGTGTATGTGTGTGTGTGTGTGTACATGTACGTGTACGTTGGTATGTGCGTGTTTATGCTTTCCTTGCTCCTCTGGCCTGCCTGTTGCCAACGTTGTGTAGCTATTATGACAGATGACGCCTCTGAAGCGGCTGGCGATGCAGTCATACCCATCCCGACAACAGCATACGCAGGTCAGTGCAGTGTGCATGCTGTGCTTGATGAAAGTACAGACATGTATGGTACTGTAAATCCTCGTGTGATCATGCCAGTTTCGACTTGATCTAGCACACGATTTTTTAAACTTACACATTGGTTTCTCTTGTCCGTTTGGCGTACGCGAAGGCTAGCCAAGCTTGCTTGGTGATGCCGACGCGAACAAGCATAATGAAAATAGGTTTGTTCGCCTTGCCCAGCTTTGCCCGACTTTGCCCAGCTGTGTGGGTGCTGTTGGTGACGGAGGTTTGTAGCATCACTGTCCCCCCCCCCCTGTTTGTGCATGTGGTGTATGTATTCCAAGGCTTTTCCTAGGCTGCTTCCGGCTTGCCTGCAAACCTTGCATCCAGGGGCACACAGAATATAAGTATTATAGTAAAACCTGCCCTAACCGGACTCCCTTGATGCAGCGGAAACTGTCCTGGTATCACAGGATCCGCTTGGTCCAGGAATTCATAATTGATCCACAGCACTTTGGTGCATGAACATTTTTCCGGGTCAATACAGGATCCGGCAAAACACAATTTTTTTACTTTGTGGTTAGAAAAGCACTTTACGGTGTACTGATGTGTTCTATGTCGGTGTTGATCCCCGCTGCAGCCCGTCCAACTGAAGATCAGCTCACTACCATTGAAACAAGGTCAGCCATCCGGCTCTTGCCTTTGAACTACAAGTATCTTCTCCTGTAGATAACGTTGACTATAGTTCTGTTATACTGTTGCATAGTAGAGTAGTGCCAGTATTATATCAGTCGAGGGAGAAGTCAGCATTTGACCGCAGTAAAAGTGCAGCGACAGAGGCACTCAGTCCGTTTTTTCGGACAGTGCACGTATGCCATGGGAGCAGGAGTTCAGTATGTGTACAACAGATCAGTGAGAAAAAGCTCTATTGTTGCTACTCAAAGTTCCATGTTGTTCACTGGCATGTTGCAGCAGTGAAAGTACGCAATGCATTAACGACTTTCACCATACATGTGAGCGGCGTTAGTGGCCGGTGCAATCCAGAGTTATCATACTCCTGAGTAAGCCATGCTGGGCAATCTAAAGCCTTGCACAATCTACTGTAGTTACGTGAGAAATTGCAGTGCTGTTGTTTTTATTGATGTACATGTATTACTCTGCACCATCATGCTCTCTTCTTGTTACAACACTCCGCCGTGCAACCATACAGAAACGTGGCGTACGAAGGAGACGAGATGAGCACTTCACCGGGATCCATTGCCCGGTCGCTGCTGAGCCGCTATAGCTCCATCACGCTGCACACTGCTTCGGAGCTGCAGTCAGTCATGCAGGAGGACGACATCTCTCGAGCAGTACGTGTATGCTGTTGTGCTTTCGATCGGGCTTGAAATACTTTGTGTACATCGGGTATATTGCCAGGATACTTTAGTCTTGTTGTGGGCGAAATGGGTGTGTGCTGGCAAATAGAACAGATGGTTTGCACGAACCTTGTACTGTTGCATGCATAATTATTAGTCTGTACTTCGAGTCTTTTGTGTAGATCATTTGTAACGTGGGTCTCCCTTTGATGATCCCAGCCATCACCTTGCCACCTGCCATCAACTTTCCCACCTAGCTTCTTAAGGTTGAATTCAACCCTGTCACCACTTCCGAAATACATTGTTAGCACTGCACTTGAACCCGTGCACCTACTTCAAAATTACGAGTTACGTGCAGGCACTGCAATGTGATCACCGTAGTCGTCTTCAGAGACAGGCCGCGCGCGCGCGCGCGAGAGAGAGAGAGAGAGAGAGAGAGAGAGAGAGAGAGAGAGAGAGAGAGAGAGAGAGAGAGGCAGAAGATGTAAGCAAGACATGTTTGCATTGGCTTCTAGTTACTAGGTCTGGGACCGGTGCGGCCGGCGTCAGTGGCAAAGTCATCTCCGACATCCACGCGTGCCAATGCCTCTGGCAGTTTGACAAGGAGTGCTGGTGCGAGTATTGCCACGACTGTTGCTGCTGGTGCTGGTGCTGGTCTGCTGCAGACTGAAGTAGAGGTGAAGCGAGCCGAGGCCGTCCTCTCGGCCATATCTGCTACGCAAGTATGTGTGTGTGTGCATGTGCATGCATGCTGTACTGTACACACTTGTAGCAGTACCTGGCGATCATCCCTCGCACGTAGCTTGTGTTTTGGTCATGGACAAGTTATTGAATTTGGTGGTGATTTTCCTGTACGAACCCTGATAGTAGTAAATTGTTGTCTTCAACATGCCACCGTGGCTCCTAGTCATTGTCATTGTCGCTAACTCATTGCCATGGTCACACACTGTTAGATATTCTAATCTCACTTCTCACTCTCCATCATCGCCGTGCTCAATAACAGTGTGTTTGGTGATGAGAACTTAGCTGATTACGGGTAGTTGTAGTCCTTTCTACAGTGCTGCTCAATGACATCTGATAGCGTGAATCAAGTGTGCGCACTGCCCTTTTTCACATCCCAGTCTCCGCAGGTCTAGGGCTGCACAGCGCCCGGCGTGGCATTCACGCGCTTGATCGGATTTCATCGAGCAGCACTGTACTTCAGAACTAAATATTGCGACAGAGCTTTCGGCCGTGGCGTTCCTATCTGCACTCCTGTGTTCTTGTTGTTGTTTGTTGTTCTTGTTGCTGCATACAACTGCTTTATTCATCATGCTGAGTTAGTCTGACTAGCGTTCATGTGCTCCCTGTTTGCCTCCGCTGTGCAGCCGCGTATCCGTGGCGACGAGGATTGGGCACCGCCGAGGGCTCAAATCATTTTTCTACTTCATCCGCCGCAAAAGTGAGTCCTGTTGCTGCCGCCTGCGATCGATTGCCTCATTCCACGTTTCCTGTAGTTGTGTTAGTTCCTATCCCGAGTCTTGAGATGACTGGCTTATCATCTCGTCACTGTTGTGCATGATCTCATGTTACCGTCTCCGGTCTCCTTGTTTCTCACTCTCAACTAGGAAAAAGCAAGCTGGCGTCAAGCAGAAGTGTCGCTGCGCTGGCTGCGGAATGCAAGTGGAACCTCGTGAGTTTTGCCAATGTCAATGGCCTGAACTAGAGTCATGTGCCTATCCTCATTCTCTTTTGGTGATCTCCTGTGTTTTTGGATATGTTCTCTGTACACCATCTATTTATAGCTGTTTTCTGTTTTTTTTCTGTGTTTTTAATCTTTTAGATCTCATGAAAAAGTTTCGTTACTGCGAGTATCTAGGAAAGTATTTCTGCCACAGTTGTCATGGCAACCAGACGGCGCTGATACCGGCCAGGATACTGCAGAAATGGGATTTCCGCAAATATCCTCTCTGCCTGGATATAATTATTGCAGATTTTTGTGCCTTATGTTTTCATGGCTTTAGTGGTGGGCCAGAGGTCGGACTACTGAAACAAGTCTTGCTGTGTCTCTATCCATGCTAGCAAGAATACGTAACCGTCGTTGCAAGTTAGATATGATGGTGGACGTTTTCCAAGGTGTCCATGCGAGTGCGCACAAGCATGCTCATAGCATGTGCGTGCGCGCGTACACGTGGTGTACTTGCTACAAGCTACAGTTAGTGGTACTGATACCCCAGTCCTGTCGATGACTGCTCTACGGGAGGAGGGAGTTTTGCATAGAAGGTTTACGACTCTTTTACTTGACAAGTGCTGCTTCGTCTTGCTCACACGTTACTGTTCCTTCTGAAGTGCATGTGTTCGTAACTCGTATAATACCTCATCCAGATACCCGTGCTCTATCTGCTCCAACATCCCATCACTCGTTGACTGACCTTAACTGTGTACACGTATTCAGTATCCAACTTTGCCCAGGATCTGCTATCGCACATGTACAAGGAGCCTTTGTTCAGCGTTGCAGCGATCAATCCTGTACTGTATCGCAGAATCAAGGCTTTAGCTACATGTCAGGTACGTCGTCCCTACGTCCCCTTTGTCTTGTTTTTAATTGCTCTCCACATGTTTCTCAATAGGGCCTTGTTCATAGAAATAATTGAACGCTTTCACTGCCAGCTGACCACTCAAGGTGCAGCGACTGCAGTTGACAGTGGTAGTGAAAGGGTTAAAATTACTTCGAAGTAAAAAAGAAAAGAAAGGTATGTCAGGTAACTATGGTTGCAAGCGGAATCGACCCATTTGTCCTTGGACATCAGTACTGGTGTGGACTTGCTTGTACGGGTAAGCTTTCCCTGTGGGTCGGAGGCCATGCCGGCGTGATAGAAGTGGCCCACGACTTGGAGGCAGGCTCATGCAATTCCCATGCGGCGGTGCATGCGTACATGTATGCCCGTGCTCGAACTAGTGGCGGTCCACTTGCCACCACTAGCAGATCTACAACCACTAAGCTACATCTAGTATTCACTTCTTAGTTCTTACTGCTTAAGCAAGTGCACACATTGGCTAGTCATATGTTCTAATATGCATGTACTGCCTACTTTAAACCGAAGTGCATTGCAAGAGACTTGGTGTGATGGATTGGATAACAGCCTCGCCTGTGGGTTGCACTGCTGTGGGTAGCACTACCTTGACTTTTTTTTTTAAAGTATTGAATGAGTTGCCGTGGATGTGCTGTTTTTCTTCTTCTGGTCTGCAGTCAATCCGAGCACAGTTATTCTACTTGAAAGATTTCATTCGATCCTGTCGGCTGGCTCAGAGGTAGGTGCATGCTCTATATGTACATGTTCGTGAACATACAAGAGAGACGAGAGGGTGAGGGTGAGAGAGAGTGAGAGAGAGAGAGAGAGAGAGAGAGAGAGAGAGAGAGAGAGAGAGAGAGAGAGAGAGTGTGTGGGTGAGTGAGTGAGTAAGAAAGATTGTGTGTCTCTCCTTCTCCAGCATATCGAGGCATGGTTGACACAGAACTCACAGCTTGACTTTATCGAACTTATTTATTCTTTTTTTTTAAGAATCTTGTTGAGCGCTACACGCAGCTTCACAAGTAGGAAAGAGTTGTTTGCAAAACTGGCTAAACTCAATCGCTGCATTTCACAAATTCGTTTTGGGGGACATATTTCAATGTGTTGGTCATGAAATAACCATCAGGAATGAAGTGGACACGGGTGGGGTGGGGTTAAAGATGAGCAACACTGCAAGGAAATAATAATTCACATTTATAATATGCACTATGGCAGAAAATGGGCTAACAAAACATTACCAAACTGATACAGGAAATAGTACAATAGATATCCTTTAATAGCTGAAAAAATGCTAACGTAAACGCAAACCTTTCCGTACTTCGGATCGTCCAAGCTGACTTTTCGCTTAGCACAATGTACGTTATAGTTCAGACGAAGTAGTCGTGACAACCATGGCGATGTGAATTTTCGTGGAAACAAGTGCGGGAAATTCAAAATTTTGAACCAGGGATTAGTTTGCTGTCGTTCCGAATGAATACCTTGCCGAGGTTTTTCACTCGGGAATGGCAAAGACAAAATGAGTTTTCGCTGTTCCCAGGTCCTTGGAAAACCTTTCCTTTTTTTAGTTATTTTGCGGTATGCTGTTTTGTCTGTGTATTTTGTGTTAACAGTCTTCGTGAACAGTTTGAGGACCAAGGCCACTGGGTGTCTGAGCCCCATGTCTACTCTATCGAAGACTTTACCATGGTAAGTATCAAATCATTGCAGGCACAGCACTGATGCCAGTGGTAAAGTGCGATCATTACTGGATTTAGCCTGTCGTCTTGAATTTCTCAGACGGGGAGGGGTGGGGGATTGCAGGCTCTCGATTTGACATCAACGTGTCCACCCACACACTCAATAGTTGATATCCGAAAACAAGTTACTTGTTAAAGTTGAAACTGGGGTGTATTGTTTTTCACGTTTTCCGCTCCAACGATCCACCGGTATTGACGAAATTGTGGGCGCGCATAGTTTGTTGATCAGGAAAAACATGTCTTGAATCTTGAAGGGGCACTGCACTCCATCCCTTGTCCAGTGTATCTTTCTGCATGAGTATATGTATGAGTGACAACATTAATGTAGCATTTCAGTCTGAATCATTGCGTCTTGTGTGCCGTCTGCTTCCTGTATGGTCCAGGTTCGGCAGGGCAAGCTCTATGTTATACTGTCATCGCTTGTAGAGGCTGGAGTCCGACACGTGGAATCCTGCCCGGTATGTCATGGGTTGCTTTTAACTTTGAATTTGTCTGTGTGCCTAACCAGGCATGGGTCGGTGGAAGTGGAAGGATTCAGTGGATTGCTGACCCCTTTGCATTGGTTCATTAATGTGGTCTTGGTTGAGTCGTGCTTACATGTTGTGCATACGTGTTTTCCTTTGCCGGACTGGTTGTTTTGAACAAGCTGTTGCCCTGTAGGACTGGTGATGTGTGTTGACTTGCCGCTTACAGCTTTCTGTTTGTGTGTTCTGTGACAGTTATGCCAGGCGAGAGGCTTTGTGTGTGAGCTCTGCAACAAGGGCAGCGTCATCTTTCCGTTCCAGCTGGACAAGTGCAACCAATGCTCAGGTGAGTGTGCGTATGGCTCAGCCCGGCACTACCAGAACTTACGCTGTTTTCTTCGTTTTGCGGTGCATGGGCGCTTGTCGAATCCTACTGCAGGCTCCGTGCAATGACTATGATCGCAGGATAAAAGTGGCGGCTTGGTACTTGATAATTTTCATTGAAACCTCCAGTTGTACGGGATGAACATGAGCTACACAAGACACACCTGACACGATGCATATTCAATCCAGTCAGTGTCACGGCTTGTTGCGAAGTCCCGGAGAAGATTTGAAATGCGGTGTGCACCGATGTAGTTGTGCAGCATGGGATACCTCCACCATGTCCGAATGTACTCCTATTGTGTCAATTGTCTTTGGCCTGCTCTTCCACAACATGTTTCACCCTGTTTTCACTGTGTTGCTTGTGCTTCAGCATGCCGTGCTTGCTACCACAAGCAATGCTTCCAGCCGCAGAAAACGCAATGTCCCAAGTGCCGTCGCCTTCAGAGGAGGTACGTGTGCGCTGTTTGGTGTTCCCCGCTTGTTGGAAATTTGTTTGTCTGTGTCAGCAGTGATGCAGCTTTACTTGATCTTCTCATTGATGTGATGGACACCTTTGGTGACTACTATTGTGTGATGTTTGAGGTTTTCCAATTTGTTTGATTTCTGTTGGTGTTCTGCCATCATTGTGCTGCTACTGCTTGTGTGCTTGTACAGGAGAGAAAGTAGACGTGCTTCGCACCCAATCAGTCCTTAGAGCAGTGTCTACCATTGCAAGAACCGCCGACATGGAGCGATGGCGTCAAGTGTTTATTTTCATTTTATTTTTGATCTGTTGTGGCAATCTGTCGCTGCTACTTGATAAAATCATCTACATGCTATCGTTGCAGATGTCCTATATTATGGTACTAGTTATCAACACCCTGTTTACAGATGCCGTCGTTGCTTTTGTTGTGTCCATTGTGCTTATATACTACCCATCTATCAATCCATCTTTTATTCTTGAGCAAATTTTGGAATCACACTGTCGAATGATATGAGTTTGACCGAATTCCTAGGAGAGTCTACGTTCTTGATCTATGGAACGCCATGAAATTTTTATGAAATGTCTTCTAGTGCGCCTACATATTTAACATAAAACTCACACTAGCTCATTCGACTTCGTTTTTGGTTTTTTTACAATTTTAATTCATTGCCCATGGCCACGCACACTCATGCCTGGGCGTGCTTACAATGGTTTTATCGGTTTTTATAGTGCAACGGCACTCTCTCCCTTTGGTCTCGTGTAGCTGCTGTTCAACTCTTTGTCGCAGACAGGATTTCACTGAAACTCTGGAAATTGGAATGTTTTTTGTTTGTTGTTGAAGCGTTTCTGTTCTGTGTGTGTGTTGCGGGGGAGCTGCGGTACTGGGGGTACTGGGCGGAGAAATCCAACCTCATGAATATAAATAGCGCTGGCCGCTATGCAGCCTTAGCACTACACCCACCCACCGACTGTTCTCTCCGCTATGCAGCCTTAGCACTACACCCACCCACCGACTGTTCTCTCCGCTATGCAGCCTTAGCACTACACCCACCCACCGACTGTTCTCTCCGCTATGCAGCCTTAGCACTACACCCACCCACGGACTGTTCTCTCCGCTATGCAGACTTAGCACTACACCCACCCACGGACTGTTCTGTGCACTCGATTGTGGCGGCGCTACTTTGGATTTCTCTGGCCAGAACTGTCATGTCTAATTGGATATTGATCCTCGAACCATGTGCACATTCAATGAAGGGAACATATTTGGACGAAACTGAGTGCGGTGTTGTTGGCTTGTAAAACTCCATAATTACCGTATTTCCCCGTTATCAAATCGCACCCCCATTTTCAGGTCCATGTCGCAATTATTAATATAGTCACTTCAGTAGTAAGTCGTGCTTGATTGTAAGTCGCACCCCCCCCCCCCCCTTTGTTGGCCCTGAAGTTAGGTGTACAACTTTTTAAAAAAAGGTGTGACTTATATTCGGGGAAATACAGTATGTAATACAGTACAATACTAGTATAATAGAGCCCGTGACGGAATGGCTACATGTATGCGTATGTTGTAAACCAGTGCATGTCCGCTCCCTGATGCAACCCCCTGGAGAAGGTCCTGTGTCCCGACGGTCGCGGGTAATCGGCACTCTACTGTCGTTGAAAACTTGCTGTTGCAAGTTCAGCATTCTTCAATGAATTATGATGTCAGAAAATACAAATTAACAGCAGACAAATAAGGATGGGTAATGCATGATTGACTGTAACTAGAAATGTAAATGTTTAAAACTAAAGCAGAAGCATGCTACATGGACCACACAAACCCATGGCATATCACTAGCAACTAAAAGTGAAGCCTGCATGCCCGCGTTGCAACCGGCTATACAATTGCCAACCAGCATACGGAGTTTCGCTTGTGCCAGCCCACCACCATGCCTGTACTACTTAGCAGTAACAGTAGGCATGGAGCAATGGATGCCTCCAGCAACAGGCGTCTCCTACAAACAACCTAAGTCAGAAGAGTAGGCTCAACATACATACTTATGAGCTTTCTCCTATCGGTTAAAATGTTGCCTCTCCTCAGCAATACGCAAAGTCTCGTGCAAGTCAAGGTCACTAGTAAAAGTTGTCCGTACATGTTCTCCATGGAAATCCATGGCAGCTACAGCATGGTACATTCCCGAACCACATACCATTGGTATAAGCTTGCAGATGACCAAAGCAACCGAATCGTGGTTAGGTGGATTGTTTCTGGAATGTTTGCAGAACATTGTACTAGATGTTCAAAATACTACAGCGATACTCTATGACGGTGGTTCCTCCTTGACACGTGTTATCTTGTTGGGACCGTCAGAGCCACGGCCCTCTCGCCGTGCGTCCGCCGCTCGCTTATTCATGACGGACTTAGAGAGTCGTTCAATTGGACATGCAAGAAGTTCTTCTGCATTGTCCGGCAGCTTGGAGTCGGTCCAGCTGTACCACAGCAGCAGCTCTTCCTCTCTGCTCTTGGCTGGCGTGCGTGCAACATAACGGCCGCAGCGATATGTGTACAGTACACAGCGGTCTACATGTTTGCCCCGTCGGCTGATAATCTGTTGATAGAGTTTCTCAGGATCTTTGCTGCGCAGCTGTCTCAGTGATGTCACGCCAGTAGATTTCAAGTCATTGGCCAGAACTGGTCCAATCACCGTGTCCAGGTCCACATCTTCATTCTCCAGCATGAAGTCCAGTTTCTTTCGTAAAATTTTGCCGGCCTGCACTTTCTGTTTGGGCTTCTGCTGCTTCGCATGACGTGCAGCGGACGTCTTGTGCTCAGGTTTTTTCAAGGGAGGCGTTGACTTTGCAGGCGTCTTCTTCCCCATTCTCAAAGTAGTTCAACATCGCAAATACCCAGTAGCTCGCCTTCAACTCCAGGCAACGATCAAAACCCTGTACTGCTGCTTTTGTTTTCAGCTTGCGACTTGTCCAGACAAGTTTCAAACTACAGTACACTACAGCACGTGTACGTGTGCGCGCGTACTGCTCGCGGGAAATTCGAACGAAAAACGTTTTCCAACTTTTCGTGTCGTACATGTAAATAATTTTTTTATGTTCGCTAATACTTTGATACTCACCTACCTCACCTGTCGTTAGCACCGGTCATGCAGTTGGATCGCTGAGAGAGGTCGAGGGCTTTTTAGCTTGGATCGTATCCGAGAACCGTTGTTGGGGAAATGACGGACTTTCTACCTTACAATGAACGCCATGCTCTTCGCGTGTTGTCTGAAATAGGTGAGGAATGTTTTTTAGAACCACTGACAAGCAACATTATTGTATGGCTTGCAATCAGCAGCATTCTGAAGTCATGGCAACAAACCAGGGTGAATTACATGCAGGACATGTATCATAATTGTAGGTCGCGTACATAATGTACAATACTACACTGTACTGCATGAAGCTGTGTTCCCAACTGGCGCGTGGACGCGATATGCTTGCGGTTCATGCGCGCCCCAGCGCGCGCTCAGGCTTTCACAGAAAGCAGCAATTCGGCTCGTATATAGAGCGTGCGACGCCTTCGAGTACTAATTTTTTGACCCCGCCAGTCAAAGTGGCTGGCATGTACGCTGGTACGCGCCTGATACGCGCTGAAAATTCCATCATGTTTGAATTTCCATTTTGGCGCGTTTCCGTACGCATGACGCCCCAAAAGCCCGAAAAATACGCACAAACGCGTGGTTTCACGCGTACACGCGCCAGTTGTGAACTTCACAGCTTTAGTCATGCACATGATGGTCCTAGTGCAACTGTGCTTCATGTAGGTGCCGGTTTGGCTACTTGCCACTGTCGCCACCACGAGCATACTTTGATTCAATGCCAGTTCCTGGTTCATGGCGCTTATATGAGTCGGCAGTGTGGGCCTATGGACCCCCCCCCCCCCCCCCACCTCCACAAAGGTGTTTGGCAAAGCAAAGCGTCCAGAGAATAACATGAGACCATTTACATTTGATACAACTGTACGAGAACACTGTCTGTCCCGCGGCTGCATTTCAACTCCAAACTTTACTCCATCATGACAAATGTTTACACCACCTGCCTGAAGTTCTGCTCTTTCCTCTCATCATTTTCCAGCACTGCATCCGAACTGAATGTGCAGGGGCGTAGCACCCGCTACGACTGGTACGACCATGGCCGTACCACTTTTCGAAAAGTGTGGTCCGTCGGAACGTGCAAAATCGTAATAAAAAATCAGGATCCATCGATGCATATGTGCATCAGACTTTGACCTTTTTCTAGACTCGTACTCGTAGATCTGCCATGCATCTGTGCATGTCCATGCACATCTCTTCTGACCGTGAAATAATTCTATGACTTTATAAACTGTGCCAGAAGTGTGCCAGAAGTTCCCAGAACGCAGGATTTTGTGTCTTTTTTACAAAATTTTCCCGGGGGAGGTCCCCCCGACCCCCCTCCAAAACGGCCTTCGGCCGTGCCGACCTTCGGTCGTACCACTTCCGAAACCCCTCCTATGCCCCTGATGTGTGCTTTGATCCTTGAGAGTGGTGGCATATAAGGTGTCAATTGCGGAACCATGACGTAGTCTGACTGAGTTGCATGTGGACTGTAAAGTTCATTGTATTTGTTTATTTTGATGTTGTTGACCAAAGCCATACTCTGAGATGCATTCACAGGGGCCGCATGGCAGCCACATCTCCATCCTGATCGGCATGTTTTGATCCTCTGTTGCATTGCAGGGCGCTCGCTGAGGACACTGCTGGGACCAAACAGAAGGTATTCCGTTCCCTCATTTTTGCTATAGAGGTTTTGCGATTGCAACGTATCATTAATCAGCGCATCATTATCATCCCGGGCCGCCAAATGTTGATATGCTTTAGCAAAGTCGCTGCATAGTGCTGCATGCACTAGCGACTCACGCTGCATACATAGCCCCCATATGTCCATGCCCAATGTCCTAACGCACTGTGTCAGCGGCTACATGTATACTCTGTGTTGAGGGTCTACTCAGCACCATGCATACTACCGGGTCGTTTTTATGCCACTTCAGCATAGTAAACTTGCTAACAATTACTGTCATAACTCATAACCTTGCTTAACCTTGGTATTTTCTTCTTCGTTTTTGTTCACTGGCTACACAGGACTAAGTGCAGCGTTGATTCTGATGGAAAGTCGTATGCTCTATTTTCTGACGTTGTCACCTTATTGGACGAGCTTCAAGTGGTGGTAATTTATATGTCAGACTGAGTTTTCCGCATCCGTAGGGGGAGCTAGGGGGGGGGGGGGGAGCTCCACCACGCTCAGGGATCAAGGTGCAGATGCAGCTCCTAAAGCAGTGGAAGATGAGTAGATCAGACCCACCACCAAAGTGGTCAAGGACCGAAAATCCCATTCGCTGCATCCATGTTTACCTTGTCGGCCAGGCTACGAGTTCCCAATTAACTGTGGGTTGCAGCACGGCTGGAAAAGTCCTTTTGCTTCCAACCAGAACATGAACCTGGCACCCTCTGTTCCTCAATCATGGTCGTAGACCATCCCACTATGCCTGCAAGCTATGGATTTCATTGCACATACCTATGTATGTATGTATCTTGTGAATTTCCCGAACTTGGTCGGCTTTAACATTATGCGGCACCAGTAGTCTTGGCATTGTGACCATGCTCTGCATGGCTACAGTGGCTTGAAGTGTCTCATCACTTTCAAAGTCTTTGGCAATTCTTCACTTATAATCATGGTTCTTTGTGTTTTCCTTTTGCAATCTTAGCATCCAGTGGGTACACTATTCCGTGACTTCTGTCACTCTTGTGCCAATCACACAGCATCATGTGTCACAACGACAGCAGTCTTGGTGTGCCTGATGGCTGGCAGCCTTTCGGAGCTACTGCAAAAGGTCAGCTCACACATGTCTGGGTCTTGCGGCGAGTATACATTGCAAGCAGTATAGTAGTAGTATTTATTGTTTTGTTAGGGAAATCCCCACAGACGTTGCCGTCTTTTTACAGGGAACCCTACGTGCTCTTTGCAGAGCGAAATGAAAGCGGATGGTTGATCAGCTTGGCGACACAACATAGGCAGAGAATTCCACCGATCAGCGCCAAGGAAAGAAACAGAGAACATGCCATATCTAGTTTTAGCAGCAGGCAAAGAAATAGACGAGAAGGACTGTCCTCTAGTGCGCCTATCTGTACAAGTAGCAGCTGATTGTAGAGTGAACATAGAGGCACTGAAGTACACAGGCGCGAGCCCCGTATGGGTTCCTGGGTGCCCGGAACCCCCCCCCCCTTTTCGCTCAAAATGCACGATTTGCTTCATTTTTGGAATTTTTCCCGGGCCTCCCCCCCCCCCCCTTCAAGGGCACCAGCGCACGTGCCTGGCACATGTGAACAGTACTTAAAACTGTTGTGAATGGAAGGAACCGAGCACTACTGTGGGAGTACAGTAAAACCTGGTTTAAGCGACCACCCCACGGTGAAAGGCAAAGTGGTCGTTAAAGCCAGGTGGTCTTTAGAACCAGATCCCACAGTGTCTGTGTAGGACTGTCGGTGCATGGAAAAACGGTCGTTAAGAGCAGGTGGTCGCTAAACCGAGAGGTCGCTTACACCAGGTTTTACTCTAAAATTAATTGCAATAATTGGGAGCAATAATTAGGAGCAATAATGTCCCAATGCCCTACTCCAATTTAGGACGACATCAAGACGACTGTGGCATAGGCTGCCACAAAATGAACGACATGGCGTCATAGCCACTCAATCGGAGTTACATTTCACCTCTCCACCTTCCAATATGTTTATGCATGAGTCTCGTAACTGGGTTCATGATCAGACAGTTGAAAATTCACGGCTAATGACCGGCTAATGACCGAGACGTTTAAAATCTCTCTACCGGTGTTTCTGGCACTGTCCACAGTGTCGGCTGTGTGAGTAGTGAATACAGAGCAGACGGCAAGTGTGTAGGTGTAGCTGGATGTGTAGTGCACTTGAGTACCAGAATTTATGCTGATGCAGTGCGCGCGGTTTACGAGTGTACTCGTGCACGTTAAGGTTGTGTCTCATTTGGATTCTTTCTCGTTCAATGTGACTCTGATAGGGAATTCCCCAGGATGTCCTGGTCAAGATGCTAGCCAAGGTATCTGACATCTGTGTTGAGCTTGCCAGGGAGACTGCCATCTCTGTGCTTTCGTTGGTAAGTTAGATCTTGCCTTCACAATCGCAGAAACTACGCACATGTATTACAGCACTGCTCAATGAAATCCAGTCGTGTCATTCAAGTACACGCCGGGTGTTGCGCAGCCCTAGACCTGCAAACACTGGGCTTCGAAATGGTGCAAGTCGCGAACTTGAGTGCCGCGACTGGGTTTCGTTGAGCAGTACTATGGTGTATCCACAGCGCACACAGTATTGCTGACATGCTACAACGTACTTGTAGTACGCGTTGCCATGTGTACCCCGTCGCTTGCACAATAGAAACTGCTACTGTACTGGCATGTAGAGCACACAGTCCACACATGATGCACTGCACAGTACATGTGTTTGAGAATACCAATGAAAGCACTGTTCACAGAAGCGTCGGGCGCACTACAGTTGCTACAGTATTCACCGGCGTACCACTCCTCATCATTGTCACCTTTTTTTCTTTTCTTATAATGACATAATTTAGAATGTGATATCTGGTTGATAAATATGGTGGTAAAGACACACCTGGCAAGATGGCGGTAAACACACGCCTGCCCACACACGCTCTCTAGGCTGCAAATGTGATATCTATTGCAAAAATGTATTATCTACGCATGCATCTACGCAAAAACGCAAACACCCAACCAATTAAGAGATGCGTCATAAGTATTGAACGTTTTCGTCGATATCTATTGCCTCTACATGTTGAAAGTTTTTAGAGTAGGGCCCTGAAGTGCACCTGTAATACATGTTTACGTAACTTACTCGAAGGAAATGTGACATCCGAGGCCATTTTTCCTTGATGGATGAACTGCGATTTAAAAATGCTTTCCATTTTGGGCATGATCGCACCTGCACAGGATGGCACCAATCCCACAAAGTCCGACATCTCTAGCAGAACATCGAGTGACCCGGGCAAGCCGGTGGCTGTGCCTCAGCTACAACACGCTGCTGTTTCTGCTGCTTCAAGTCGCCGGTTGAGACAGGTCAGCCGACACTTTTCTCTGAGCACTTCGGCCGCCAGCCACACAGGCTCGTTGCCATCAGCATCTGAAACGGACAGATGTGCACCATGGCTAAGGAACCTATGGTGAGTTGCAATAATGTACTAAAACAATTTCAGGGACATCTGACCAATTGGTGATTATGAGATGATTTTCAGTACTTGATAATGTGATAGAACTCTGGTAAGATGTACCCCCATGGGCTGCAGCAAGATGCCCCTTCAGTATTCAAGCCGGTACTTCTTATCCTAACATACTTCAGAAGAGATCAATGCGCCCATGCTCCGGACACTGTCCTTACTAAGCCAGACAGTGTCTTCGGTATCAGAGTACGTACTAAGTAAGTTCTACTGTAATGCATGCATTTCTTTAGCTTCCCTAAAGGCTCGTCTAAGGCATAGTCATATTTCATAATACTGGGCCAGCATGACTCGGATGCAAAGAACTTAGTACTAAATATACATAGTCGACTGATCACAATGACCAATGCAAACTCAACATGGTCACTACTGTCTACCGCACATGTGATAATGTATCATGCAACTAACTCTTTATCCAGATAGCATTCTACTCTGCTCCTGTTCGGTTGTGATCCAGCATGGGTGTTAGTCGACAAGGTCTGGGAGGTGTGCTGTATCGGTGCTGCATGTCCATGGTGGATGCGTCTTCTCTGAACCGGGGTACTGAAGTGCTGGAGCGGAGGTGAGCCCTGACGCATCCCATCTGACTGTTGTTTCTGTGCCATCATCCATACTCCTTAACGTTGGCTTAGTTAGATGTTTCTCCTTGCAAACAGTTTGACTTTGTGATGGTGATATTGATGCTGCGACTCAGGTTGAAAATTTGGACCAAGCCTTGCGTCATTAAAAAGCAAGCAAGAATTCATCTTTCGCTCCATCTACTAGGACTTGATAGAGGCACGCTTGGCGTGGTACACTCATGTTTTCTGATCTGCAGGCTCAAGTTCTCAGTCATAGTGCACCCTGTTCTTGGAACATTTGGATCGACACCGTTCGTTCATGAGGGGATTGCTTTGCTTGTGGACGACGGCCAGATGCAAGTGATAGCAGCACGCGTGCGAGAAACACCAGTACTGAACGTCTTGGTAAGTCAGTGTGCCCGGGTGAAATGCAACCACAGCTCTCTACTTGTCGAGACGGTACTTATTACTTAGTTCGCCGTGGTTGGCTACCACCGGACTTCTCATATATATTGGCAGTCTTACGGCGAGCCAGATGTTGAGTAAGAAACAGTTTAACAGTGAAACCTGTCTAAGGCGACCGCTCAAGGGACCTTAGGGATGTGGTCGCTGTGTGCAGGTGGTCTCCTTATCCAGGGTTATTTGACTAGGAATAGCACCACAGGATCCTGGTTGCAGTGGTCTTCTGGGACAGGCGGTCGCCATATTCGAATGGTCGGCTTGACATGTTTCACTGCACAGTTAAAGTTATAAATTGACTTCCAGTATGCCGGTGCTGTGGATGGACAACACTACAACAATACAAGTCAGGAGGTAGTCATTGCAGGCATCGTCTTCAAGCTCTGCTGAGTGCTGTACTGCATGCACGTATGCGCACACTATACATATGTACATCATTACATCACTACAGGTGCTGTGGATAATGTTTTTTCGAAGGCTTGGTGAAAGCTACATAGTCATTGGCTGTTTGTGGATGAATGTGCTAGTAGATTATTGTGTTGTTTCTCGTGCAGCTGGTTGATGGAGATCTTGCTGTCGACTATCATGCGGCAGGTCACCTTAAGACATGGTCATCCAAGGCCTCAGCTTACGTTCGTCCCCCGTACATGGGTCGTCCCACCAAGGAGACAATTTGGCTGGAAAGGATAAGAGAACATCTGGACAAGGTCAGAGAACTAGCACTGCTGTTGTCCACTGTATGATGGTGGATTTGGAATGTTTGTGCTTTGTGTCATGCTCTAGATCTACGTGACAGCGAGTACGAAGTTTGAATTTCCGCACTAGTATCGCAAAGCTATGCTTACATTTGCATTGCACTTGGTCCTTCATTGCAGCTGAACGTACACACGATCGTGGTGTCGGGTGGCGTTGATGATGACGTCATTGCTCTATGTCACTACCTCGCCATACCGGTACTGGAGTGCAGCCATGACGTCATGACAGTGATCAGTTCTACGTATGGACTGATGGCCGCTGAAACACTTCTATCGGCCAACACGGTGAGCATCGTTGTGTTAGCTTACTGGAAGCTGCATCACTCCATGGTGTTACCGTATCAACACGGACGATGGGGCTGTATGAGATACTAGTACTTCAAACAAACAAAAGAGTACTTGCTAAGTTGCTACAGTCAACTAGGGTTTTCCTAACATAATTCGGCATGTGCACGCACCTTTTTTTTTTTTTTTTTTTTTTTTTTTTTTTTTTTTTTTCGTGTTTATCACTTACATGTACCTCTGATACAGGCACAGCACTGTTGATGGTTATGCCCTGAGTGCGAGAGAGTTCACTGTCACCAGAACGAGAAAATATAGCATGTGTCTTTGCTATAACGATATCACTCCATGTGTGTGTGTGTGTGTGTGTGTGTGTGTGTGCGTGCGTGCGTGCGTGCGTGTGTGTGTGTGTGTGTGTGTGTGTGTGTGCATGCGGGTGAGCGGGCGGCCATGCGTGCAATATCCCAGTACCGGGTGTTGGTTATACGTGGTGCCCAGATGCATTATGTTTTGATACGGCAGGGGAAATTGTATACTCATAGGAGCAGCAATCGGAGGATTACCAACCTGTGTCTGTGTCTTGGTAGGATTATCAACCTTTGTCTGTGTCTTGGTAGGATTACCTACCTGTGTCTGTGTCTTGGTAGGATTATCAACCTGTGTCTGTGTCTTGGTAGGATTATCAACCTTTGTCTGTGTCTTGGTAGGATTATCAACCTGTGTCTGTGTCTTGGTAGGATTATCAACCTGTGTCTGTGTCTTGGTAGGATTACCAACCTGTGTCTGTGTCTTGGTAGGATTATCAACCTGTGTCTGTGTCTTGGTAGGATTACCAACCTGTGTCTGTGTCTTGGTAGGATTATCAACCTGTGTCTGTGTCTTGGTAGGATTACCAACCTGTGTCTGTGTCTTGGTAGGATTTTCAACCTGTGTCTGTGTCTTGGTAGGATTATCAACCTGTGTCTGTGTCTTGGTAGGATTATCAACCTGTGTCTGTGTCTTGGTAGGATTACCAACCTGTGTCTGTGTCTTGGTAGGATTACCAACCTGTGTCTGTGTCTTGGTAGGATTACCAACCTGTGTCTGTGTCTTGGTAGGATTACCAACCTGTGTCTGTGTCTTGGTAGGATTATCAACCTGTGTCTGTGTCTTGGTAGGATTATCAACCTGTGTCTGTGTCTTGGTAGGATTATCAACCTTTGTCTGTATCTTGGTAGGATTATCAACCTGTGTCTGTGTCTTGGTAGGATTATCAACCTGTGTCTGTGTCTTGGTAGGATTATCAACCTTTGTCTGTATCTTGGTAGGATTATCAACCTGTGTCTGTGTCTTGGTAGGATTATCAACCTGTGTCTGTGTCTTGGTAGGATTATCAACCTGTGTCTGTGTCTTGGTAGGATTATCAACCTGTGTCTGTGTCTTGGTAGGATTATCAACCTGTGTCTGTGTCTTGGTAGGATTATCAACCTGTGTCTGTGTCTTGGTAGGATTATCAACCTGTGTCTGTGTCTTGGTAGGATTATCAACCTGTGTCTGTGTCTTGGTAGGATTATCAACCTGTGTCTGTGTCTTGGTAGGATTACCAACCTGTGTCTGTGTCTTGGTAGGATTATCAACCTGTGTCTGTGTCTTGGTAGGATTATCAACCTGTGTCTGTGTCTTGGTAGGATTATCAACCTGTGTCTGTGTCTTGGTAGGATTATCAACCTGTGTCTGTGTCTTGGTAGGATTATCAACCTGTGTCTGTGTCTTGGTAGGATTATCAACCTGTGTCTGTGTCTTGGTAGGATTACCAACCTGTGTCTGTGTCTTGGTAGGATTATCAACCTGTGTCTGTGTCTTGGTAGGATTATCAACCTGTGTCTGTGTCTTGGTAGGATTATCAACCTGTGTCTGTGTCTTGGTAGGATTATCAACCTGTGTCTGTGTCTTGGTAGGATTATCAACCTGTGTCTGTGTCTTGGTAGGATTATCAACCTGTGTCTGTGTCTTGGTAGGATTATCAACCTGTGTCTGTGTCTTGGTAGGATTATCAACCTGTGTCTGTGTCTTGGTAGGATTATCAACCTGTGTCTGTGTCTTGGTAGGATTACCAACCTGTGTCTGTGTCTCGTTAGGATTACCAACCTGTGTCTGTGTCTTGGTAGGATTATCAACCTGTGTCTGTGTCTTGGTAGGATTATCAACCTGTGTCTGTGTCTTGGTAGGATTATCAACCTGTGTCTGTGTCTTGGTAGGATTATCAACCTGTGTCTGTGTCTTGGTAGGATTACCAACCTGTGTCTGTGTCTGTGTCTTGGTAGGATTATCAACCTTTGTCTGTGTCTTGGTAGGATTACCAACCTGTGTCTGTGTCTTGGTAGGATTATCAACCTTTGTCTGTGTCTTGGTAGGATTATCAACCTGTGTCTGTGTCTTGGTAGGATTATCAACCTGTGTCTGTGTCTTGGTAGGATTACCAACCTGTGTCTGTGTCTTGGTAGGATTACCAACCTGTGTCTGTGTCTTGGTAGGATTATCAACCTGTGTCTGTGTCTTGGTAGGATTATCAACCTTTGTCTGTGTCTTGGTAGGATTATCAACCTGTGTCTGTGTCTTGGTAGGATTATCAACCTGTGTCTGTGTCTTGGTAGGATTACCAACCTGTGTCTGTGTCTTGGTAGGATTATCAACCTGTGTCTGTGTCTGTGTCTTGTTTTTCCCACAGTACCATGTGATCAAGGACATGGTCTTGTCCGTGGAGCGTATCTCAGACAGCATTTGTCAGGTGAACAGTCAGAGAATAGTCCTCGATGATCCATGTGTGCCACCAAGAAGTAGAAATATTGTACGCCTGGTGAGTCCTGGAGTGAATTGTGACGACCGTGCTGTGCTCTTCTGAGAATTTTCAAAGTATTGTTTCGAATACTGTCCCACGATGGCGTACCATCATACGTATCATGCCATCTGATCTTCATTACGTGGGAATGCTGCACCAGGTACAAGTATTGGTTCCTGGTGCTACGATTTGATTACATTTGGATTAGGGCTGCTTTTCCGTCATTGCACTCTCGGTTTCTCTCGTCTGCCGTGCTTCAGAAATCCAAACCAAGCTTCACCAGTGAGTTCCACGCGGGGTTTCCTTCATCGGAGTAAGTGCTATTTTCCTCCCAGAAATGCATCGGCCGCATTGGCAGATCACAGTTTCATAACAATCTTAGAATTGGAGCTGCCTCATAGATATAGGAGGATGGTGCAATGTGTCACCGTGGCCAGCCGCAGTAACAATCCGTATGGAGCCCTAACTCCAAGAGACTAGGTTTGGCGTGCTGGTTGGTGTTGTCTATTGCTGATGGATTCATATGCATGAACATGTAGATGTACAATGGCACTGAATGGCTATTTTGGTTAATACATGTGAGCCCTGCACTGTCTGCTCACTGTAAAGCCTCGGGATTGAACTCTGCTAAAAAGATTTTTAAATGCACTTGTGCTGCTGTGATAATTTAGTATTTAAATGCTGGTGAATTCAAAGGCGAGAAGGGTAAGTTCTGTAGCAGTCTTCATGATGCAAAAAATAGTTTTTAATACTGCTCCTGCCATGTGATTGTGAAAAATTGATTGCTTCCATTGCAGGTGTACTCCCTGCTGCTCCGTGTTCCTGACAGCAGCCACACATGCACGATTGGCTATGATTGAAGCCGACTTCAAGTCCGCGCTAAAGCGACTTCGCAATGCGTTGAAGTTCAAGCTGGTCCTTCCAGGTGCTGGTGCCCTGGAGATGAAATGTGCCAGAAAGTTGCAGGAATTGTCAGAAAGACAACCAACAGGATACAGCAGTGGTATACCACCCACCAAGGCCTGTAAATCCAAGCCTGCATACGGCAATCGTTTCCAAGATGCGCAGGAAACTACGGGCAGCAGCCAAAGTCCTATGGGTCCAGAAACTGTTTCCCAGGGCACTGGATATGCTGTGCAGCATCATGTCAATGGCAAAGCGACTGTCTCTTCTCTAGATGCACTTGATGGGTACGAACGCCTTGCTTACCGGGAGTTTTCTTCTGTATTTGTCAAGTACTTGTCCCAACTCCTGCTCAACAGTGGCTGGGGTTCTGAGGGATACATTGCAGAAGTTGAAGTACAGCGGTGCATGAAGGCTGGCTCAGACCTTCCAGTTGGTATGTGTGATGATTTGGGATCGTGTTCCTCTGGTGGAGCGGATGTGTACGATTGTCTACATGGCAAATTGTCTGCCTTTCAAAACTCTGCTGCATTTCTATCGACTGTTATAACATGTGATAAAATCCTCTGCACAAGGACATGTAATAGCCAGCAATGATCTCCTACTAGTATAGGAAGCTGTACAAGTTGTCATAGTATTCCTTTCACTCATGTCATCTTTGGAATCATTTCGTCTCCCTGTTCATTGATGATTCAAATTCATATGCAATGTAGCTGCTGAAACAACGAATTGCAGTGATGCAACAGTCACATCGACTGGATCAACTGGCAACACACGCGAGCTACTCCAGCATGCAAACACCCACAGACAGACAGACAGATATATATGCCATGAAGTTTCATCAACTATTTATGAAAAGTTTTCGAATTATTCACGATGTGCTGTCATCCGAAACAAAAACGCCTACTTTGAAAAGCAATCTCTCTCTGTCTGTCTGTCTGCCTGTCTCTCTCTCCCTCTCTCTCTCTCTCTCACTCACTCACTCACTCTCTCTCTCTCTCTCTCTCTCTCTCTCTCTCTCTCTCTTTCTCTCTCTCTCTTTGAGCCCCTCGATAGGCCTCTGCGGCCTTTGGACAATCCTTAAATAAAAATCAATCTCTCTCTCTCTCTCTCTCTCTCTCTCTCTCTCTCTCTCTCTCTCTCTCTCTCTCAAGAAGTAGCAGTGATACCGAATTGGAAACAAATTGTGATTGAACTTAGTTCAGGTACAGACAGTGAAGATAAACGCTCAAGGGACCTTCAAACGTTCTTTGTTGCCAGGTGGTCTCCACATTCAGGGTCATTTGACTGGAGGTACAGAAGTATCCCTTGTATTGCCCTTGGCCCTGCTTGCAATGGTCGCCTTGACAGGTTTTCCTGTACAATCTTCCTAATCCTTCCTGAAAACTGTGGAAAGGGTTTAGTGGGGAAATATTAATTTCGAAAAAGGAGTCTTACCCAAACTGGCCAAAGTAGGGAATGAAAATGCAAAACCTGATATCCACTTATGTTTATTTTTTACATTCATGTACAGTCATGTACATGACGATCTACATCATATCAAGAGTAAAATATTTCCTGGGAGCTTTTAGTAACTGTGCTCTGATCATCATGTTATACAACAGTCATGATACAGTCATGCACATGATTTCTCCCTGGCCAAGGCACAGCCATGCTACCTAGCACTAACAGCCTGAGCAGCTGTGCAAGCCCTCACTGTCTTCGAACATCCTGTAACACCACCGTCCTAGTGCTCGTAAGGCAGCCATGAGTTTTCCCATTTTGACGAAGAAGTATTAGTAGTAGTACTAAGCCTAAAAAGTAAGGCTTACTAGTCTAAGCCTAGGCTAAGGGCCTGCTAGTAAGGTAACTGGTTGCGACCAGGGAGTTGACTCCTTGGTTGCGACATTCCGTTCCGTGGGGGGGGGGGGGGGGGTCCCTTGGTCACTGTGTCACTTGTGTGTCGGAGAAAGCAGCGCCCGCGTGGTGCTGACGGTCAGACCTGTGTTAGTATTTCCATTTCGGGAGGAGAACCTCCTAGGATTTGAAGCCCAGTCACTACAGCCCAGGCACTAGTACCCGTCCTTAGTCCTAGGTCAAGGTCAGGTAAGCCTTAGCGTAAGGTCTAAGGAGGCACTGTGACGCGGTCAGCAAGAATGCCAAGACTGGCAAGAGCCTGAAGTGAAGAAGTAACGCCGTAACGTAGTCGAGTATGTTATGGCCGGTCAATCCAGTGGCAGTGTTGACAGCTGTAAGCACCTAGTATGCTGATCTTGGTCAGCGGTGGGTGTGCCGGGATTAGTGGAACACCATCGCGGAACGATTTGAAGCTTCCAACACCATGAACACTGTACAGGCAACAATATCAGCCAGCTTGCTCCCTGTTCCGCGTCTTCTTATCGCAACCAAGAACATGCAAAGAGTATGACTTCGAACAACGTTACGTTCACGGTGGTGAAGCCTGCACTGTTCGGCGGGTGCATCAGCGCGACCATGTTGATTTACGCTGCAGAAAAGCGAGCCCAAGCCAAGGCCGCAAGGGCAGAGGGTCATGACTCATGCACTGCATGGTCGAGCTGTCTGATGTGGAGATGTCTGATCGAGGTAGGTTGTTTGCAGTACAGGGTGTCGCTGTCCAATGTCGTTCTGTAAAGCGGCGATTGCACGGAAGTGGGCCACCGGCTGGGAGGGGAAGAATTGGTTTTAGAAGCCCAGCGACACATGCGCAAGCCATGGCCGCCAACGGACGTTACGTACTGTTGCAATACAATTGCTGTACCAAGCCGCTCGCCGTGCAAGTGCCCAGCTGTAAACTTGTTCAAAAAATCAATCCAGCATTTTGCGCCTATCCTTCTCCCCGAGTGCAGCCATCCAGCGACTCGCCCAAGTTCGCTGATCGTTTTGGATTTGCGCTGTGCACCAGTCGCAAAGAATCCGTTCTTATTTTCACAACCTCTTGGTGTAGTCGTTTCTCCTAGCTGAAAGGACATGAGCTTAGCGTGAGGCGAAGCCGCACCATCGTGGTCGACTTGCGGTTGTACCCAGTGGCTCGTGGCGAGAAGTTCGGTCAAAGGCGGAAAGCGGACCAAACAAGGCGAGTGTGGTGGAAGTGTTGGTGGTGCGGACTGTCGGAGGGAGCGAAGTGCACAATGATCGTCCTGAGGTGGATCGCGAACAGCGATGTGATGGACGCAAGCGCACTGCTATTCGGCGTTCTTACGGCAGCGTTGCTTGTTTCGGTCGACGCTGAAACGGCTCACTACGATGTGGTAAACCCTATTGTAACGAAAGGTCCGGACGACAGTTTGTTCGGCTACAGTGTAGCACTGCACACAAACGGAAATCAGAAATAGTAAGATTTGTTCATTTGATATGTACATGTACTGACTAATTTGATGTGTACATGTACTGACTAATTTGTAATGTTTCTCAAGGTAGATCTACATGATTCAATCATGCATTAGTGAATCCAACATGTTTTGCCTGTACTGAGTCTGACTCTCTGAGCAATCAGCTTGCTGCTGGATTCAAATACAACAGTGATACAAAACGACGTACTGCAATGTCATCAAATTGCAGTAGTCATACATGTATTAGGAACTTCTTAGAAATGGCAACTAACGAGTGACTCGTAACTGAATGACGAATGCCATGAGTTAGCAAACTGAATTATATAGCTCACTTTTAAAGTGTAGCACTGTTGGCGAATAGCGTTGTCTTCCACATTTAGATATACTCGCCATGTGCGTTTTCATTTTTCCAGGATGAGCAAAAATCAATCAAATATTGGGTGCATGCCAGTGTTGATCACGGTAGCAGGCTAAACAAATTGAAACAATCCACTCTAACATGAAATTGGGCATACTGAATAGATTGATAACTGATTTAGTTAATGTGGAAGTCACATCACCTGTTCAGCGTATGATTATGTTCATTCACCGACAAGAAATATAGCACAGCCACGTAATTGAGCAATTTGCTACAAATAGGGGACAAGAAACCTATTTATACAGCCAGAGAAAAAACAATGAGCTCCTAACTCTTTACCAGAAGCGTTAACTCATTTGGGTTTCACGAACCCATCTTTGTGTCTTCTCTTCAAGAGAAACTATAAGCAACGTATGCCAATCCGCATTACTATGGAGACCACTACAGGTTTTCGAGTAAAAGCAAAAGTTTGGATGCACAGAAAGAATATGTCTTTACGGTAAACTTTAGTTCCCATCATCCACCACCCACTCAGATTGCGTGTTCCCCTGATTGATCATGGCCATGGAGTGGAATACATGCGCTGGATAAAGGCAGGTGTAGCTTCTTTGATCGGGTAGGTATTTCTACGTGAAGATTGTCCAAGATTATAATGCTGAGCACACATTTTATTGAACAAAATCTCCCTCTTTTAATTCGTTTTCACGATGGCTGACTGGCATGAAACCTCAATTTTGTCAATAAACTAGTTTTCAAGTAACTCAGCGCAAAGAGTGAAGTGAGAAGCAATCGAATATAGCAGTTGCCAGTTGACAAATCCCCCTTTTCTTTTACAGTGCAGTTGCATGAAGTCCTTAAAAAAAATTCACGGTTCGCGTGAGACTCGGCCAAAGGCCCAGTTTTCCGCATCCGCAGGAACGCCACCACCCTCTTGGATCAAGGCGCAGATGCAGCTCCTAAGCGGTGGGAGGTGAGTAGATCAGACCCACCACAAAGTGGTCAAAGACCGAAATCCCATTCACTGCATCCATGTTTCCCTCGTGCCAGGCCACGAGTTCCCAATTAACTGTGGGTCGCAGCACGGCTGGAAAAAATCCAGCCGCTTCCAAGCAGGACTTGAACCTGGTACCCTCTGTTTCTCAATCATGGTCTTAGACCATCCCACTATGCCTGCCTGCTGAAGTCCTTAACCTTCTTAGTAAAGTCTTCTCGTGCTGCCTTTCAGATCACCAAGTGTAAATTGAGTATCGTGCTGTCATGACGATCATTTTGGGCGGTATATCTGTGCCTTTCATTTGGTTTGTAGCGCCATTATTGGTGCACCGCGGTCAGAAGTTTTCCCGGCCGTACAGCGTGTGAGGGGCGTCTCCAGGCCAGGTGCAGTCTACAAATGCCCGCTGATGTCGGCCTCCACATCCATAGGGCCCTGCCAACAGATTGCGGTGGACTCCTTGCGTGAGTACATTCTGGTCTGATACTGATGCCCATTGTTTGACTTCTTTTCTCTCTCATCCAGATCTCCGAGGCTACAGATATGGTCAAGCCTTTCTTGACATTTTTCAACTTGCTAGTTTACCACTAAAGCTTCGCACTTGCAGCAAAATGTGCTTATTCAAAGTAATTTCTGGAAAGAGGCATGTGCGTGCCTACATGTACATGTAAGCACACTTACATTCTAGGCATTCTTTCTTCTCTTCTCTTTTTTTGGCATTGGTGGCTAAAAAACCGTTACAAGTGCATTGGCTGCCGTCATTGAATGGTGAAGACATACACTGTGTGCCCATGCAAGGCCAGATACCCAATCTATAAGACACGTCGCAGAAACTGTATCAATCAGTTTTGTTCCCTTCTGTCCCAAGATACGACAGAGACTGAATGGTGAAAGAGTTGGAATTTTTAACAGGGCATGTCACCATATTCTAGTACGTGTCTCTCATATCATTAACTAAAAAGGTACATGCGTTGTCTCATATAACTTTTTATGCTTTTTCCCCAGCTGATCGCAAGCACAGAAATGGATCCAAGGTAGAGATCAAGTCAAACATGCGCCTAGGCACAACGGTTATGAGCGAAGGCAGCGATGGCAGAGTAGTGGTAAGAGAGACGAGAGAGTTCTCCGTACTGCGTTGCCCAGAGGGTTCGTGGGTGCATGTGTGTGTGTGTGTGTGTGTGTGTGTGTGTGTGTGTGTGTGTGTGTGTGTGTGTGTGTGTGTGTGTGTGTGTGTGTGTGTGTGTGTGTGTGTGTGTGAGTGTTCGTCAAGCAAAGCAGGACTGGCTGAGAAAGCAGGCTCGGGACTGCGAACGCTTTAGTCTAACATCTAAGGGAGGCTGGGAGTGCATCAAGAGGATCCAGACTGCACTTGATGGATTGCAGCCCCGCAAGACAGCTGCTATCAAGAATGCGCAGGGTGTTGTGTGCGAGACACCAGAGGCAACAGGTACGCGATGGCGGGAGCATTTTGACGGTGTCCTAAACGTGATCAGTGATTTTGTCCCAGATGCCATTGATTCCATTGGGCAGCTACCGATTCGGCTTGACCTTGAGAACGCCCCAGCCTGCAGCGAGATACACCGTGCTATGCGAGCTCTTCAAAATGGCAAAGCATGTGGCCGATCAGAGATAACAGCGGAGATGCTCAAGTGCGGCTCTGAACTGGTGCCTAGGTTGGAGATGTTGTTGGCTGAAGTTTGGCGGACGGAAAGGGTTCCTCAGGATTGGGCAGACGCCATCTTAATCCCAATTCCCAAGAAAGGTGATCTTAGTGACTGTGGTAACTGGCGAGGCATCGCGCTTCTAGACGTGGTCGGCAAGCTGGTGGCAAGAATAATAGCGGATCGCCTGCAGCTGGTTGGAGAGGAATACCTGCCTGACTCCCAGTGTGGTTTTCGCCGTGGTAGGGGATGCTCAGACATGGTGTTCTCAGTACGCCAGGTTGCCGAGAAATTGCATGAGCATTCATCAAAGGGCTTTGCGGTGTTCATTGACTTGCGCAAAGCATACGATTCAGTGCCTAGAGCAGCCATGTGGAGGGTTCTCTCCAGGCTCGGCGTGCCGGATAAGCTGATCTCCATCATTCGGTCGTTCCATGAAGGCATGTCTGCATCCATTCGTCTCGGCGCAGATCTGCTCGACCCTTTCCCGGTGGGAAATGGCCTACGTCAGGGATGCACTATGGCCCCGATCCTGTTCAACTTATTCATGGGTGCGGTTGTGGAAAAGTGGCATGCTACCATCGCCAATGACGAGGATATCGGTATCCAGGTGTCGCAGTTTCGCAGAGACTGCTTGTTCAATACGCGTCTCAGAGAGTGTCGCAGGGTGACTATCACGGAGTGTCAGTTTGCGGACGATTCGTCACTGTTCGCCAAAACCTACGGCGGTGCTGAAAGGGCCTTGGCCACGTTTCGACAGGTTGCAGCATCTTTTGGCCTGTCAGTCAATCTGGGCAAAACTAAGTTCATGCCTATGGGCGTTGGTGTGGTGGCGTCGGATATGTTGCCTTTGGGTGGAACCGTCGAATGCGTGGACAGCTTTCGCTATCTTGGCTGCCAGATCACTCCTGATGCTAGGAGTAGCTTTGATGTCTCTCGCAGGATCGCCGCAGCTTCGGGTGCATTTGGCGCATTGAAGAAAGCTGTGTTTGCGAACTCGGAGTTTCCTATCGGTCTCAAGCGTGTTGTGTACGGAGTCACTGTGTTGGCAGTACTCCTCTATGGTGCTGAGAACTGGACACCGAGGCAACGGGATCTCCAGCGTCTGGAGTCGTTTCACCTGCGATCTATACGCATGGTCCTGGGCATCAGTCGGGCGCGCCAGATGGACGAGCACGTGACAACCCTTCAGGTACGGCAGTGGTGGGGTGGCATGGAGCAGGTCTCTGACAAGGTCCGGCGCCGTCGTCTCCAATGGCTGGGCCACCTGGCTCGCATGGATGACCGTATTCCCCGCCAATTGCTCTTTGGTGCCTTGCCGTCTAAACGACCTCCACATGGCCCCCGGAAGAGGTGGAAAGACCCAATCAAACATGACCTGACGGCGGTGTCCATTGGCATGAATGAGTGGCTTGAAACAGCAGATGATAGGTCTGAGTGGAGAACCAGGTGTCAGGATGGAGTCTACAGTGTGGTATGCTCTCGTGTACAACCTGCCGTGAAACCACTCCTGTGTATGGTCTGCACACGCCGTTTCAGCCGTCCTCAAGACATCGCTAGACATAGTTGCACCTCCCGTCGCTCCGCAAAGGCAAAAAACAAACAGTGAAACAGCCGTTCACGTCCCGCCGGACTCGCAGGGCCTCATGCCGCGTCCCGGAGACAGCACTCCTCCAAGTCGCCCCGTTTGGGGACACATAGCCAATCGTGGCAGTGGGCGAAGGAAGGAAGGTGTGAGTGTGTGTGTGTGTGTGCGCGTGCATTTGTATGCATGCGTGTGTGGATGTTTGTATGTACAGTCAACTTCGCTAATAACGACTGCGGACATAACGACAATTCGTGAATAACGACGAAATTCCATGCCCAGAGCAAAGTCCCATCTCGGCACACATGTTTTAATTAGCAATGCTGTGCCTGTCATCTTTGTTGGTTTCAAGGTCCATATACTTTTTAGTCAAAGTTTAAAGGGGAAGTGCATCGATTTTTCGAGTATGGTCCAGAAGAAAGACAATTTGATATCGGTTCGAATGGCATATGTCTCGCTTCCATACGATAAGCCAAACTTGCCAAATCGCCAATTGTATACTCACGTTGCCATAGCGACCAGCGCAGTGATGACATACGAAAGGCTTAGCTCCACCACAGAGAAGGTCGATCACTGCAGAATTTGGTCATTTTCAATTGGTTTATTGTATTCACGAAGTGAAAGAAGGGCTGTGTTCAATGCTGTAAGTGCAGTGAACTGTTTGTTAGTAGTCCTCTCGGTTGTGTACTGGGACGTGACACCGACAGGAGAAAGCTGGAGCGCGGAGACACCAGCAGACAAGCGAAAATAGTGACGAACAAAATGCTGAAATCTTGGTTGGGACAAATCAGACGTTCAGCATTTCCCCCAACCAAGGACCATGCCGTTTGCTCTTTCCAATTCCTGAAGGTGAATGCTTCCTGGCGACTCTCCTATCTCTCGTAACATCTTCTGAAGCCAGGTGAGACGACGGGTGGTGGAGATTGACGAATGAAATAATGTCGTAGGTTTGAAAGTTTGCTGAAAATGTCTCAGGAGAGACGGCGAATTCCAAGCATCTTGTCCTGGAGGAAACCATTTCCTAGGCACAGTCAGCCTAGGGAAATGCATGAGAAGGGCGACAAATAGTTCACGGCACTAATAGCATTGAACACAGCACTTCTTTCACATCGTGAATACAATAAGACAATTGAAAATGACCAATTTCTGCAGTGATTGACCTTCTCTGTGGAGGAGCTAAGTTTTGTACGTCATCACTCCGCTGGTAGCTATGGCAACGTGAGCATACAATTGGCGATTTGGCAAGTTTGGCTTATCGTATGGAAGCGAGAGATATGCCATTCGAACCGATATCAAATTGTCTTTCTTCTGGACCCTACTCGAAAAATCGATGCACTTCCCCTTTAAGTGACACACCTGTTGACCGGTGGACTTCTTCTGGCGAGATTAACTTTTGTGAAATCAATGTTACTAACAAGGCCTATATCGTATCCATTGTGACTTAGCAACCTATGCCAGTATCCAGTATCACATTCACTGGGGGGGGGGGGTGAGATAAACACAGTTGGATCCCAGGATGGACACCTCAATGCCATCAATCCTTTTTCTGTAAATTGTCCTACCCACTTTCTGTGGTGAGGCAAGCCCATCTCTGGGTTCATTGCCGCGCCTAGAGTCTGGAGATTTCAGCAGGTCTTAGCTGTTGGTGGATTCAATAGCCAATTGAGTCATCTTCCCAAGATTTTTTTTGTATCTCCCTTTCCTTTCTCCTGGGGAGACCCACATAACCAGTTTCGGGCAGTGGGGCAGTACAAGTGAGTTTGTGCGTGTGCACATGTATGTGTGTGAACTATGCGGAGGCATGCACATGTCCCACATTGCTGATCACTTTCTGTTGATCGTCCAGTCTGCTGGAAGTCTCCTTGACCCCCCCCCCCCCCCCCCCCGCTTTATCCAGCTGCCCCCTCACCCCCACCCCTCTCCAGGATATCGAACTGTTTCATGTACCCCACTGATAACCGTTACCCCTTGCCTTAGAGCCCTCACCCCTCCTCTCCAGACAATTATTTTTCAAATTAAATGGTTTCCTACGTCCCACATATAACCTTTCCTGCATCATTTCATCCTATGATTGCCATTCTACCCCGGCCCAGGTCTGCGCTCCGTCCTACAAAACAGTTTGGTTCTATCGACTTGGAGGCCGCTTCTCTAAAGGCCAGGAGCTGGATGATGCAGTCGGTCGCTGCTTCATACTACCCAAAGACCTCAGCACAGAGCAGATTGTGCGCTTTTCGCCGTGCGACAACATTCCACGTAAGGCAGCTAGCTTTGGTGCCATATTTCACCTAACACTGGTGCATGCATGGGTGATTAGGGTAATTGCATGTCTAGTATAGGTGTGGTGTGTGGAAGTAGAAGTTGAATAAACCAGTGCCTAAACCTTCACCAGTTCAAGTGTTGATCTTGAATTTTACAGCCCTGCCATTGAGTTTCTGCATAGTAGTAAATTGGGTACGCGGGCCTATCTGAGTCTACTGAGCTTTGCACGGTGGATTACACGATTGCAATGCTGTTTTGGAAGTGCTGCATAGCACTATACTTTGACAGTGGATCTGGTCTTCTTCAGTTCTCTTACGCCATCATGCTTTTGATTGTCGTGCTTTTGTGCCTTGAAGATTACGTCAAGTTCTTGCCTGGCCTGCTTAACACATGGTTGCGATTCTGCTTGGTTGGAACATCAATCGACATTACCAAGGTAAGAGACTTCCTCACCAATGTATATCCAGTGCCATGTGAAGAGTTTTATTATGCAGCGAAGCAAGAGGTCCTAGAATAGAGGACATTGAGATTTTGAGCTCAGTGGCGCGATCGTCTGTTCAAGGAGCAACGTATTTCAAAATTTCACATTCAAAATCTGGCTAGAATCACTGCAAACCCACTATCAAGATTGATATGAACATAAATGAATCCATTTTTTGGATATTTTTGACCATTATTCAAAAAGTACAGCCGGGCAATGTTGCATATTGCATATCAACTTTAGCCATGACAGGTAATAATGATAAACCCTTCAAAGTGAACATCAGGATACATCAAAGAATTTGGAGACGGCTGTTTCCGTTGCCTTCATTCGGAAACCATACTTGATGAAGAGTGTTGTTCTCTCCTCCCACCATACAGATAGGCACAGTCACACGTGTTCTATTTTCAGCATTTCCGTCGTCTTTCTTCACTTGTCTTTCGAAGTTCTATCAGTGACTTGCATCAGGATACAAATCAGACGTTCCTGCTACTTTAAGCATGTGGGTCGTAATTTTCTCTGTTTCTCGTTTGCTCCATTGCCGTACCAGGGCCCTAACAATCGAAACCAAATGGTGTTGGGCGCGCCGGGAAGACAACTTGGTGTTGGTAAGCGTAGTTTTGATGCATTAGGGCTCTCCCCCCCCCCCCCCCCCCTGTCCCCGTAACATGTGCAGTCCATTGATCTATTTGGTTTCTTTTTTGAAGTACTTTGAACTGGCCTTCAAGAAAAAAGATCTGAATTACCTGGGCACAAGAGTTCCCTCTGTCCAGTCCACGTTTTTGTACTGCCTTGCAATAAAGTCCTCTTAGAATAGCAGTGCATTTGAAGCGGGGTAAATTGCAACCGCATAAGTCATGTTTGCCGAGGAAACTCCACCTCGGCCTTATTCCTATTTTTAGAGGACAATTGTTCGTTAGCATTACTTAATCACTGGTTTTGAACCGCATTGCAACAGGTCAAATCTGGACTGGCGACCTGGGTCTTGGGAACGTCCCTCCGTTCACAAGTGGCATTCTGCATGCTGACAATGTCGACAACTACACTGGCATGGCCGTTGCCCAGGCAGATTTTGATGGTGATAACGAACTGGGTAGGTGGAGTGTGAGTGTGTGGTGTCGGTCTAGTCACAAGAATAATATGTTTTTGTACTGATCGGCAATGTTGACATTTTATATCCTAAATTTATGACTGATCATCTTGTAACACTACATCATCCGCAGCGCAGATAGCTACTATCACATACTTTGTAGGCGTTCGGAGTTGTTCACACGGTATAATGCTTTGCTGCACAGACTTTCAGCGTGTTTGGCGGACTGCTACCGGCAGACTACAGCCATTGTTGAATACGTACCAATGGTAGAAAGACCTGAAATGGAGCGCACCATATCCCACTCCCAGTCCCACCGTTCTCTTGCAACTCTCCTTACCTACATATGCTTGCAGTGCGCAGTTCCTGATCACAAAACACTTTGCATTATTAAAAGTTGCTGGCTTGTCCGAGCATTTTCAAGAGGAGTACTCAGAGACTGTCCTCCAGGTAAAGCAAAACAGGGATGAACGTGATGCCTGGATAACGTTGCGTGAATACCGTCGACGCGCGGAGTTCTCAATTGTGTTTTGAATTGCTGGCGTGCATTGTACTTTGTTTCAGAGGTTGCTCTCTCACAGCCAATGTACGGTGTACGCAAGGAGGGTGGGGTAAGCTTTACACGTGTTGTCTTTCCTACACTCGTAGTGTCAAGTTTTGACTTGTCGGTGCTTCTACTACTATTACTGTAAGTGTACAAAATTTCCGCGCTGCAAAAATTTCGGCAATTCACGATTTTCGACTCGGCAGGGATTATGTCCGGCACGGGTTAATACTACTAGTACATGTACATCACCAAAGTCAATGGGAAAGTCTTTGTTAGCATATCGATTGAGGCGTTTTGGGCTGGTGCCGAATATAGCTGAAAGTAGATAGCTGCCAACATGTTGTATACTTACGGTACTCATGGATGCAGTGAATAGGATTTTCCGTCTTTGACCACTTGCTGGTGAGCTGATCTACTCACCTCCCACCGCTTTAGGAGCTGCATCTGCGCCTTGGTCCTTGAAGGGTGGTGGCGTTCCTACGGATGCAGAAAACTCGGCCTCTAACCGAATCTGACGCGAACCGTAAAATTAATTTTTTTTACGGTACTCTACTTATGCGGCATCAGAGTCTTCAACATGACGTCATTCTGGCTGTATGTAGTTACGGATAGCATATCTTCACTGTCAGACGAAAACAAAGACTTCTCAGTGTTGCTAGTTCTTCTTAGCTTGTAACTCAGCCGCAGCAACTTTTCTCGATGACAGGGGCTCTGTCTGTTGTTTTGCTGACTTGTTGGTTAGAAGCATAATTATACTGGTTACACCTTTGACATCATGGAGGAGGAAGGGGGGGGGTCTGTGATTTTGAAGTTTAGTGGCTGCATCCTACAGTGTCAAAATTTCTATGCTGCATGTCCGTGCTGTTGATTGTCCATCAGGTTCTCATCGTACCCGCTCAAGCCAGAATTGGACCAATAACAGACCACCGAGTCCGTTCCAAAATGGAATACGTTCACATAGCCGGTGCTTTCGTAAGTAGCAGTGTTGTGATGTCGCCGCTAACAACATAATACCGCCGGTATCAGGTTCAGAAGCCGTCGGGTGATTGTATGTGAAGAGATGTCGAAGTGTGGAAGTGTCCCTGCTGTGTTGGTGTGTTTCACTGGCTCGGCTAAGAGCGAATGGTGGTGACGGGTTGAGTATGTAGGACATTGGAGTATGGCCAAAAGCTCTGTTGCAATATTTTATGGTGAACAAGTGCGGAGTCGCAACAAATCCGGATCACTTTGCCTTGTGTGCCAATGCTCGGCTTAAAGGGGAAGTTCAGGCTAAAATCAAATTTTCACCAGTTGTAGCCTTCGGTGCTGAGTCGAATGGTCTTGGTCCGAAGGAGCTGAGCCGCTTTCTTCCCAATCAAACTCGCCACTTCCACCGGAACTGGGTGACTGCACCCTCCTAGATTGGGAGTTTGTGTGCAAAATGTCACTAAAAGCGGCATTTCGTTCCCATAAAAGCACGGATGGTTGCAATTGGCCCATGTGTTGTAGCCTTTTGGATGCTGAGTCGACTGGTTTTGGTCCGAAAAGGCTGCAATGCAGCGTTCGGCCCTTATTCCCAATCGAACATGGTTGAATAAGCGGTCACGTGCTCATGCATACACCAGTGGACTGGTCACCGTGCCTGCAGGGTACAACTTACAGCCTGTTTGGGCGCGTTCCTGTCACTCGAATTGAACCTTGGTGTGAAATTTCAAATTTAGTTGCAGCCTGCAGGCACCCCGGAAACTACAACTGGTGAACATTTGATTTTAGCCTTTACTTCCCCTTTAACAACATTGAGAAGTTTGCGTTGGCCATTAGCAAACCCTGATGACATCAAAGATCATGTTGTAATATTGTACACAAGTATACAATCAAGTTCAGTTGTAAAGTAATTCTCTCTACTGCCTCAGTGAAAGCATTGTACGTGGCCTGGAGGTGGTGTGCCATTGAATGGGGTGGGCATGTTTTTGTGGCATGGGTGGGCAGAGGCGGGGAAGGGGGGGGGGGGGGGGGGGAGGGGGAGCTTTTCTTCTTCTTTCCCATGTTTTATTTGCAGAATGTGCATGTTCATCAAATCTGTGGCATTGTGCATTTTGCAGATGGGCGAAAACTTTGGCTACTCGATGTGTGCTGTGGATGTCACAAATGATGGGTAAGTTCGTTGCTTTCTCCCGTCTTTGATCATCAGTGTTACACACAATTTGAAGTGTCCACTTCGAACTCGAAGCCATCTTCAGGCTTGGCAATCATGTTTGACATCATAATTGTTTGATTAGTTTGGCTTTGCTCTATGTACTGCTAGATTGAGTATGCTCTACAGGGGCATATGAGGGGCTTGGAAAGTGGTACAACCAAAGGATGGAGCGGGCTGTGAAGGGGGTTCGGGGATCGTCCCCTGGGAAATTTTGTAAAAAAGACACAAAATCCTGTGTTCTGGGTACTTTTGGCACATCTTTTACTAATTGTTAGGCATAGAATGTTATGGTTCATGTATAGTATAGTATAGTATTAATTCATATTTCTCTAGGGCAGTCCCCACAGACCTATGGTCTCCTTCCGGGGTACCCTAGCCAATCTAGCATTGCGATACGAAATTGACTTGGTGAAGTGCAGAAAACTAAGTTGCCGTGAACCAAGTGTACCTGATAGCCGTGTCGAGTCGAGTATGAGTCAGACTCAAACACAAGCCGAAGATCTGACCGGTCCCGATTTTTTTATTACGGTTTTGCACGTTTCAGACGGACCACGCTTTTCGAAAAGTGGTACGGCCATGGTCGTACCAGCCGTAGTGGGTGCTACGGCCCTGCTCTATATCTATTCAGTTGCTCAGGTCAACCCAACATCTCACTTGCCATACTATATGGGCAAGACTAGTCTTGATCACTAATCCAAAGTCTGTTGTGTCTCCCACCCCTCCAGAATTCCGGAGCTGTTTGTTGGAGCACCGCTAGCTCGATCCAGCTCCGTATCGAGATCAGTTTTCGAGAATGGTCACGTCTACGTCTTCTCTGGACAAGCCATAAGAGCGGTATGTGCAGTAAAATTTAATAAGGATTTTGAGGTAATAGAAAACAACTATGACACTAACACGTCAGGCGAAATTACTGGTCAGTCGGCGACACGAATTTTTCACAAAAATTGCGTTTCACCTGCTGGGAGAATATGCGTGTACTCGAGTCTCATCCTGAGCACATTTTTTTCTTATTATTTCAGCTCCAGTATAGCTGTATTTTTCATTGCAAAGCCGTCCTCAATTGTTGTGTTCGTTGTTCAAACGAAGTGGACATTCAATCATGAAGGCAGAGGACATAGGAGCCTGATTGGAGTTTCTCGTGGCATAGGACGGCCACACAGAGACACTTTGGGATTTTCTGAATATAAAATACCGTACGCACGATGCTGAGATCAATTTGTGCGATATCAAATTGTTTGTGATCTACCACATCGAGCAGAACGGGATCCAAACACAAGCTTACCGATGGTTAGGCTGCCGACCTGACTGGACAAATGATCCCTGGCTTCACCTGACGCCAGAAGTCGGACACCATGTCCTTTGCCGCAACGTCCATCTCCAAAAAGAACTCCATCTTCGTCGTGAAAAGGCTTGGAATACTCAATATTCAACCGAGATTCGCGGACTCGCGCTTTCTCGGATCGATTAATTTCCTGCTGGAACAGTTGCAGGGCAGCTTCCCGCCACTGTTTCAACAGGCGATGGCTCCAAAGCATGCCTGGAACAAGCCATATCGAGGTTGCAAGCCACCCCTCTCAGCAAAAATTCGAAGAAATTCGAAATTTCAATGGTGGAAGATATACTATGAAGAGAATTTCAAAAAGTATGTTTCGCGGAGCGATCGCTCAACCTACGTCTTTCAAACTTTGCAGGATGGTTCAGACGTACATGCTAGGCATGGAACCACAGGCGATGATGCCATAGCTGACACACAGAGTAACACACACAGCAGATTCGTGTGCACAGATACTAAATTAGTGGACATCGTCATCTTCTTCCCGCTGATCTCGAATGTACTATGACGTGCTTTTTCGCCTGACGACAACAACAACAACAACAACAACAACAACAACAACAACAACAACAACAACAACAACCACAACAACCACAACAACAACAATAACAACAGATTTCTTATTGGCCACAAGCCATCGTGAGAATAAATATTTGAAACAGCAACAGCAACAGCAGCAGCAACAGCAACAACAACGACAACAACAACAACAACACATCTCTTATTGGCCGCTGGCTATCGTGAGAATAAAGATTTGAAACAGCAACAGCAACAACAATGTATTGCAAGCTGTGAAGCCAGTGCAGGGATGCGCATCATCTCTTGTGGATTGGTTTTTCTCTCGGCGTCCATCACAGACCTTAACTCAATGGACATTGGGTCTAAGATGTGCATGCCGTGAATTTAATTTTGGCCATCTCTTTAATGAGCTACGTTTTGGAGACTTGTGATCTTGCGGAGCACAACATGGTGCCGTATAGGACTATTAACTTTGCTTGTAAATCACAAGGGCTATGGGGCCTGTACATGAAGGATGCTTTTCCGACCGGGGTGAAGAGCGATAACAAATGTTAGAACCAGGTGGAAGGATGGAACTTGGAGATCCTTAGCTAACATCAACGATATGGGCGGGCAGAAAAGCCAATCATGTCCCTTGAGATCTCCTTGTGCACCAGTCCGTGCCGTTGGGGATCAAACTGCAGGAAGCGTCCAACTGACTTCTTGCCCCAACATACATGCTTACCTAATTGAACTGGAGCAGTCTTTACCTAATGCTGTACTAGCAGGGGATAATAATCCATCTTAATGTGAATGGTGTGTGCGCGTATGTGTGTGTGTGTGTGTGTGTGTGTGTGTGTGTGTGTGTGTGTGTGTGTGTGTGTGTGTGTGTGTGTGTGTGTGTGTGTGTGTCATTGACCAGGCTGTCACGCTAGGAAAGAAGAGTAACCCTGCAACTATCCTGAACGCATCCTCGGCCGCTCGTACCCTACTTGGAGAAGCACAAGCCTGGTTTGGTGCTGCGGTCTCTTCTCTAGGAGATATCAATGCGGATGGATTCAATGGTGAGACAATGCTCTGCACGAAGGGGAAGCAGGAGGAATCGTCCACACAGGACGTTCATGCTTACTCGGTACACCAGTGGAACAGGGCTACATTGTACTTCCTCCGGAAACAAAAACTTCGTGACTTTTTCAGATCACTTTTCAGGGAGTTACTGTGTTCACAAAAGTGTTCTATTGGAAGAGACACACTTCAAGATGCTCAATGCACATGTGTACAATATCTACAAGATCAATTGATGGGAATAGAGTCTCAATCTGCGTCGCCATCGCTCGATTCATCATGGCTGGATCCAACCAAAGTGGCAGGTCGATCGACGCATTCCCGTATGTCACGGAGCAGCTTCTCCGCGTCCCTGATCGTCTTTGTTGTTACCAGTACGTGATTTGCACCAGCACCTTCCCTAGCATCTAGGTGGAGACCGCGGTGGCGCTGGTACAGTGCTAACACCTTGGCTCTCGAGAATGCACCGGAACGACGCGTACAAGCAAAGCCAAACGCTTTGCATTTCTCTCCGCGTTGTAGTCGTCCCATCACATCACGACTTCTGCGGGGAGATCTCGCCTGTTCTCCTATGCTACTAAGGAAACATCGGAGTGGAAGCTACTGAAAAATTCCACTGAACGACGACTTCGATTTTGAACTTTTTAGCTTTGCTCAGCGAAGTGACGAGTATCACATCTATGCGTTTGGAGTTTTGACATCTTGCCGACCTGTTCGCACTTAGGCTGGTGTTTTTGGGGACGACGCCGATTTCAAAACGCTAGCTGCTATCCTTTTCACATACGTGTTGCTCCTCAGTGCCATTGTCCTGCTCTTCCTCATTCTGAACCAAAAACTAGCAACAATGAGCAGTGAGCACTGTGCTTTTGTTGGCAATATGGCTGGTGGACAAAAATGCAAAACATCGTCCCTTCGCTTTGTTTACAGCACGACACCTTTGCCTTGCGGTGATTGTCGGCTTACCAGAATGTGAATCATGCTTTCCTACGGTTCGAAAATGTATTCTGTTGGTGTTTCAGGCCGACAGAGCCACACAGAGAGCGACAGAACAGCAGCAAAGAAAAGTGAAAAAAGTCAAGAGGTTTTTGATTCCGGAGGAAGTAGTTTGTTGTAACTCTAAGGTTCATGCTCAATGCAACCACCAGGTTACGCAATCAGGAGCGTTGGAATGTATTTTAAGGTGGTACTGTCAGCCTTCTGAGGTATACTCAAGTTAGAGGGGGAAGGGGGGGGGGGGTGAGGCTCGCTGAAATCTTGAAAGTTTCGTGCCCAAATCAGGGCATTTAACTTTATTGACGGGGTATGTGGAGCAAATAGTGGTACGGTCAATACCATAGTGACTGTAGCGTGTCTGACGCCCCTGACTCTGCTCTGCCTTGGTGGCATCAGAGCACTCTCATGACTCTGCTCTGCCTTGGTGGCATCAGAGCACTCTCAGCACGCTATGTACAACCTTCGGTGATGGTCATGCTCAGTGATATGGCACAGTAATACCTATTTCCTTGAAGTTCGGTAATTAGTCGCAGAACAATTCACCGCATACTCTTCACCAGTCCTTGGCTGAGCCTATTCAAGTGTATGACTTCTAATTTTTCACCTATTGGGGAAGCATTTTAGGGATGAGGATGTGGATACAGGCACTGATATTGCTTTTGTATTAAAAACGCTGGGAGATCCTGAATATTACCACCCTGCAGATTTTGCAGTCTCATTGTCCTGCTAAGTTCTAAGTTTTGCCTTGTGAGAACCTGATAACTCCTTCACTACAGTACTGTCAGGCGCTGAAGAATAGAGTGCCGAAAAACAAACAGGCCAGGATTTCACCAAGCACAGCATACCAATGATTATGTATACACGGTGACTCAACTGTGCATAGACTGTAGTTTGTGAAAATAGGAACAACCTAGGCTAGAAGGCTAGGAGGCTGACACCCCGCCCCTAGTTTTTCAGCACCTTACAGTACTGTAAGCATGACATTTTGTGTAGAGACCGTAGGTTCTAGTTCACTGGACCTTCGCTAAGTTCTTCATTCTACATGCGGTGTTTCTATTGTATTGTGCAGACGTAGCTGTAGGTGCACCGTATGAGACGATTGATGGCAAGCAGCAGGGAGCGGTCTACATCTATCTAGGAGCTGCCGACGGATTGCGCACGCAGTTCATCCAGAAGATCAGCGCCGTGGAGATGACGATGAATGCGTTCGAAGGCCTGGGCTTCTCGCTAGGCAGAGGTCTGGACTTTGATGGAAACTCCTACAATGGTAGGTGCAGACTGCAGAATACTAGGGTTTCGCTCCTTCTGCAATTTTCCAAGAAGCAGTCCCTAAGGGTATACCCTGCTAATGGCCCATACAATTACTACCATTCAGTATACATTCACTCATCTGTGGACAACTATTTTGTCCTTTATGTACACAGTATGTATTCATTTGGGGTGTTAGCGGCCGTCGTGAGTTCCCTTTGGGAACGGACACGATAATTTGCTTTACTTACCATGCTATTTTCAGATGAACCAGTGGGAAGCCTTTCACTTTTATACCAAAACATGAAAAAGACGGGGAAACGGAGCAAGACTGGTTACCTGCATTCCTCTCGTTGACGTCACATTTCAACAGCGCATCACCTGGCTAGAATCTGGATAGTTTTACTTCTCTTACTTAACCATCATGTTCTTGCTTTTGTGCTGTGCTAGACTTGGTCATGGGCTCACCATTCACATCTCAAGCCATTGTCTTGCGGTAAGTAAATTAGGGCTCCGTTCTTCAGCTTGGTGTTACAAAACACTTGCAGACTTCTATAGCGGCTTGAAGGAGCTTAAACACAAGGAAATTGTTTTTGAATCCGCCCGTCTTTGAAGGATCACTTTAATAGAGGGGAACCATTTTCGTGAAAGAGAAACCCATTTCATTTTGTGGCGAGGTGTTACGGTGCGAGCAATTCATGTACTCCTAGTGGTGTGCACAAGTGAATATCCTACTGGATGTCACCAGGGATTGTTTGCTTAGGTTGTATGATAATACTATCGGTTTTGCCATCAATACGGTTCACTACGGTCATGTTGTTTGGAAGGACTGCTATTGAAACAAGTTTCTCATGACCTCCGGTGGTATTTGCAGTGAAGGAATGTACATCGCTGCTGTTCCTATGTTCCTGTGCATGCAGAGCCAGACCAACGGTCGCGGCGAGCTTCGACATTGCCAGTCGGAGCGAGAGTGCAGGAAACTGTTTTGTTGGTGGGACAACTGTGCGATGGTAGGTTGAACATCCAGGCTACTATACTTCCTTGGATCTATGGTGCTGTGACCAGGCAGGCACAGTGGGTTGGTCAAAGACCATGATTGAGATAAGAGAGGTGCCTGGTTCAAGTTCTGCCTGGGAGCGGTTTTTCCAGCCGTGCTGCTACCCACAGTCAACTGGGAACTTGTGGCCAGGCACAAGGGGCACATGGATGCAGCTAATGGGGTCGTTTTCGGCACTTGTGCCAATGGTTGTGAGACTTATCCACTCACCCCCACCGTTAGGCGCTGCATCTGCCGCTAGGGTTTATCGGGTGTTAGCGGCCGTCGTGAGTTCCCTTCGGGAACGGACACGATAATTTACTTTTTTTTTATGGTGCTGTGATTATCACCCGTGTAGGGGCGATGTGATGTCTCTTTCTGGACTTTGCACTTTTCTGATGACTTGCCGCAGCTCACTGTGTGTGTACATGTGTGTGTGTGTGTGTGTGTGTGTGTGTGTGTGTGTGTGTGTGTGTGTGTGTGTGTGTGTTCAACCTGGCAGTGTCAACATCTCTATCTGCGGCACACTGACATCGGGTGTCCTGCGTCATGGAAGAGCAAGTAAGTGTACTTGCAGAACCTCCAAACACTTTGTGCAGACTGTTGTCACTTCCGCTTCATGCAGGCTGCTGTCACTTGCACGATGTTATGCGTATACAGATCATTAAAAAAATGCACTGCCAAAGGTACCTCTCCCACTTCCACCAGCATTTTCTGTTGTGTATTCAGTATCTTACGTGTATGTCCCATTGGTTCCAGCAGTAACGTTTTCCCGGATTCCAGATCAATGCACAGCATCGGGTGTGCATTATTATTCTCTTCTTCCTCTCTCTTTTGCTCACTCACTCACTCTCTCCATCACTCCCTCTCTCTCTCTCACTCTTTCTCTCTCTCTCTCTCTCTCTCTCTCTCTCTTTCTCTCTCTCTCTCTCTCTCCCCTCTCTCTCTGCCTCTCCCCCCTCTCTCTCTCTCTCTCTCTCTCTCTCTCTCTCTCTCTCTCTCTCTCTCTCTCTCTCTCTCTCTCTCTCTCTCTCTCTCTCTCTCTCTCTCTCTCTCTCTCTCTCTCTCTCTCTCTCTCTCTCTCTCTCTCTCTCTCTCTCTCTCTCTCTCTCTCTCTCTCTCTCTCTCTCTCTCCCTCACTCACTCACTCTCTCACTCTCACCCCACCCCCTCTCACCCCTCTCTCCTTCTCAACCGCATCATGCAGCGTATAATGTTGACGTCCGCACATCCTCCGTCCTGAGCTTCGATCCGCAGAATGCGTTCATTGACGAGGGCACAGTCACGGTGACACTTCGTAATACCAGCCCTGGACAGCGACAGCAATGCCGCTTGCAATCTCTTTATCTCACCGTAAGTGCACTGCTGTAGCTAAAGCACCCTGGATGCGAAAGAAAGAAGAGAACAAGATGAAAGAAGGTTGTCTGCAGCTGTACTAATGAAATCATACTCTGTGTTTTTCTTGGTTTGTGTGTGTTTGCCTGACACTGCAGCTGCATGTATACACTGTCACACTGTACTTTGCAAAACAAAATTTCGGCTGCAACAAATGCCCATGCGGAAAATAACCGAAAATGAATATGCGCCGAATATTTTTTGCCTTTCAGTACACCATTACATACACTTCTACACATTCACTGCAGCAGGGTGAACTGATGAACTATTGTGTGTGTGTGTGTGTATGTGTGTGTGTGTGTGAGGGGGGGGGGGGCAGGCGCGTGCCCTGTATGGGTTCCTGGGTGCCCGGAACCCCCTTTTTTCGCTCAAAATGCAGGATTTTGCTTAATTTTTTGAAAATTTTCCCGGGGAGCGGAGGTGCCCGGAATCCCCCCCCCTTGAAGGGCACCGGCGCACGCGCCTGGGGGGATCCTACTCTTTGTCCACTTTAAATCGGGTCTACTCTCTATGTCTCGTCTGTAAATGATTGTAAATTCTCTTTGAACCGCTGTGGTATCTCTAGTTGAGTTTGAAATCTTTCAAAAGCATGCGTATATTGCAATTCAAGCGTGTTTCTGGTTTTCTGTGCATTTCTGGTTCTTGCCCGTATGTCCCGGTGTGCATACAGTCCAACAATAAGATATGTTCCTCCACCAGTGTTACATTGGTCTCTTGGGCGCTGAAGTCAGAGGACAGCACCCCGGAAGAGCTGACAGCCATTGAGAATCTGCCAGTTCCCGATCAGCAAGAGAAAATCATAGAGGTACGATCCAGTTTGCTGAGCCGTCTTTGCCATGAGTGCACCAAAACATATTTCATTATAATTTTCAGACCGGGACAAATGACCTATGCTATTATTTCTCTTTATTGAATTCACCTCCAATGACAATAGCAGGGGCGGGGCGTCGGAAGGTATTCAACATTGGTGCGACGATGGAGAGAGGAGGGGGTCCTGTGGGCGTCCTGAATGGGAATTTTTTGGAAAATTGGGCCCAAAAGGCTCATCTTTTATTGCTTCAATCATCACAATATGAAAATATTGGTGCGACTTTGGCCGCACCTGCTGCACCGGTTCCGACGCCCCTGAACAGTGAGGTACGCTAGTCAGCCATGGTAAGGGTAACGGAATAGAAGGGAGGAAGAATAGCCCAATAATCTGAACAACCCTAATGTGAAATTTGTACTGTGAGTGTGTAGACAAAGGACAAATTCTATTTTGACTCGTGAACCTTTCATTCTTCTTTGGCAAATATGTACTGTGCAATATTTATAACCACTGTCAGCCCCGATTGACCTGGACTCAGGTTTTCTCTGGTCAACTTTGGCCAGTGAAGAAGACAGAGTAAGAGAAAGAGATCGAGAGATTGGGAGAGATATGCACGAGGTGGGGGGGGGGGGGGGGGGGGAGGGGGGAGTTGAAGGTTGGGGGTGGAGAAGAAAAAAAGAGAGAAAGAGGTGGAAGGAGATTTGAGAGTTGAGCGTCATTTCTGTTGGTTGTATGTTGTCTAATCTCAGGTTGATCTGGTAACCCAGTGTCCAACGTGCACTCCAGATCTCAAAGTTGATGGAGTCACTCTTACTGGCATGTGAGTTCTTAAATGCATGGTTTACGATTCTTTGAATGTCTCACCCATTCCTCTTAGTATCCTAATATTTCAGAATAAAAGTATCACCAGGGGTGGTATCCGTTTTGACAATACTCGACAAGCAACCAGCAGAGAGGATGTCTTGCCAAGGACATATCCTGACACACGAGGGATGTCGTGACTCGTGTATTGCAGGGGCTTTACAAATCTTACCACTTGTTACTGTACTCTATCCCGGTCACACAAATCCAGCACGTGCTAAATCAGCCATGGGCTCTTTGCACCTTTAATCAAATGTTCGTTTGAATTGAAGCACATTGCTGAGAAGCACCTCACATGATGTTAATTAATCTGACTTGGCTGTGCCTTGCCTTGGTGTGTGCGTTTCAGGGGTGGCGAACAGCGAATTGTGATTGGACGGAACAGACAGGTTCGGCTGAGTGCCAGCATCACTAACGTAGGCACAAAGGAGGTCTGCACGGGCACGGTTACTGTCTTCTTAGGTGATCACCTTTCATTTGGTTCTCTGGAGGTAAGCCTGTGCTATTGTTGTACATCGCAAATCACTCTCTCCCCCCCCCCCCCCCATTCACCGTACTTGTAACAGTTTTCCCCTGTTCTCTATAACTTTACACTCCCTCGCACCTCATGCGTCTTACGCCTGTCTATTAGCACCTTCATTGGCGCCATTGCCACATGTATACTATCACATTTTGCATATAACTGGTCGAGGCACGCTCAACCAGGCCTCTTACTTTTCAAGTTTGATTAAACCTGTTACACTGGTAGCAGAGGATGGTTCCTACTCTGCTTTTGGCAGGTGTTCTGGTCGCTCTGCTTACGCTCCTCGTACTCGTCGTTCGGCTGATAAACGATATCAAGACCGCTCAGCGCGTTAGCCAAGGAAACCGAACGATACATCCGAACTCGGAACCGTGGGAGCCAACACCCCGCCTTACGAAAGAGCCGCCTGTGTTTGGAGGAGATTCCGCTACATTCAAAGAATGGACGTTTGCAATGGACATGGCCCTACGGTCGTTGGCACTCCCAAATGCGGCACAGAGGGTCGACTACGCGGCAGGATTTTTGACTGGAAACGCTCGTCTTTGGTTGATAGCGGCATTGGAAGCTAACCAAGTGTTTTCCGACTGGCCTGCTCTGAAAGCGGCACTTGGCGATGTGTACGGACCACGGCACAACGAGGAAACATCGCGTATGGGACTAATTTCCGCAGCGCAGCGCGGGTCGCTGGACGCATACATTGCTGCTTTCACTCGCCTCAGCCTGCAAGTGCCGGAAATCGACCACCACACCAGAGCGCTGCTGTTCGTCAGGGGTCTAGTGCCGCACATCCAGCGACAGGTCATGCGTGAGCATCCACGTACCCTGGAGCAAGCTGTCATGGCAGCAAACACCGTGGAGCAGTCGTCAGGGCCACCGGCGTCGGGGCCACCAGCCAGTAGAGAGTCGCGTTCCGTGCCCAGCTTCCGTGGTCAGGGCCTCCGCAAGCTGACGGACCAAGAGCGTGTCCAACTGCGAGCAATGGGACACTGCTTTGCTTGCAGGAAGCCAGGCCACCTCGCTAAAGACTGTACTGAGGGTGGACAGCGCTACCCAAACGCTGGTCGCCAGTAAGAAAGGGGGTGCGCTTACTGGCGACGACCCAAGCGCCCACGCCGGTACCAGTCGCTAACCGGTTCGGAGCTCTGGAGGTTGAAGACGTTGCTCTCCAGGAACCTACGGAGCCGGAGACACCCATAGCTGTAGGAAATTGTCCCGTTGCAGAAAGGTGTCATGTCAGCAACGTCAGCGTCGGAAGTGCTGATCTGTATATTCAACATGTATTTCGACTTCATGGTTTGAGTTCTAGTATTGTATGTGATCGTGATCCAAGATTTACGGCAGCATTTTTTCAGGAATTGTTTGATCGCTTAGGAACGAAACTAGCATTTAGTACTGCCAATCACCCTCAGACAGATGGCCTAACTGAACGAGTAAACAGAATAGTAGAGGATGTGCTGAGGGCTTTTGTAAATCATAAACAAGATAACTGGGATATGCTCCTACCTCTCTGTGAGTTTTCTATCAACAGCGCTACTCAATCATCTACAGGAAACACACCGTTCTTCTTAAATTACGGTCTAAATCCCAGAGCGCCACCCGACTTCCTCAACCCTATTCAGGGAGGCAGAGATTCAGCTGATTGGTTGCAAGCAAGACAAGACGCGGTCAAGATCTCACAAGATGCGCTAGTGGCAGCTCAAGCTCGTCAGGCCTTCTATGCAGATCGGACAAGGGTCGAGGGAAAGCTGAAGGTGGGAGATTTGGTAATGGTCTACCGGGATTTCCTCCTGACTCCTGAAGCTCGGGACCGACCATCCCATAAATTACGCCCCAAGTGGTTTGGCCCCTTTCCTATAACCCATGTGGTCGGCCCGAATGCCTACAAGCTCAAGTTGCCTCATACCAGCCGCTGTCACCCGGTATTTAATGTGTCGGCACTCCGTGCCTACGAGAAGAACGCTATTCCTAATAGGAGACAGCCTACGCCTCCGCCTATCACGGACCTTGATGGTCATGCCCGCTATGTGGTGGAGAACATTCTCAGTCACCGCCGCCGGCAGAATCAGCTTCAGTACCTAGTCAAGTGGCAAGGCTACTCTGATGCCACTTGGGAGCCTGAACATTATTTGTTGGATGAATCTGGTAATGACATTGTTCCACTTCAGAAGTACAAAACCTTGGCTTCTGCCCGCTGAGTTTTGCAGTTGAACTTCTAGTTTCACCTTACACATTTGTTGAGCTTATTACACTTTATTTGCATGGAGTTTCAGTCGTCTTATTGTGTTACTTCAGTGCGAAGCCTTTTTTCGTCTCGCACGTGTTTGCGCTTATTGTACTCTATTCCACTTGAGCATTTGGGTTATAAGCTCCTTCCTCTCCATAGGAGGGGGATGATGTAACAGTTTTCCCCTGTTCTCTATAACTTTACACTCCCTCGCACCTCATGCGTCTTACGCCTGTCTATTAGCACCTTCATTGGCGCCATTGCCACATGTATACTATCACATTTTGCATATAACTGGTCGAGGCACGCTCAACCAGGCCTCTTACTTTTCAAGTTTGATTAAACCTGTTACAGTACTGCTGTAATTGTACTTTCGAGCTTCATACTTTACCATGCTAAAAGGTCAACATATGTGTAGTATATGGCCGCCTCTTTTGTGAATGGGAAATGCCAGCTCTTTTCGTAATACTGGTCGGGTGGTGTCCACTGGCGAGGTTTGCTGGGGGACTAGGTCTTTAGAGCCCAAGCCAGATAAATCAGTTTGCGAACGCAGGTGACCAGAAGGGATGATCATTGCATCTTCAGGTCAAATTCAAAACCAACATTTCCGGTAAATTTGTCGGATGAATCTGCACAGAATGATGTATAATATATTAACAAAAAATTCGAAGATGGGGCAGCCCCGGAAGTAAGTTAAGCACTTTTTCTGAGTGTGGCTTAGTAGCCGCACGGTAAGACAATCTTGCATTCTGGATTAGTTCTATTGTAGTGCTTTGTGATGACCGCCGATCAGGACCTGACACATACACTGTGGCTTGATGCTGACAGATTACGAAACGGGCCCCGTGTGTCTTTCTTGTACGTAGTATTGATGCAATTTCTTCAGTGTGGTTTTATCTAGATCTTGTGAAAGTTGCGGAATTGTTCTTTTGGCCTCGGTCCTCTCTTGTTTGCATCGTGGCTCTATTCAGATCCTATGATGGTGTGCTCTTTTGGCCCTCTCTCATTATCAGAATGGAGATTCGCGAAGGTGTCGTGAGGACAATGAAGCACGCACAGTCACTTGTCTATTGCCTCCAGGACAAGCGAGAAATGTTGCGGTTAGGTCTTTGCAAATGTTGCTATACTTGCTCACACACAACAGCACAGGGCCATAGCACAGAGATTATAGGTGGTCTCGAGTATTATTAGTAAAAAAAACGCTTTTCACAAACTGGGTGTGTCGACTTTGTTCGAAATATTGCCTAGCCATAGACGGACCGGTCTGACCGGGCTCCACGACCCTGATTGACAAGGTACCTTGGAGAGGAGTAGAGCAGCTCAGCTGGAGTACACTTATTCCAGCAGAATATGACCAGTCACTGGACTCACTACACATTACCATGACACAGACATATTTTTTAGTGTCTTGTTTCAGTGGGATTTGTGAAAGTACCGTCTGGACTCATGCGATTGCTCTATAGAGCGCAGAGCACGCAGTGTGAAAAGCTGTATACCGTAGCAGAACTGTCAGTGGTTGGTGCAATTGGATGAAGACACGGACTGCAAACCACAACTCATTGTGTTCTGTTCTGTCCTGTCCCCTCTGCCTGCAGACTGACTTCAAATTTGTGCTCAACGTACCCAAGGACTTAGACTCCAACACTCGAGACATTGCTGTTCGTGTCGGTGCATCACCGTAAGTTTTGTCTGCATACGTATATGGTCTCGATACGGATGTCAAGGAGTCAAATTTTGGTTAACTTGGAGGTCCAAACGCATCCTACTGGCACTACAAGGTATCTTTTTTTACCCCCCCCCCCCCTTCGGATACTGATATGCTTCATTCAACTGGAAACAAGGCAGTTGGGCTTTCAATCTTCCACACAAACGCAGTGATGTGTGGTACACCTACTTGGATGTATGAACGTTTGCACCTGAACGACCTGCGCAATGTCTGAACTACACTGCATGGCTGGACCACACTACACGTGTTGTAAAATTTAATCATTGCATGCATCCAGCATGGATCTACGGCTCTACAGGTCCAACTGAGCATATTCACTGACCATCGAGCATGGGGAGAGAAAATGATCAGAAATGAAATGGATATGTCCCCGGGCAGTAGAGTTTCAAGGGTCTGACTACACAAGTTCGCCAATGAGTGTGATCAGTTCTTTGATAGACTGTGTGATGGTCTGTTTTTGTTCTAATCTGCAATATGCAGTGATGCACGTCAGGATGCTGATCTCGACAGTGCAACCATGCAGTCTATTAGTGTTGTCCGACGGGCGTCCATTGAAGTTTCAGCGTAAGTTACATCGGCACAGATTCTGTACTATCCATGAGCATAACGTCTACCCGCAACGTTATTTTTTAACCCAGATTTGAACCATTCAGTGTACGCCTGATGTCGTACATTTCTTATCCGCAGTACAGTGTGCACTGCATGTTTAGATTCTAGAACGGTGCATCTATCTAGTGTGAGCGCTGGACTTAATAAGATGCATGCCGTGTGGCATTTAGGGATGTTTCCCGTCACCTCTTCGTACGTTATTGTGCGTGCGCTGGAGCCATCTTTAGATTCACTATCCGGCACCTTGTTCTTGTTGCTGATGTGTGCATGAAATCATACGCATCGCTTCGCCACGGGTCAGAGACATCCTACCCGGGTAGCTTTTTTGTCTTTGTTCAAGTATCAAGAAGTCAGTTGTCTGTTCCAGGATCTTCTTGTGTAGTTTATGTGAGTGTGTCGGATGTGAGGACGCAAGCGTAAAGGTTCTGATTTCGGTTGCACTCTGCATTTCTCTCTTATCCAGGGAAGCAACGAGCAGTCAGCTAGAACTTAAGCAAAATGTTCCACCTAAGCCTCAAATCAAGGATCTCGGACCGGAGCTGAAGCATGATTTCAGGGTAAACCTTCTTTTCCTTTTCTTTCTAATGCGTTTTGACAAAAAAAACTTGAGTTCCAGAAATCTGATGGAGCCCAGCTCAGTGAAATATCCATCACACCTCATCCCATAACATTGCACCTGACACTGCACCCATGGATATAACCGTATTTGGAGGGAATAGCACACTGTATACTTTGGTCAAGCACAGTCTACTGAAGATTGCTTGTGCATGAACATCTAAGTAGAGCAAATATTTTCCACTCCACTGAGACCTCTGTTTGGCAAGGCTCTCAGTGCAGCAGTTCTGTGGTGTTTAAAACCTCTTTTCAAGGTTACGTCATCCCGGCCAGACATTGTGAAGCTGAAGTCCTGAGATGGAGCCTTGTTGTCGGCGGCGTGCAGCCATTTGCCAGTCAAGAATTTGAAAACGGCACCTTTACAGGATGTGCACACGTGCAGATGGATACTGCAGAGGTGATGCTATGTATAGAGGAGAAGAAACAGCTCCTGACTTCTGACTGACATATTGATATTGTTTTGGGGGATCGAGGGGAGATATCTAAAGGTGTACACGTCACGAATAGGTCCAGCTACAAGGCGAGTGCTTCTGTGGTGGCCTATCTTGTACAGGTCAACAATGTTGGACCTAGCCAAGTTCCTTCCTCTGATGTTTTCATTGAGTGGCCAGCATCTCTGAAGACAGGCACATATTTACTGTACCTGACCTCTGTGACTGTAAGTCCTTTTTTTGTGATAAACCGGGCATATCTGTGAACATGTTAAAAATCAATATTTTGATAACATTATTTTCAGAACATTGAACTCGCATGTTGAGCCAAAGTAATCCTGGAGTAAAAGAGAAGGACAAAATCATTGCCATGCTTATACAAAATCGTAACTCGAAACATTTTGTCCTTCTTTTTTCTAAATCAAAATATTGATTTATCAATTCTGGCAAGATACGCTCGGGCCTGGTTTAAATCTGGCATTGGAAATTTTATTTTTCATTGCTATCAGGTTCGGCCTCATTTCCTCTGTGCTGCACTGATGAGTCGACAAAGGACAAAACAGTTCTGTCCGCAGATTGAGGATTTATCAATTCAAAATGATCTGCTGAGTGATAGTGATGAGAAAGAAAATTTGACCCGTTCTGGCTCACGCAGATACTGTCTTTGCTTCTCCTAGGTCTTCTACCCCTATTCTTCCCTCCCCCCCCCCCCACCCACACACTCCCCACCCACCTGTCCACACACACATGAACAATGATACGTGTGTACACAAACAAGAAAACCTGACAAATTCGGTAGATGGCAACACAGACCAACACTCAATCACACTGCAATATCAGCCTCCTGATGACAGTGGTAGTAACCGAAACATTGAACAACTACTTGTAATCGACTGTGCCTGCCTGGTCATTTCCAAGGGACTGTGTGAAATTGCAATGTGACAGAGTGTTGGCTAGTGGTGCCATCTACCAATTTTGTTACAATGAAGCTATGTAAAGGGTCGTTCCGAATTGTGAAGAAAACACAGTCAAGTTATAGCGTGCATGTATGAAGTAACATTGTTCGATACCAAAATCTTCCGTGCCATTGTGCGTGTACTAGTGATGACTGCGGAACCCATCTTATTCGTAGTAATATTTGTTGGCATTATTTAAACTGCTGTCTCTTTGAACTTGATTTTGGCGGTATTAGTGATGAAGTTGGCTGCTCCTCCGTGAGTGAGCCAAGTGTCAAGTTAGGCAGGACGTGTGTGTTCCACGTAGGAGCCACCAACTTTATGTTGTCTCCTTGTCGATTAGCTGTACACAGTTCTATGTTGGTCCATGTTTTGATTGTGCTGTAGAGCAGCGACAGCAACACTAGGTGTAATGCCAGCCAGCTGATTAACCATCGGAATTACGTGAGTGAAAAGTAGTTTACTTAGTTGTATCATCCCCATGTTGTACACTACCCATGCCGAACGATATGCTGCGAAACCCAAACGGACAGAAGTGAATGAGAAGACGGATCCTTTGGCTGAAAAAAACCCCAAATGAATATGTTGCCTTTCAGTGATGATGATGGCCACACTCATTTTACTCCGGGGTCTCTCTCTCTCTCTCCCAGCCATTTACCTTCTTACAGGTCTATTTAGCTATAACCACAATGTCAATTCCACAACGGAGGCTACTGGAAACAGATTTCTCCTTCTTTGCCAATGTGTCGGTTTATGACAACACACGTGTGGCAGTGTGTTTGGTGCGCATTCCAATAGAAATTGTCTTAATTCCGGCGTGCTTACTGATGCATGCCATTGGTGATTCACAGGCGTCGGCAACTTCAACATCAGCCACCAACGTTGCACAGTTCACGTCTGGTCCAAAAGCCTTGCCATACAACTCTGCTCGAAAGGTACAGTGTAGCTGGGTCCTACTGTTCCAAAGGATACTTTCGTCAGAAGACTAGGTTTGCCCGGAATCCATGCATGGCTGTTTACTTTCATTCAGGAATGATGGAGGAACTTCTCTGTTTTAATTTGCATGCTCAACTATTAGTAATAGATTTTTGTTATGAACTAATTTTCATTCCTTTCGGGTACTTAACGGTTTTGCGAAAGGTAATTCCTGCGTATAAATATGCACTTTGAAGGTTCTGTATCACATCAATGCGGATGAAAGACCAGTACTTGTTGGGGTAAAGACAATGGAATTGTGACATGGTCAGTTTCTACTGGACAAAACTTCCCTTCTAGTGGAGTGCTCAGAAGGAAGCTGCGAATCTATTTATGCTTAAGCACTGCGCATTATATACAGACTTCTCTATATTCCCAGTACTATATTGTCTGCTTTTTTCTCTTTGTTCGTACAGTGTACTCGCCCGGGGCTGGTCTGCTTCATCGGTATCATGTGTGAGATTCCGGAAATGGCTGCCGGGGCTGCCACGGTCGTCTCGCTTACATGGCGAGTGTACTCCAGCCTTACGGAAGACGTGAGTAGTGCTATCAATGCCATCTTCTGGCACACTTTGCTTGCGAACAGCGTGCACAATAGGGAAACATGTAGACATCCGTGGCACGGAGTGGGTACTGTGTTTTCTGGGGTATTACGAGCACTGGGGTATTACCCGCACTGGAGTATTACCCGCACTGGGGTATTACCCGCACTGGAGTATTAGCCGCACTGGGGTATTACCCGCACTGGAGTATTACCCGCACTGGGGTATTACCCGCACTGGAGTATTACCCGCACTGGGGTATTACCCGCACTGGAGTATTACCCGCACAGGAGTATTACCCGCACTGGAGTATTACCCGCACTGGGGTATTACCCGCACTGGAGTATTACCCGCACTGGAGTATTACCCGCACTGGGGTATTACCCGCACTGAAGTATTACCCGCACTGGAGTATTACCCGCACTGGAGTATTACCCGCACTGGAGTATTACCCGCACTGGGGTATTACCCGCACTGGGGTATTACCCGCACTGGAGTATTACCCGCACTGGGGTATTACCCGCACTGGGGTATTACCCGCACTGGAGTATTACCCGCACTGGAGTATTACCCGCACTGGGGTATTACCCGCACTGGAGTATTACCCGCACTGGGGTATTACCCGCACTGGAGTATTACCCGCACTGGAGTATTACCCGCACTGGGGTATTACCCGCACTGGGGTATTACCCGCACTGGAGTATTACCCGCACTGGAGTATTACCCGCACTGGGGTATTACCCGCACTGGAGTATTACCCGCACTGGAGTATTACCCGCACTGGAGTATTACCCGCACTGGAGTATTACCCGCACTGGAGTATTACCCGCACTGGAGTATTACCCGCACTGGAGTATTACCCGCACTGGGGTATTACCCGCACTGGGGTATTACCCGCACTGGGGTATTACCCGCACTGGGGTATTACCCGCACTGGAGTATTACCCGCACTGGGGTATTACCCGCACTGGAGTATTACCCGCACTGGGGTATTACCCGCACTGGAGTATTACCCGCACTGGAGTATTACCCGCACTGGAGTATTACCCGCACTGGAGTATTACCCGCACTGGGGTATCACCCGCACTGGAGTATCACCCGCACTGGGGTATTACCCGCACTGGGGTATTACCCGCACTGGGGTATTACCCGCACTGGAGTATTACCCGCACTGGAGTATTACCCGCACTGGAGTATTACCCGCACTGGAGTATTACCCGCACTGGGGTATTACCCGCACTGGGGTATTACCCGCACTGGGGTATTACCCGCACTGGAGTATTACCCGCACTGGAGTATTACCCGCACTGGAGTATTACCCGCACTGGAGTATGAGCCACACTGGGGTATTACCCGCACTGGGGTATTACCCGCACTGGAGTATTACCCGCACTGGGGTATTACCCGCACTGGGGTATTACCCGCACTGGAGTATTACCCGCACTGGAGTATTACCCGCACTGGAGTATTACCCGCACTGGAGTATTACCCGCACTGGAGTATTACCCGCACTGGGGTATTACCCGCACTGGAGTATTACCCGCACTGGAGTATTACCCGCACTGGAGTATTACCCGCACTGGGGTATCACCCGCACTGGAGTATTACCCGCACTGGGGTATTACCCGCACTGGGGTATTACCCGCACTGGGGTATTACCCGCACTGGAGTATTACCCGCACTGGAGTATTACCCGCACTGGAGTATTACCCGCACTGGAGTATTACCCGCACTGGGGTATTACCCGCACTGGGGTATTACCCGCACTGGGGTATTACCCGCACTGGAGTATTACCCGCACTGGAGTATTACCCGCACTGGGGTATTACCCGCACTGGAGTATTACCCGCACTGGAGTATTACCCGCACTGGAGTATGAGCCACACGAAATTTTTTGTTATAAAACACAGAAATCCACCCTGTACATGTACATGTCACCGGTCATGTGACCATCATGGTATAAGCTGTACTGGCATTTTTGTGTCATGTGACCATCATGGTATAAGCTGTACTGGCATTTTTGTGTCATGTGACCATCATGGTATAAGCTGTACTGGCATTTTTGAATTACGAGTGTTAAAACTGGCAAATGTGTGACTTATGCTCCCGAAAATACAGTACTTGCGCGATATTTGGATCTGTACAGGACCCATCCATCCAGCAAACCGCAAATGGACAACATCACAATGACACTGAGTACAGTCTCCAGCCTGCATGCCCATCCTTACACGTAGAAAGTAGACTGAATCCCTTATGTTCGCCCAATGTTAACATAATCGGATGGAGCCCGGTCTGCACACCGACCCCACTATCACTTGATGCCGTGTTTCTCCACTGTGCTGCATAGGAACGGCTCGAGTACCCGATTACTGCTAACTCATCCATCAAGTTGCTGGGAATTGATACTGCTCCAGGATTCACTAAAGAGGAGTCAAAGAGACCGATGGCGATGGTGAGCAGACACAGCGGTGCTGTAATTCCCTGAGTGTGACTATGCATGAGAGTGTAATGTGAAGCACGTTTTTTTTTTACAAAATGACCATTCAAGGTGTGTCATTTTGCATGCAAGAATGTTGACAAGATCTTTGAAGCTCCATTGTAAAAAAAAAAATTTCACGGTTCGCGTGAGACTCGGCTGGAAGCCGGGTTTTCCGCATCCGTAGGAACGCCACCACCCTTCAAGGATCAAGGCGCAGATGCAGCTCCTAAAGCGGTGGGAGGTGAGTAGATCAGCTCACCAGCAAGTGGTCAAAGACCGAAAATCCCATTCACTGCATCCATGTTTTCCTCGTGCCAGGCCACGAGTTCCCAATTAACTGTGGGTCGCAGCACGGCTGGAAAAAATCCTTCCGCTTCCAAGCAGGACTTGAACCTGGTACCCTCTGTTTCTCAATCATGGTCTTAGACCATCCCACTATGCCTGCCTGCTCCATTGTAGCCTTGTCATATTTTTAGTGCACCCAACTCGCAACACACGAACAGTCCTTGGCAACGCCACCGTCACCACAGGGATCCCTGTCGGCTGATGATGCTCTCCTGGGTGAAAATTTGGACGATTAATGTACGTGCTGGTGGTGTAGACAAAGACTGTTCGTGTGTTGCGAGTTGGGTGTACTGGAAAAAACGAATGTTATTAATGTGTAAAATACGGCAGGAGGGGTCTGATCAGGGACGCTTTGGTTGTTGTGATGTGAGTAGGTGATGAGAGTGTAACTGGGTGAAAGCTTGTCAAAAACTCTGGGAAGCGAGTGCAATTCAGTGCACCCATGACGTCTCAGATTTTATAAGCTTTTCTGAACTTTAGATACTGGCAACAGTTTCTTCCCATTGCAGTAGGATTTATTAGAACATAACGCAAAACAATGCTGGCAGCTGCTTGTCAAACTGTCCTGTCACGTAACAGCATTGATAGATTTTGCTTGACACAACCTGCTTGTTCGGGTGCTCTGCATTGGATGAATAAAATGTCTACATGTGACCTTTGCTTTGCATGTACTGTAACACCGGAAAGTCTAACGACCAAAAGGTTTAACGTTTTAGTAATTTTGGTATGATCACGTGCAGAAAGTTTAACGGTGGCTACCTGGCCACCCATCTGTATGCACATCTTTACACAGACATCTAGCGATAACGTTTTTTTCAAAGAAAGAAAAATAATTGGTCGTTGAAACATTAGACTTTCCGGTTTTACAGTACCCAGGTCGGGAAACGTTTACTTGTATAATTATTTGATATATTGCACAGATACAGAATGCTGTGTGCTTGCTCTTCTGTAGACCACCACAACTCTCTTCGCAGTCTTTGAGCCTCTGAAGGAAGGTGTCAAGTGGTGGGTGATTCTGTTGGCGGTGCTGGCTGGCGTCTTCATCCTGGCTCTGTGCATTCTTATACTGTGCAAGGTAAGGCGCTGGGCGAATGCTCCCCCCCCCCTCTTTTGGCTAGAACCTTGCACAAACTCAGTCTCTCTTGAGAGCTATGGGGTTCGGCCTCGTTTGGTCTCATCAGCAGAGCTCGGAGAGACTAGGCACATCGCCTCCAGTGTAGTGCAGCTCAATCTACAAGTAATCTACACTCTACAAGTAATCTACAAGTTTAAAAAAATGGAATCTGTGTGCACTTGCTTGATTTTGCTGCAATACATAGGATTCAACGTGTGCCCGAAATCTAATTTCTACAGAATACTGGTAGAACCATTGTGCATTAGGCGCACAGCTGCACATAACAACCAATGACATCAACCAATGACATCAACCAATGACATCAACCAATGACATCAACCAATGACATCATTTTAGTTTGCTGAGTATAGTGAGACCTGTTTAAGGCGACCGCTCAGGGGACCTTGCTAAAGTGCAGGTCCCTGTGTGTGTGTGTGTGTAGGTGGTCTCTTCAAGTTATCCAGGCTCATTTGACTGGAAATAACATCGCCAGATTCTAGTTGCAGTGGTCTCCTGGGACAGCTGGTCGCCTTGCCAGGTTTTGCTGAATTTACTCCCGAGAACAGGGCACAAACTTCAAAGTTCAAAAATTTGCCTTGGAAAAGTTGGCAATGACGATATTCAGGTTTCACCAGAATATCATGGTTCCAATAAAATCTACCGAGAAGAGAAGGATGAAATTTGGTTTAGACATCTTGGAAAGGAATTTCCGGCTGGTGATTGCACTTTGACACACGATGACTACTTACCGTAGTAACGCACATATAGGCGCATGCGCCTGTATTCGGATATAAGCATGGGCCTGTATGCGGATATAAGCATGGGCCTGTATGCGGATATAAGCATGGGCCTGTATGCGGATATAAGCATGGGCCTGTATGCGGATATAAGCATGGGCCTGTATTCGGATATATGCGCACTCTCACTTATAAGCGCATGCTCTTATAGGCGAAGCACTACCAAAATTCTCACTTTGACACAATCACGGATAAATGTCTGCAAACAGCATACAGGAACCATGAAACTGACACTACAAGACCTAGTCAAACACAAAGACTCCGGCAAACGAACTCTGATCGCGCATGCGCGCTTAGGTGAAAATGTTTCATTTTCGAAAATTGGATTCGTAGCACAAATTCACATGTAAGCGCCTATGCTTATAAGTGCGTTAGTACGGTATATTGAGGAATATTTTCTCATGGAAATTGTGGGCACAAGTTATGCGATCGAGTCCACCAACTATTAAAACTCAGATTTTGAACAGTCAGATGTGCACAATCTAGCACAAAACTGACAGTTTAGTTGGTGAACTCGATCGCATAACTTGTGCCCACAATTTCCATGTTACATTATTTTTCCTTGACTCATCATCTGAGTATAAAATAATATTGTCTCACCTCAGCTTAGGGATACACTTCTCAAAGTGCGAAGACTCCACTATAGCCATCCACTTTACCCATACATCTTGGAGAAAGATCACATTCTCACCATGATGATGTGCCTGGCCAGAACACATGGCGGAGTGTAAAGTCGTTCGCAGGGAAGGGACTGTTTTTTTGGAGTTGCAGACGAGACTGTTTGGAGTTGAAGAAGTGAAACATTGCACATGATGTTCACCTGCAGTATGTCAAAGAAACACAAAGCAATAGGAATTGATACCAGTGCATGGCTTGCCATTGTTATGCCTCGTGCAGTGTGGATTCTTCAAGCGCAAACGCCCACCAAGTGACTGAGACATTGCTAAACGTCACAGCCTTGACGCTGAGGAGCATGTGCGCGCTCGTGCCGGCTTGTGTGTGTGTGTGTGTGTGTGTGTGTGTGTGTGTGTGTGTGTGTGTGTGTGTGTGTGTGTGTGTGTGTGTGTGTGTGTGTGTGTGTGTGTGTGTGGTGTGTGTGTGTGTGTGTGTGTGTGTGTTTATGTGCACATGTGCAGGTGTGTACGTATGGATATATGTGCCTAATCATGATTGTGTGCCTAGTTCAACAATAGCATGTGCAATGGTCTTTTCATGGAGTACACACATGTGCATACATTTATATAATAGCATTATGGTAACATGTAATAAGAAGATGTCCCTGCCATAGCCTACACCTTGCAACTCCCTCTGTGAGTGCCTGCACTGCTGTGCATTGTAGCCTGATTGCTGCACCTTGTGTCTGCCAGCTAGCTATAAAGCTAACCCACATGAATTCTTTTTGAAGAATTCGTGAGTAAGCTGTTTTAAACACACCTGAAGACAGGTGTGACCAAGCCAGGGGTTGGAGAGTTAGTGGTCTCCTGCTGTTCCAGACTCTGGCTAGCTCACGTGAAGTGAGTGCTATTCACAATAATTATTTCAAGTACTTTGAAGTATGACTTCTAATAATTGTATTGGGGATTTGGTCTTTAACCCACTTTGCTGGTGGGTATGATCTATACTCACCTCCCACTGCTTTAGGAGCTGCATCCGCTCCTCGATACTTGAGGGTGGTGGCGCTCCTAAAGCTGGTAGCCCCCTAGCTCCAACCGTGAACTTTCTCTCTCTCATTGCAACCACTGGCCAGTGTGAAACATGGTTGTCAGAGGTGTTGGGAGCCTTTCCATCCAGTTACTTTCCACATTATGTACATACTGTTTTCTGAATATCTCCTAAAAAATATGTCTTTTCCATGTTGCACTGCTATATCTTCCCTTGGGCGGATTGGTATTTCAAATCGGGTTGGGATAACAGTGGAAGCAGTTTCATTGCCCATTTCTTTGAAGGTTTTTGCTATGGTGGTGGTATCTGGAGGGGCTTTGTGAGAGGTGAGATGCCACAAGTTATCATAGCTTTGAAAGACACAGTCACGGATGTTTCAACTGTCTACCACTCCCCCCCCCCCCCCCCGTTACAAAAATTCGAGTTTGGTCTGTACATACTTGTATGTGCGACGGGTAAACCAGGTAGGAAGGGTTGTTGCCACCGGAGTGTGCAGGACACAAAATCATAATATAGTGGCCCGTTGGTTTGGATGCCAACAAGTAACGGGAACACTTGCAGGTAACATAATATGTTGGGTAGTGAGACCCACATTGGAGTATAAGCCGCACTCCCCCCCCCCCCCATTTGTTTGCCACGAAATACAGACTGCGATCTATCCTTTATTTACCTCCATTAATTTGATCATCGAAGTAGGAACCCCACTTTTTTTCGGTGAATTTGGAGTGCTCAATGTGCGGCTTATACTCCGGAAAATACGGTATTATAGCTGCTCGTTTTAAAAAAAACTAGCGTTGGCGTTCTGTGTATAGTATCATAGCTGTACATCGGCACGTCGTCCCTATATCTCCTGTGTCCTGTTTTGTGTTTGTCTCCACATGTCTCTCGGTAGGGTTGTGTTCCCAGTAAAAAATAAAAAGGAAAAAATAAAAAGGACCAAGAAACTACAAATAAAAAAATAAAAAATAGAGTAAGCCGAAGAGCACCAGCGAGTCACTATCATGGGTAGCTACTAACAAGGAAGACATATCCAATGGACCATGTTTCCCCAAATATACTATGATCCAATAAAGACGACCTAGGGCATCCGCGCACGGCCACCGAAACACACAGTCTTGTAAAAAATTAATGACAGTAGCCAAACGATCAGCAAGTACAATGTGGCCGAAAAAACTGCAATTTCATTTCACGAACTGAAGCAATACTCGGAGACTGCTTGTGAACAAAATCAATTTTTTACCGAACAGAAGCATTGATGGGATTCTCAATGTAATGAATCACCTATTGCCGCCTCTATCACCTCAACATAGGACGTGAAAGTGATCACGCCAGAAGTCAAAATCCAACGACAAGATAGCAACTTTTGGATACGCTCTGCCCACACTAACGTTATGCTATGCTATGTCATACCGAATGTTCGCACCTTTAACGCCATGGAGGTATATTCGATTACAAAGCCAGTCTCAGATATGAAGCCATGGGCTTCATACATTAATGTCATTTGAAGCATGTTTTGTAAAAATTAATGAAGGATGAAGTACTATACTAAGAAACGTACAGGCCGGCAAGAAGGGTGAACAAGTGGATTTAGATTGTATTTATTTTAAGTTTATGTGCCTCGGACTTTGATATTCATTATGGCAGGGTGTAATGGGTGAGTCATTTCGCATCTAAAATAGCTAGGAAAGCAGCGGTGTTTCGAAAATAAGGCGCTGACACACGGTAGCTAAATAGTTTGTAAGGGGTAGACCTCTGACTTCTTTCTGCACTAGGAGTGGGTCCCTGACAGGAGAAGGCGCAGTACAATCTCTTACACAGCTGTCACTGCGCTGTGAAGGAAAACCACAGAACATGGATGGATCCATATAAAAACTGGATCTCAAAGTCAGCGGTGTCATGACCCCGTTGCTTTGTTTTGTTTTGTTTTTGATTTATTTTAGTTCGTTACCTCAACAGTACAATGTACAACTTCAAAGAGGGTCGAACAAGAAACAAAAAAACTCAGTGGGGGTGAACAGAAAGGCCGCTATGACGGAGCACTTTCATGAAGTATTATGCCACTCCCTGGTGGCAACTAGATGATGATGATAATTTTTACCGAGCTTTTTTCTTACAATTGGAAACAAGAGAATGAAGTTGAAGACTCCACTGCAGCGGTACACATGCCATGGTTGGGTCGTATGGGGGTGATGACACATCCGGGGAAGTGCCAACACACACTCTCTCTCTCTCTAAGCTGCACAGGTGCACTCTGGCCCAGAGCCACTTCTAATCACCACAACCTGATCACCACCATCAGAATAGGAGAGCTCTGTGCCAGAGTGTTACCATGGTTACTTTGCAGCTTAGAGAGCGTGTGTGGGCAAGCGTGCATTTACATGTACCTCCATTTCGCAGGTGTGTCTTTACCACCATATGCGTCAACTAATGGGAACTAATGGGAGTTTAGAAATGGACTCGGATGGAGAGCCAAGGATTAATTTATAAGGAACTACAAGTGCCTGGTGATGTTAGTGGACAGTATAGCGTAACTTGTAGTTCCTCGGTCCTTTCTCTTGCGTATACATTAATGAGAGTTTGTCGCTACTTCTGAGTTAATGGGAGACCAATCGAAAAATCGACTTTGACTGTTCGCTGCCTGTGAAGGGAGTTTGTCATTTCGCACTGACCTGTGAAGGGAGTTTGTCATTTCCCACTGACCTACATTGTATGAAGCCACAGTATGACTCAACCCCATCACAGATGTTGACAGTTGTAAAAGTACACTGTACTGTCGTGTCGGAAATGTCCTCCAGACCAGGCAGCAGAACAGCCTACACTTCGGATGATTTGTTCTGACGTGATCATTTACAGCTAGCCTATGTCTATGAGGCGGATTTGATTCAAACCCAACCTAGAGTAACGTACAAGAGAAGGCTGTAGTGTAATAGTATACCCTACTAATCAGCAGCGGCATTTCTTCCCTCCGTCCGAACCACTCCCACGACACAACCAACAACTCGGCTATAGCATACTGCCTTGCAGCTATCAGTTGCAACTCTCACCTTGGCCATTTTCTTCGTCCAACATTGCTCGTCGTTCATTGGTTGCATTGATGGATGTACCTGGACCTCTTGCTCGCTCATCTTTTGCAGCTTCCTCCGAACCTGGAAAATCTCCAGAGGTTCAACTACCAGTTGAGCAGATTACAGGGATGATTTGGCCTCCAAGTCTTCTCGTTCACGGAGTTTCAAACCTTTTCTATTTCTACTTTAAGACATAGGACAAGTCAAGATATCGAGAGCGCGCAGATCTAAAGTTAGCCTGGGGAGACGGGGCATAAGACTGGCTATGTATCGCTAAAATGCGGTGTGTGTGTTATTCTCCGGAGTAGCTCGTTACAGTCGCAGAACCAATCTATTCAAGGTCGCATCGCTTATCTAAACCACCACGCTCATACTCATACTCATGCCCATCGCTGAAGCGATGATAGCGAACCAGCTATGTTAGACATAGCAATTTCAACTCGTTGTGTTTGGATTACACCATCACTTGCAAGACCGCCACTGCCACTACGCTAGGGTCACCAGGTCAAGGCCGCGGTCGGGATCTCGAGCTGCATAAGCCACAGAACAAATCCGGGGTTGAAACTCACGCACATCGTTGAGTAGATCTACTTTGATAACAATAATTATTACTGTTTGTGTGACCCGCATCAGATCCCAGGGTGGGGTGATACGACTTACTGAAGCCAACACAGAATCGCCTCGGCTTAACGTTATGCCTCAAGCTAGTCCAGCGGAGCCGGCCGCTGGACCTTGCAACAGTTGAAGTACTACTTCAAGAAGTAGGTGCGCATGTGCCGCGGTAGATTCTGCGTCTCTTCAGTAGTTTGTGGAGTACATGATTGTACTCTCTCAGCCTCGCCCAACTAATCTGTATTAGGTAATACACTGTACGTCGATACGAGTAAGGTTCGAAGTCAACTTTACTAGGGCCATAACAAACTTTTTCGCATCATAGTACTTCTTCATGTCAAATCCTTTCAATTATCTTTATAGAATTCTCTCTATCGCTGTCTGTCTCCCTGTCTGTCTCTTTCTTCTCTCTCTCTCTCTCTCTCTCTCTCTCTCTCTCTCTCTCTCTCTCTCTCTCTCTCTCTCTCTCTCTCTCTCTCTCTCTCTCTCTCTCTCTCTCTCTCTCTCTCTCTCTTTCTCTCTCTCTCTTTGGTGTCACATAGTGCTATCCACTCTCCCCCCACCCAAAAAAACAAAAAACAAAAACAAACGTCGGCCTAAGGCCTAGGGCCAGTAGGGGAAAGGTTCTATGCAGCGTGCACTCTACGCAAGAGTTGTTTTATTTTCATTGTGTTAACGTGCAGCAGAAACCGCTTTGCAGCTACAGCAAAGCGCAGGGCTAACCTGGCTTTGATAATTTGGACGGTAGTACAGTGCATGCTTTAGCCGCAGTCAGTAGGTGTACACACCAGTTGGCGCTATGGCGGTGCTGGAAAACTCGCTGAAATTGAAAACGGGTTTATTCACAACGCCAATTGGGCCAATCGCATGACGCCACGAAGTAAGAGTCAAAGCAAAAAGACAACACAATTTCGGAAATACATGGAACACTCAATTGAAGTATAAATTGAACACAAAAGCTTCACAAGAAATCGTTACCTAATAAGATTGCTTACCGGCATGCAAAGGCGAAGTCATGCCTGTGTCAGCACATCCGTTGGCGACAATGATTATGTCACATGGCAATGATTATGTCACATGGCAATGATTATGTCACACTATGTAAGAGGCCCTGCAGTAGGCATTGGCGGATAATGTGGCAGATTCTGCTCGAAAAGCAGTGAAATAATTGGCAGAAACATACAAACCTTATGGCGGGCAATTCCCCGAATTGGCCTATGGCGGTGCCAATTTTTCGGCCGGCATTATCCGCAAATGCCTACCCTACCCTACACTGCAGCCCCCTAAAGCACGTGACTGCCCATCGCAGCAGGCAACAGGAAACCCGGGCGATGATAGCGAACAGCCATAGACATAGCAACTGTTACATGTGCTGGGATTACACCATTCAATAGCTTGCAAGGCTGATGAATACGTAGTGACCTAGTATAGGGTTAATCTGTGCCGCACATAGGCTGTAGCTCCAAGCACTGATCTTGACGCACTATCCCCTTGGCCCGCGCAGTCCATGTTGATTCCGAGACCGGAATGGTCGGAGGAGTGCACTGCGCCGGACTAGCAAGGCTCTTGTAGCACCTACTACTCCTTTGTGGTCTTGACAGTATGAGATCCCTACGATCTGATCAACAGTTTGGCCATAGCGATCGCCAACAAGCTCAACTCACACCTGCTTACTTCACAAGCGTCGAAGTATGGCCCATCTCTTTGCCGAATATGCCATTACCTGCTGTGGGCCGATTCGCCTCTAGCTGCCGCGCCCGTTGTATTAAATTAAATCTCTCAATACAAGAGGGAGAGAGATAGGAAGCCGTGTTTCAAAACAGCTTCCTCCCTCTCTAATTTTTCTCTCTGTTTGACAGTGTTCTGGAAGGCTCTACCGTACACATGATGCACAGTATTGTAGGAGTATTGGAGGACTCTTCGAGCAGTAGAAGTACACGCTACTTGATTACGTTGTGCAGAGTCATGTACACGTAAATGTTACTACATGTAGTACTTACAGTGTAGAAGAGAAGAGACAAAGGGGGTTGTTGCTGCTACTCCAAGCGTCTCTCGTTATTTCGTTAGTTTCACATGGTAGCGACCATCAAACAGCACACTACTATGTCCATTGTACATACATGTAGTAAGATGATTAGTAACTGTTATAAGCTTTGGGTTTGACTGGTGTATAGCTCGGTCTCTACCCTCGTACTCGGTACTACATGTATGACACAATGTATCTACCGGTATGGCATAGTCATTGCCATCACAACGCCATTCGTGGATTACATTCTACAATTCGAGATCTTCTATGGGTGCGATGTGTCAATGGCCAACTGCTAGGTTCAACCAGACAGTACACTCGCGAACGAGTTGGCTGCAGTGCAGAGACAAGATTGGGATGTTGAGATCAGAAACATTGTTCCGAGATTAGCCCTTGGCGGATTATGCTGGCATAATTTCTGGTATAATCTTCGGATTTTGTCTAAAAATTATGCCTTGGCATGAAAAGAACTTCTGAGTCCAGATGGTCGGCATAACCTTGCGATGCTGGCTGAAGATCAATGCTCTAGGCATATTTAGGCATGTTACAGGAAATAACCTGGCACATGTTCCCCGTGTACATGTACATGTAAGCCGTGCTGTCATGGTGCCAGAGTCTTTGTAACGTTGCAAAGTGCAACACGAGTGCAAGGGTACAGTATAGCACCATCATTGGTATAATTCCAGCATAAAGTAGCATAGAGGCAGTATGCTTAGGTTTTAGCATAATAACTGGAATAATTTGGGCATAATAGTTATTATGATAGGCACGTTGCCTTTGGGTCATTTCATAATAATAATAATAATTATTATTATTATTAGAGAGGTTGAAGGGGAAGTTAAGGCAAAAATTAAAATTTCACCAGTTGTAGTCCTCGGGGTGCTGAGTCGAATGGTCTTGGTCCGAGAAAGCTGAGACGCTCCCTTCCTACTTGAATCCCAATCGAACTCGCGCACTTCCACCGAAACTGGGTAACTGCGCCCTACTAGATGGGGATTTGTATGCAAAATGTCACTAAAAGCGCCATTTCGTTCTTATAAAAGCACGGATGACCGCGATTGGCCCATATGTTGTAGTTTTTTGGACGCTGAGTCGACTGGTTTTGGTCCGAAAAGGCTGCGATGCAGCGTTCCTCCTTTATTCCCAATCGAACATGGTTGAACAAGCGGTCACGTGCTCCTGCGTACACCAGTCACCTGGTCACCGTGCCTGCAGGGTACAACTAAACTTACTAGCCTATTTGACCTTTTTTGGGTGCAGTCCTGTCTCTCGAATTGAACCTTGGTGTGAAAGTTGTCGCCTGCTGGCGTGGTGACCAGGTGATTTGGGCACCCAGGAGCACGTGACTACTTGTTCAACCATGTTCGATTGGGAATAAAGGAGGAACGCTGCATCGCAGCCTTTTCGGACCAAAACCAGTCGACTCAGCGTCCAAAAGACTACAACATATGGGCCAATCGCGGTCATCCGTGCTTTTATAAGAACGAAATGGCGCTTTTAGTGACATTTTGCATACAAATCCCCATCTAGTAGGGCGCAGTCACCCAGTTTCGGTGGAAGTGCGTGAGTTCGATTGGGATTCAAGTAGGAAGGGAGCGTCTCAGCTTTCTCGGACCAAGACCATTCGACTCAGCACCCCGAGGACTACAACTGGTGAAATTTTAATTTTTGCCTCAACTTCCCCTTTAAGATGCACGGTATTTCTGACGTGATGCGAAAGTTCAGCTCGCGTTATTTGGCTCGCACGTCGAAAAATCAACGCGATGGACCTGCTGCTCACGTCGAAATTTGGAGTTTTACGCCAAATTTGACGTGAAATTGCGCGTCACGCCGGAAATACCGTGCATCTTTAAATTCTTTTAAAACCTCTCTATTATTATACGCATTCCCGCGTTGAAGTGTAGCAGCAGTATGCTGCGTCCACAGCTTCGCTTATGCAGAATGGCTTGGGTGAGAGGAGAGGGGAGAGAAAGCAACAAGGCAACCAACATCTATGAAATAAGTCACGATAACTTGAAGAGAACCAACCTACATGTACATATGCATGATTGCACAAGAATGGAGACGACAAATGGCTATAATCATTGTGCCACAAAACCGGTACACAGGAGATTTGTCGACAATGTAACGAAACATAAAACTCAGTTACTCAATACAGGTTCCACTAAATTACAAGAGAACAACGCTACAACATTAGAATTGCCGCTAAATTATCGCAAGTGTAGAGAACGAGTCAAATACAAATGAAAACCATGAACAGACTGTCCCGAAGTTATTTTGGGAACAAATTGTACTACTTGCTGACACTGACGCTGACGGAACACGAATTTGAGTTGAATACGCATAATGGAAAGGCATAATGGAAAGCATAATTCATCAATTTACCGAGCATAATCCGCCAAGGGCTATCGGAAATCCTAGAATAGTAGCCTAGATTGAGTTATTCCGTGTCGGCGTTTGCTGAATCCTGAAAAGGTAATACATGTACTGGGGCGACAAGGCGACCCAATGCTGAAACTAAAGCCTAAGCAAAGCACACTCTATAACAGTATAGTGTGACAAACGGCCCCAATCCAGATCTACCTCTTGTCCTTGAAATTACTACGTCACGGTACAGACAACACAGTTGTACACCACTACTCAAAAACGGTCTCTCGGCTACAAATCCTTCCAATACATCTTCAGGAATAAAAAGTCCAGAACAACGACTATGTTATATCTGACAAAAAACGATGAGACATATGGCACCAAAGGGCAGCAAAGGATAGCGGGAACAAAAACAGCAGTAACAGCAGCAGAAGCAGCAACAAAAGCAGTAAAAAACACACGAAGCAGGCTAGAACATCGCAATCCCCAAAACAAAGCAGTAGCCTCACACCATCCCCAACAAAAGTAAGCGTATGTTCTATTACAAAAAGCACAAACTGAACATATCAGTGACAAATAATGCCTATTAGCACCTAAACATCGCCCAACAAACGCCAGCCCTTGTCCATACTCACCGCCGGTTTCCTCTTTCGCATGAAGAGGGCCTCCATGATTCGGCGGTCTACGTAGGATCTCTGCCTCTGGGCAAGAATCGAGGCTTGGGAGAATGGCAAAGGTGACTGGGAAAATTTGGCGTTTCTTCCCATAATGTTCACCCCAAGACTTTCCCTGTGTGGCGTGCCTGCGCGTGGTGCTCCTCGCTGCGCTTTCTCACCGTCTGCTCAGTCTCACCGACATACTCTTCACCACAGACAGCACCCTTCAGCGAATACACACAACATCCTTAGACATACATGTACATGGACATGACTGTATTCCGTTGAAGGCCAGCATCACGTCCACGACACGCAGCCGGCCTTCCCCTTCCCATCTTCTTCTTCTGCCGCTGTAGGTCCACCGTTCTTGGGCAAATGGGCCGGCTGAGTGACGACGACACCGACATATCACGCAAAAAAACGTCCGGACGCGAAAACAAGTTTTAAACAACACGTATGTCTTTACTGAAAGAGTCTGACGGTTTTTTGGACATTGCTAGCGAGCCTCTCGTTGATGCATGGCACCTTGATGATGGATGTGTATTTCTTTTTCTCTTTCTCCGGCTGCGCTTGACTAAGATAATGACTACTCCGCTGTGATGTGATGTCCTTGGTGTCTTTGTATGGCCGATTGGATGATCGCAGTGCCAGTGGGATAGTGGTTGTTCTGGAGTAACGTTGTTATCTTGGTGATGCTTCGTTGACGTCCATCTGACTGTTGTTGAGTTGGCAATTGTTCTGCTGGACAGGTTGGTCGCTACGGTGATTTTGGTGTCCAACGGCAAGGACGACAAGTGTTCGCCACTATGAGACGGCTTGACAAACAGCTCTCAATCCAGCTTGCCACTAGAGCACGATATGGGCAGGTCCAAATAACTGATCGTGTGAGAATTGGAAGAGCATGACGTGTATTCCGCTGTGAATCGTATAATTATGCGGATGGCGAGAGTTGAGGTATTCAACACATAATTATTATTGTAAGAACGATGCGACGCCAAACAGACAAACAATTATTATAATCATGCGAGGATCGATCGAGTACTAGCCCTCGGCCTACTGTCTGGCTTGGGATGGACCCGCTGGCCGCCAGCGTTCGACGCCAAGGCCAGTGGCTGTGTTCAGCAATAATTATACTGACGATAGGCCTCGCAGCTTGGTATCTAAGAAGATACACAGCAAGAGTACAAGCAGCAAATACTGGTAGTACTAACACGTAACAGTAGTAGAGGGTTGCAATGCCGAAAGATTCAGCATCAGCTCAGCGAGCTCCTTTCGAGGATGACCTAACGTCATAAGCATAGAGCAAGTATGGCGCAAGGTCCAGTTCGCACCCGGACCCGCGTCCCGCGCATGGTCTAGAAGAAATAACATGTTACTCATCATTCTGTATACTAAGCTGTTCCTTTTGTCTGATTACTACGAAAGGGTATACGCGTGAACCCATCATGGCAGGTCAAAACCTGTGGGTGGCTTTCCCTGGTGCCTTGGTGGGGCCCGGGGACGTACATGTACATGTCCACTGTACTACCTGACTGTACTCAGTCTGTAGCGAGTAAAAGCGGAGTGCCCGGCAGAGAAGACGACTTAGTCTTTATAAAACGACTGTCGGCGCTCTGCTTCAGAAGTGAGCTCTGCGCGAACGAGAAGCGTCCTGCATCTAGGATGTCTTTTAGTTGTAGTTGTACCTGTGAATGCTATGACTGTACTGTAAGTGGTGTGGACTCCGGTAACAATTATTATGAGCTTCTGCCGCATGTGGCCTCTAATTCCTATTACTTTGAAATTCTCAGGGCCGTGAAGTCCAAACTTGTTTCTTCGTTCTGTTGCATGTGTTTTCTATTCCCTCGCTGAACTGTCATTGAAAAAGAGGCCCAGCACTAGAACCTGAACGTTCTATGAGTTTGATCGAAGTAGAGTTTATGCAGATGCTTGTTATAAGACAATACGGTGTCACCTAGACAGGGAGAAATCCACAACCAAGCGACCTATCCAGGTGAGTAAAGAATCAGATTTTTCTACTACAGTGCGGGGAGAAAATAATTTGACACGCGTCCGCGAAGCGGAGTGAACCGCAGAGCAAGGGTGTGCGCCGGGTTGTGAATGTGAGTTCCAACGATTGATCATCTCTTGTGATGCTTCCGTTATTGCAGGTGGAAAAAATAACCGCGCCCCGATCGGCGACGGAAGAAAGACGTCTAAAACATGGCGGATATGGAAGGCACAGACGATCAGCGGAGTGTATCTGCAGTTGAAGATCATTCACCATCGCCATCGCCCGCTGCCGTCAGTAACTCACCAACGGTGCAAGAGGCCACAGGAACAGGTGATATCGGTAACGTTGGTGCAGTGCGGAGTCCTAGGTATCCCGATCGGGATGTCCTATCGATTGAGCATGGGGCTCCAGCAAGGGCAGCATCCGGCGACGAGAATGGAGGTGCGGATAGCAGCTCAACGAATAACGCGGAAAACCGATCGCCCAGCCTGCAGATTGCCATGCACCGAGTCTGGTCTGGCTGCAGACGCGCATCTCAGAATGCTCGCCTGGAAAATATGGAGGCAGAATCACGCAACGTTTTGGACAACAATGACCGTGTGCCCTGGGTAATTCCAGCGCATTTCCCCAACACGTGCTACACGGAGAAATTTGGCTACGTATGTAAGTGAACAACTTTCTTTTATGAGAAGCTACTAATGCGGTAATGGCTCTTTATTTCCAGCATTGCTCTACTCAGGATGGGGCAGATAATTATCATTATGCCTGGGTTCATACAGTACTGTCTGGCGCTGAAGAACGACGAGGCTAGAAGTTTACCAAGCCCAGCATACCAATATAATATACACAGGGACTCTACTGTACAGAGGCAGTAATACAAACAATAAGAGGACAGAGAAAGTGTTTTTACTCCGAGTTTCACGCACTAAGCTCTTGGATAGCCTGCAACCTGTCTGTTTTATAGGCAGTGATGCATGAAAATAAGAAGGGTCTAGGCTAGGAGGCTCACCCCGGCCCCCTAGTTCTTTGGCGACTGGCAGTGCTGTATGCCCTAAACGTCCTTCAGGGACGGACAGAATGTATCACAGGAAATTAATTATTTGAAGGAGTGATCTTTAGCATAAATAAACGATGTTGTTGCGCTGCTTTTCAGTATGTCAGTGGCGGATAATGCCCTGTATGAGGAGCACCCTTTCTGCACTCAACACTGTAAGGTAATTCGTGTACTCTCCATGCCCGCACACGTTCTATCATGCAGGCGTAAGCGCTGCCCGTTAGCGGCCAGCCTATTTCAACATTTGTCCTGCCGTGTGGAAGTGAGGCGTAAAGCTGTGTTCAGGACTGGTGTGTGTACGCATGAAACCACGTGCTCGTGCGTATTTTTCTGGCTTTTCGAGCGTCATGTGCATTGAAACGCACCGAAATAAAAATTCGTAAGTGCGAAAGTATGTGCAAACGTTGTCACTGTTTTGATATTGTAGTACTGTGGTCCCCACTGTTGTCTGATACTATTGGTTGTTTCACAATGTAGTTGGCGCCGCTAGCGATATATCAAGTTGTCACTGCTCTGACCGCCGAAGTGCCGGAAACAATTGTACACATGTACTCGAAGATGTCGCACACCCTAAAAATGCGACTCGAATTGCTGTTTTGTGAAAGCCTACACGAGCGTTTGGCACGCATGAAGCGCACGCATACCGCGTCCACGCGCCAGTTGTGAACACAGCCTGAGCCTTACCCCATATGCATCCCCTTCCACATCTGTGGCGTAGCATGTGAAAGTGCTGTGCAAACCTAGCCTCACTTGCTTCTCCTTCCACATTGGCATCACCGTGTGGTTACCTGGGTGTAAACGGTACCCGTAGCTGTACTGTCGGGCGCCAAAGAACGAAGCGCCCAAGAACGAAGCGACCAAGAACGAACGGGCTAGGATTCACCCAGCACAGCATACCAATGTACGACTGTGACTCAACTGTTCACAGACTTGCATATAAAACGACCTACAGTCCATTCAGAAAAAGATGAGCGCTGGATCTGGCGAGCTCCCGTATTTTGGTGATTTTTCGTGATGTTGTGGTACACGGTGCAGTGCCGCGAGACTTGAAACTTGAAACAGGATCCAGAAAAAGGTACATCAATTGGGGTTCGAACCGCACAATGTACTGTTCTGTAGGTGGTGTGAACGGCCTGGATTTTCATGGTTTTTCCCCCGATTCAGTGCTTTGGGGGCAAAACCTGGCCGATATCCTATTCTTGTTATGGCTTCCTTTTTGGAGAAATAGACTTCAGAATAATATTTGGAGAGGATTCCATTGGGATTGCCGAAAAAATTGTGAAAACTCAAAATTTGACCCATTTATGGCCAAAAGCTAGGATATCATCTTTTTATGAATGGACTGTAGGCTCCAACTGATGATGATAGGGAGGTTTCGCTCTACGTAATTACGTATGAAAATCCGCATGTCGTACGCGCCGGGGAGCGAGGGCAACTTTCATACGTAAATCTCTCTACGGATTTCCGTAGGAAAGCTCTTTCCTACGTTGGGTCCTCCGTAGGACTTTTTGAAATATATGTTCGCATTTTCCGCAATTGTCCATGGCAACATTCAAGCCGCGCGAAACACAAGGTACACACACCGTACACCACGTGCAAAATATCATGGAAAACGCGGTTTCGGTTCATGGTGCATACGGTGGGCGCATGCAGCCAACGCGTCTCCAAAGCAACAACGCATGTTGAGCAGTCGTGGAGAAATCACGTAGAGCGAAACCCAACAGCTCTGATTTTCACGTATGAAAATTCCGTGCAGTTCATACGTTATTTTCATACGTAATTCCGTAGAGCGAAACCTCCCTGATGTCACACCTTGACGCGGAACAAAGTCAATGGTGACTAAGTGGTATGCTGATCATTACCAACAGCAGAGCATAATTGTCAATCGCTTACCTGCAACCTTCGCAACCTCTCCACATCCAGTCATCTACGACAGCATGTTCTGGCTGAACACGTCACCTCTGTCATCGCACACAACGTTCGAAGCATACGCCAACTTTCTATTCAGCCGCTGGGTGAAAGGACCATTCGAAAAGAATGCCACCAGTGTTCACATTGTATTCGAAGACAGCAGCGTTGACATCGTAAGCCCAAAGAGCATCCTTCGCCAGGTGCGAGACAGCAGCACCCAGCACGAGGATTTCGCACAGGAACATGCCAATTTGTGACCAGGATCCAGTTCCCAAGAATTGGAAGCGCTTCCTATCGTGCCGACCATGCAAGCGACGCCTTGTGGAGTTCATCAGCATGGCGAGTCTGCGACTTGTTCGCAGGACCTTCAAATGTCACGAGCAGCAATTCGTCACCTCTGGTGGGTTCTCCGAAAACCTGGCAGGCAAGGCCCTTGGTATAATTGCTGGCAGGGCAGAGCTGTTTGAGTTTCCTTATGGCAGCAATGCCGATGAAGGTGACTCCAGGGTTTGGAGGCATACACTGCAACATCAGCACGCAATGGTGTACAGTCCGGACACCGACACGTTCCACATCGGCCTGCCCCTTGTGTGCAGCCAGTCAGTTTTCGTGCAGCTGGACATGCCAGATAGCCGGGAGCGAAGCTACATCTCTCTGAACGCCCTTCAGAGTAGCTTCATGGCTGATCCTGACCTGCAGTGTGTGCCGGCTAACAAGAAATGCCGCACCCTGCAGGTCGCGTTCATAGCCACAGGGTGTGATTATGTATCATTCTTCCGCTGCATCGGCAAGACGTTCTTCATGCACACCCTGGTGAAGAATGCAGCATTCATCACCGGAGGAAGTAGTGATGACGGGGTGCCAGGAATGCTGTGTACGACACTGAGAATGAGCATGGCTTCCTGGCATTCGTCCGCCTGATTGGTTGTGCATACCACCAGAAACACACAGCAGGATTTGAGGACAATGGCCCTCGGTCACTGCTGAGTCGGCAACAAGGAGCAACCGCCGAAGAACACCACACTACATGGCTCAGTGACATACGAAAGGTGGTATGGAACAGAGTGGAGCCAGAAGAGGACTGCCCTCCATCTTGGAGCGCCCTGCGTCTGCACTGGCAGAGAGTGTGCTGGGTGGCAAACATGTGGGCGCAGGCCACCCAGGAGCAAGTCAATGTTCTGGATCCCAATAAGTATGGTTGGAGGACAGACGGCAACGCTGTCAGTGTCGTCTGGGACACAGAAGAGCACATGGCTGCAGTTAGGTCACGAGTGATGCTGCTTACTCGTGGGTGCAGCTGTAAGTCTGGCTGTGTCACCAGGCGCTGCAAGTGCTACAGGTCTGGTCGCTGTGGTCCTGGTTGCAAACGTACTGGCTGCAAGAATGTTGTCAGCAATGTCGTCAGTGAGGACGGCAATATTCACCATTTCAACCCCGAGTCTGAGGAAAATTGCAGTGCTGCTGATGAAGACTCAGATGACGATGCTGATGAAGACGCCAATGATGGTACCGTGCAGCATGGCGAACCACTAGATGAGCACACACCCCAACCCGCGCTCGTCGACACCACCACTCCTGCAGAGATTGAAGAAGAGCACATGGAGCCATGATCGTCACGGTTCTGTGCAACTATGGAATGACTGTAAGTGTCAATAATATTTTATAACCAGCTTTAACCAACTTTTCATGAGACTTTGTGGTCGGTGTGTTCATGTATGTATTAATGCAGAGATCAATAGATTGCCAAACATATCGACATACTGGTGGACAAAATATACCAAGGAGCTTCATTTTTGGTACTAATAGTTCGGCTTAGTCCCAAATCTGCCGTGACACGATAGCCCTAGGGTTCACACATACGCACAAGGAGGAAAACGAGAAAACAAAGCTCTGAGCGTTCACCTCGATGCAAGCACAAAATTTGTGCTAATGTTACTTTTTTCAGATTATTGTACTGCTCAATGGAATTTCGGGCCGCACCTTGTTGCATAGTCCGATCACATCTAATTTCACACTGGTAGAACCCAAGAGAATAACCAACAACTTACAATGGTAGAAACTGGTGTCCGTGACCGATGTCCACCTCTGCACACCCGAGAAGTTGAGCGTGCACGAAATACGAAAAAGGACGACGTCGAGGTAACCTCTCCTGATGGATCCCAAATCAACACAGCTAGTCTCAGGGGAAGGCATAATACTAAGAAGAGAGTGGGCACGTGCCAGTAAACTAGTTTACAACAGCTACTTCATCCACGAAAAGCTGATATAGTCCATGATGGTTCACAAAATACCAAGAAAACAATTGGGTCGGCGTCGTCGTTTTCACCTCATTTTTTTTCCCCGCGGTTGCAAATAAAATTGGCCTCATCAGCGCCTTGGCGCATCGACTGAGGTAGGCCTGTTTCGGTGGCACTACACACTACATCTCTGAGTTACCAGGTTACAGAAAATATTTCTAGGATTTTGACATACTACACAATCGGGTATCATATAAGTGGGGCCGCCGGAGTCAACTTTGGATAAGAAGTAGCTGGGATTCTACATACGTTTCTCCACTCACCAAGAGGGTACGTCTTACCCGAGTTCCATTGTACTAATATTATAATTCTGCCATTTTTCGTCTACCCTCATGCAGATAACCTCCAGTCACGTCTGATGAAAAAGGATCTTACTTTCTCCTTTGCTAACAGATCTGACCGGATTCCCTAAGGAACCAATTTCCAGAATAATTATTACGGCGCGGGAGCCTGAGAGTTGATAAATGCTCCTTGCAACTCTTCAGCGTGCATCGATAATGCTGGACATTGCCCCATTTCAAGAGATTTGTCAGCAAGCTCAACCTGATGTCAATCGGATACTCCAGAGGGCACAACTTCCAGCAGGTCAGTGCTTCACCTATGACGATCCGATTTTGTTGATCAGATCACCCTCATACGGTGTGGCACAACATTTTAGGTGGAAAGATGTAACTGCTGTGTAAACTGTATGGCTTGGATTACAATACTTTTTCACTGTGTACGAGCAACTAGCATTTTTCACCTGAAGGAAGCCGATGTTCATAATTATGATAAATACCTTTAAAGCCAGAGTTGTCTGCCACATCTAAGTCACCTGTTCAAATCTGCGAGGAGACACTAGTTTTCATTAAAATTATCTAATTGTAATCTAATCTAATATCTAATTGTAAAATGAAGTTATGAAAAGTATTAAATCTACAGACATCACCACGCAACATGACACTTTTTCAAAAGGTAGATTTATTGATTTCCAGAATCGTTTCCTCGTTCCGATGAGGAATGGAATATTACGGAACTAAGGATCATAATGAATGAAACTAAGGTTTAGGGCATGACCGATTGGGCAAATCCCAAGCAAGTGGGCTCTGAGTAAGCGTGAACGTTTGGCCGAATCCGATCGAATCCAGAGTAGGTGTACTTGGAGTGGAATCCGACCACACCGGCCTACACACCGGCAGTGGAAATGGACTTTGGCGTTCTTGGACAGCTTTCACTGAATCTGTGTACGATATGCGTACATTCTGCGTACTACAACCTTGTTTTGTTCGATTGGGCCATCGTTGCTTGCACCACACCGCCTGCTCGCATTCAATCCACATTCGCCAATCGATGACACCCAAATTACAGGTGGAATCCTGATAACTCGACCCCCCCCCCCCCCAGATGTGTCAAGAAAAAACTTATCCATACATTCTAATTGGCACCACCCCCTCTCCCTCCCTCCCCCCCCCCCCACACACAACAGCGCACAAGGGTTAGATCAAGCTTAAGCTGGGAGTGATTCTAGCAACTGGTAACGTTATGTTGGCTCTGTTTGGAGCTTCAAAAGTGTTCTGATGAACATGTCAGTCCTTTCTTATCTCTATAGCTCCTGGCAGCTGTGTAAGTGGGCAGAAACTATTCTTCATTGCTCTGGAGTGGGAACATCCTGACCTTTTTTATGGACTGGAGGTTGCACTTTAGAAGGAGGAAGGGGGAGGGCACCTAAAAAGCACTTGGGGAGTGTCCTACGAGATCAATTTTGTGCCAGAACCATCCTTGTCCATACGTCCATACTACTAAGCGGATATGCCCAGTTGGAGGTTTGAATGATCAAACATTGTTATGTGGGAATCGTATTAATAAATTCAATCCTGAGAAAAACTTTTCTAATTCAACGGTATGTTCGAATTAAGCCATATTCGAATTATCATGATTCCACCTGCACTGGAAAAAGTGAAATACCTGACACGTAAGTCTTGTTACAAGTGAAATATAACTACAAAAAAGATTCTGTAAAGCACTAGTTTCATTCATTGTGATTCTTAGTTCCGTAGTACTACACTGATGAGTTGGGAAAAGAGGAAAGTCGATTCTGGAGATCAATACAATCGTGTATTGCGATAACAGCATATCACAAGACGGAGGGCACACTGTGTGGACAACAGACCTTGTGACATGCTGTCATCGTGATACATGCAGAACATCAAGCAAGGCTTGCCTGTAGCAAATCAATACAGCCACCCTTCAACAAGTGTCATAGGTCCCTCAACTAGTACCCATCTGCTTCACCTCCTCTCTTCTCTTCTCTGTGCTTCTCTTTTCTTCTCTTCTCTTCCCTGTTGCTATGTTTGTGTCATTTATGTTTTCACCACCAGTAGGAGTCCTTTCGTTTCCCTGCTGCCCTGCTCGTGTCATTTTTTTGGTTTGTCTGCTTTTTTATTCTCCATTTCTAGTACTTGTTCTTCCTCGTCTTCTTTTCTCTTTTTACCAGTGGGACCATTGTTATCAGGCTTAAACCTGTTTTGGAACTCCACTGTCAACAAAGTCAACAAAAACAACAACAAAAGCAACAACAATAACAAATAACAACACAACAACACAACGTGAGATTCGAACTCGCACTCATGCCCTGTAGGCAGTCCCTCGAAACACGTCGCATACAAGCATGCACACTCTACTGAATTGCTTCACATTACGATCCTGCCATTGAAAGCCCTACTGCTATGTGGATAAACGTTGGTGGCCAGCTCTCTTTGACTGTACGGTTCAGGTTATTCATGGGATAGCGCCAGGCCTGACATGGGGAACGTCTGCGCCGTCACCTGAAGGCCACCATCGATGCAAACACCTTGGGTGAGGGTTCGGGAAGAAACGAAAGCACATCGAAGTGAGCTTGGTTTGTGTTGGTGTCGATTTTGGGTTGGCCGGCTCTAAATGTGTTGTGCCTCGGAGTAGAGGGCTTTCGAGACGAACCATTAGGTACCATGCGCTTTTTGATTTTTCAGCACGTCCATTTTATCTGAATCCAAGTATTACCACCTTTCCCTCTCCCTGTGAGCCCTGGCACGGAATCAAGAATGACAAGAATGGCTTTGAAAAGCAAACTGTTCATGCACCAACAAAACAACAGCACCGTAGCGAAAGGAAATGTTGTGCTAAAACTTCTTCAGCTGAGCACCTCACAGCTTGCACAATGCGCTCCATTCTGATTTTCACTCGCGTTCTGGTGGAACGTGGGTGAGCCTCCATGCACTGTATGTCGTGAATCAGAAAACGGCTGCTGTCCGTGGCTCTCACTGAATATCACGTGGCACACACACATAAAGTACACATGGATTACTATCTATGTCATTCGGATGTTCCCAAGTTGTACATTGTACTGTTGAGATACCGAATTCAAATAAATCAATACAACACAATACAAAAATACTTTCAATTAACCATCCATAATGTTTCAGTACTCCCTGCCAGGTTTGTGCCAAATTGTGCACATCTGGCTTCAAGATCTGATGTAGTCGGTGAACTCCAGAGTGAAACTTGTTCTCAACTTTCCCTCGTATTACAGTCAACTTCGCTGAGAACGACTGCGGATATAACGACAATTCGCGAATAACGACAGAATTTCCATGCCCAGAGCAAAGTCCCATCCAACTGTAACACATATAAAGAGACTTCGGGTATAACGACACTTCGCGAATAAGGACACTTTTCTGATGCCCCGCCGAGTGTCGTTATAAGCGAAGTTGACTGTATTATCATTCCCTCAAAACCAGTGAAGATTATTATCATTATTATTACAAGTATTTTATATTATTTTCAAACGAAGGTAAGTATTACTGAGTTCGCAAGTATCCACGCAAACACACACACACACACACACACACACACACACACACACACACACACATCCAGTCAAATAAGGCCCTTGTCATAAAGTATCCGAACGTTGTCGGTCTCTTCTCATCAAGGATTGTATAGGCTGGAGTCGTGACTCGTGACAAGTGTTGTGCTGAGTGTTTTCATCCCATTTTCTCCACGCCGTAATTATAAGTTTAGTCTTTCCAACTTGAGCCATTCCCTGTACAATCCTTAATGAAAAGGGACCGAACACGTTCGGATACTTTATGACAAGTGCCTTATTTGACTGGATGTGTGTGTGTTTGTTTGTTTGTGTGGATACTTGCGAACAACAATAATGAGATGCCTTTTGTCGGCTCTTCTGCCTGGATTTCGTTGACAGATGCGTTAAGCCCATGGATCCTTCCATGAGTGACATGCGAACTGTAACTATTATTATTATTATTATTATACTTGCGACCTAATACTTGCCTTTGTTTGGAAATTATTATGCGCCTCCCAACTCTATTTTTATCCTTTTAATTCGTGTTTTCTCCCCAGGTGGCATTCTCGGCGGCCTTCTGCTGTTTATTGGCTGCATTGGAGGTGTCGTCGTGCTGAAAGTGGATGCAACAAATATGAACGGAACATTTGCAGTTGTTGCACTCATTGTTCTCGGTGCACTTGTGACTCTGTTCCTGGCCTTTCTCCAGTGCCACGGCCGTTGCTGGATCAGCCGGCGTGAGTTCTACAATCACCATCAGCTATTGCTCGCTCTTCACACAAGGCGTGAATCAGCCTCCACTGTGATGGCCAACGTTGCTATGTCTCGCGTTCCGCCGTCGTACCACTCGTGTGTGGAGCCCGTGATGGAACCGGAGGAGATCCTTGGCAAGCCGCCGTCCTATCGCAAAGTGGTACTGGGTAACGCATCTCGCACCACCGCCGACCACCTGGCCGTGGCCCGGATGTTGCAGCGTGAGCAGCACCGACGCATTGAGCGAGACAGTCAGCACCTTGAACGACAGGTTCAGGTAGACACGGACGTTAGGTGGATGCGCCGCACACGATCACGCCAAGACACATCCGTTGACAACAATCCAGAGACAGAGGACTACTCAGATGTGGTGCTCAGTAACCTGGCCGCCCAGAATGAGGAGCACTTACCGCCGATGGCACCGCAGTCACCAAGTGAAGAGGAATCATCAGCTGCTGCTGTTTTACAGGCGGTGAGCGACCTTGTGCAGCATTTGGATCCTGAAATGCCGAGTCATGACAATGATGTGGAGGAAGTGGAGGAAGTGGACGAAGAAACATGAATGGGCATGCATGTACATCTCAGCTACATCATAACGAAAGGTATGCTACTAATTGCTGTGGGTAGAGGCAGGACTATAGCCAGAACAAAACTGAAGGGGGGGGGGGGGAGGGGAGGGCTCATCGGACCCAATTTTTGTGAGTTTGCTGCCACTTTGTGCTGCCATTTTGGCTGCTACTGTCACTGACACCAGTATATACGGCAACGAACCAATTTACTGCCATTCTATGTATCATTCACCGACCACTGGAATATGCCATCGAGTATGTTAGAGGCAACTGATGACCATAGGAAGCAGTGACTCATAGAAAGCTGTGCTACAACATGATGTGTACTCATCATGCATTTATAAAGTTAGCGCTAGCTCTCTGAACGGTGGAGCAAAATTTTGAAAGGAGGGCGGTCACAGAGTGAAGGAGGGCGCAGCACCCCACTATGTCACTTGACGAGAACCCTGAGACCCTATACTCATTTGTACTTAGTCCCTGATTTCAGTGGAAATGTGTGTGCGGGATTGTGATAAAAGAATCGGCACAGTAGTTTGGCCAAAGGCTTAGCAGCTTATATTGAATACTCGCAAGGTTTAAGGGCAATAAGATTAAATCTGTGTTGGTATACCGTTGTAAAGTCCAATATATCGCTACAACGATCATTGGTTTTAATGGTGTTTCGACTGGCAAAAACGCATTTTTCTTCTGATAATATCTTACACCCAGTCACTCTATAGCTGATACTGACTGTACATGATCTCCATGGGTGGCACATGACTGACTGGTGCAGCCTTGCCGAGGACCGTTGTGACCTTACTCGCTGTTCAAAGTCCTGTTCTCCGTGAATGGAACACTGCCGGTCCATTCACGCACGGGGCGTTATATGACGGCTTTGAGCAGCAAAGCCAAGTTAGCCCACGCATGCACGTGTTTTGTCACGGGTTCGTCACGCGGCACATGAATAAAAAATATTTTTTCCGAAAATGGTGGATGAAAAAATAAATCTTGCGTGGCCGCTTTGCCCTGCCTCGTGTCAGCAAAGCAACTTCCTTGTCAACAATTTCTGTCATCCAGTTAGTCAAAGTGACTCAAGGTTGTGTTTTCGCTTGGTTGAAATATTTATTTGTTGCGTGGGCAGATAGAGTAGCTCATGGTCGCAGTAGTGAATTTCCTGGAGTTCATGAGGCCAAGCAAGAACTACTCCAAGCAGAGGACCAGTTATTTAGGCCTCGACATGGCGAGGGGCGTTGACGCCAACTCAGAAATGGCTGTGATTACCTGTCAAAAATCTAGCCAAAGAAGTAGACAAGGAGCAGAGGCATTTACATGGACAACGTACGATGGTGGTTTGCAACATGCTACTACTGCTGCTGGAGCGACGTTGAGTGCAGGGACGATCGTTGATCATCTACGTATCAGGTGTGGTTGTCAAACGCTTGTGGCCTTTGATGTGGATATGAAGGTTTTATGCCCACTGTGCGTTCGTTATGCACCACATCTGCTGTGCACGTGGCATTACCCTATCTCAGGGAGAAATCATCAACCCAGTCATTCTGGGTAAAACTATTCCTGATAGCTGTGCAGGCCAGCACAAGAACCAGTACGCTGCACTAAACAAGGTGATCATGTTCGTGTGCTTGATGGTCAATGGAATGAGTTCAACTGAAAGCAACGGTTCCGCAGGTCTTCGACAACCTCAGCAAGGTGGTCGGCCCAGCAACAGTGGTGACGGTACTTGGCATAGAAGTCGACAGCGTGAAGCAGGTGATGCGGCTACCTGACCAGAAGTTATTTGCCTTTCTAGCGGCTTTGAGTGAGTAGTCCACGCGCACTGGCTACACAACGCGGGAACTGCTGTCGCTGATCGGAACCTTGTCCTTGCCGCAAAGGTGGTTCCTCCTGGCAGGACCTTCATCCGTCAACTCCTGTATCTTATCTGGACAACTCTGTCTCAGTCACTAGTCAACATCGACACAGAAGCTTACTTGGACATCGAATGGTCGCGCTCCTTTGCCGCAAACTGGAATGGCCAATCCTTCTTCTACGATGTCGCGTGTTCAAAGTCCCCTGACCTTGAGCTATTCACGGATGCCTCTGATGTTGGCTTCTGCAGTTTCTATCAAGGACAATCGTTTTTGGGGCAATGGGCCGCTGAGATGCAGCATGAACCTATTGTGATTACTCACTTCCGAGAACTGGCTTCCACAGCCAACCAATGCCTGGTGCCAACTCCTCCGCTGAACTCGCCGCTCTGATTGCTTCCAGCAATGATCGCATGAGCGACTCATACCTTTAAGCCCGGTATTTGCGCACACATAATCTGATGTACCCAGTTCCGGCTATGGCCGAGTTCCGGTCCCTGACCGCTACTGCCGGCAGCTCACGGCCAGTGTTTGTGTTCGTCGACGGCAGCTACTTCTCCCGAGTTTGCTCGACTAAGATCCTCAACTGCAACCGGGTGAGCTCCCATTCTGTGCGCATTGGCGGGGCCACACTCATGGCTCACCGGAGTACAAGTGTCTGTGAAGCAGCCATATGCCGTGCAGGCTGCTGGCGAAGTGCAGCATCCGATCACTATGTCAGGCGTGCAGCCGGTATGCCCTCTGTACAATGGCTAGCAGCAAAGACTGGAACAGCCCACGCCCATGTGGTGTTGAGAACAGAAGTGAGGTACATTTTTAGTGTTGTACAGTGTTGTGCCGTCCGCTTGTTGTGCAGTCCTTGTGCTGGTGTGGCTCTGTGGGCATCACTTAGGGGTTTGCCATGGTTACTTGTAGGAAGTTATGCTAATGAGCGATGCCGTGAGAAATGCTTGGTCGTGAACACTGGTTTTTGGGAGGGTCAAATGCATTTGCCTCTCAGTGTTGTGCTGTACTGTCTCAGTGTTGTGACACCTGTATGTTGTTGTGTGGTTGACCCGCCGGTTTGAGGCATGGGTGGTCAACTGTGTCTGTTGTATCGGTGTGTTCCCGTTTGAAGTTGCCGGGCCACCATGTGGTTGACCCGCTGGTTTGAGGCATGGGTGGTCAACTGTGTCTGTTGTATCGGTGTGTTCCCATTGGAAGTTGCCGGGCCACCATGTGGTTGACCCGCCGGTTTGAGGCATGGGTGGTCAACCGTGTATGTGTATCATTGAAGTTGCAATACATACATTGCTGTGACTCGCCCGATTGCTGTTGCCGGGCACCTACGCATTTATTTGCCTACTTGTGAAGAGATATCTCTTCTGGTTTATTGCATAATTCTTGGCTCAATGTTATCCACGGTGTCGCTCGATGCAAAGTCTCGTAAATATTTATCAGACAAAATTAAAAGAAAAAAAACCATGGCAAACCCCACTTCCTTGTATTCTATCTGCTTGGTGTACATGTGTCCACGTTTTGTACGTTTGGCACGCACATGCGTGTGTGTGTGTGTGCGTGAGAGCGTGTCTGGATAAATGTGCATATTGATGTTTTGTTTGTTTTAAGTTTTATTGTGTGTATGCGTGCATGCATGTGGGTTAATGTATTTCATAGCGAGGTCCGTCTCGAAATCTCCGAGACGACCAATCAACAACGTACTTGTGACTGGTCATCCCTGAAGTGGCGTCGTCAGATTCTGTCCTTGCTGTATTTTCATCATGTCTTTTACCAGTTTCCGTCTTTGCTAATTCGTTTCAAATTCAATGTATCCCTTAGTTGTCGTCACCCGTCCTCTATAGTTTTACCTCGTTCTGGCGCCCATTTCCTTAAATCCCCTCTCTTCAGTTTATCTGTGGAATGGAACAAACTTCCAGAACACATCCGCTGCGTTCAGTCCTCTGTCAATTTTCGCATTGCTCTAAAGGCTCATTACTCACAGCATAGATATTCTCTGACTGGTATTCCGAACTTTTCCGTTTGAGAAATTTTTTTTTCCTTGAAGTTAATCCTTGCTGGGTTCTTTTTCATCTAAATGTCCCGCTATTATCTGCAGAGGTGATTTCTTCCCTCGTCGATTTCTTTCCTGCTTTTATACCTCGATACTTATATTGTAGGTACTTGTTTCCCTTCTTCCCATGCTTCATCTTCCACTCTCCTCTCCCCCATTTCCCCATTTTTCTTGCGATATTTATGTGGGAGACTTCCGTGATAAGCATCCATTTGCTTTTGGAGAATCCTTTTAAATAAATACAAATACAATACAATACAATACAACATTTCCGCCAAGGTCATCTGATTTAAAAGCCTGCTCGTCCGCATTGTTTTACTGCTCTTTGCACAATGAGGCTGATCTCATGTTCTCTTGACTTGCACCCAAACCCCATTGGATAATTTTGTCGCTAAAAGAGCACCAGCACCGGCAACCGCAGGAGCAACAGCAGCAGCAGCAGTTGTTGTTGTTGTTGTTGTTGTTGTTGTTGTTGTTGTTGTTGTTGTTGTTGTTGTTGTTGTTGTTGTTGTTGTTGTTGTTGTTGTTGTTGTTGTTGTTGTTGTTGTTGTTGCTGCTGTTGCTGTTGTTGCTGCTGCTGTTACTTCGGCTTCTGCGGCAGATGCTGGTGCTGGTGCTGTTCCTGTAAACTGTTGTTGCTGCTGCTGTTACTTCGGCTTCTGCAGCAGATGCTGGTGCTGGTGCTGTTCCTGTAAACTGTTGTTGTTGCTGTTGTTTTTCTTTTTTTGTTGTTTTTGTTGCTTTGTTGTTTTTGTTGTTGTTTTTGTTGTTGTTTTTGTTGTTGTTGTTGTTGTTGTTGTTGTTGTTGTTGTTGTTGTTGTTGTTGTTGTTGTCGTGGTCGTGGTCGTGGTCGTCGTCGTGGTCGTGGTCGTCGTTGCTGTTGTTGTTGGATTTGTGGCTTCGTTTCTGCTTGCAATGGAGTTGTCGTTTGACAGTCTGAAGCATTTGATGGACCTCAGGAGGAGTAAAGAGAAGGAAATAGTTGGCATTCATCGGACGTTCCAGTGCGGTCAAAACATTCACGAAGGGCACGTAAGTCAAGTGCCCGTGACTCTTGGAGAGGGAGACACCATAGTCAACATGTCTTGCTGGGCTAGCCAGAGCAAACACAAACAGCACAAGATCTTCCTCACCTTGGACTTGGAGGATTTTCAGATTCTGGAAAACAGGTGCACGTGTGCTGCTGACTACGGGACATGTAGCTGTAGTGTCTGCCAACTTGCTCGTGTCTGAGGCACTTCGGACTAACATCAGAAAGTGATGCAAGCTGACAGCACTAGCGGGAGGAATACAAGCGCTTAGGCTTCACAACTCTTTACTTTACAATTCCACAAAGAACTGAGAGAGAGCGTGGGGTTTTATAGGGCAGAGAGCGCAGCTTGGGTGGGGGTGAGGGCAAGGAAAGCAGTAGAACAGCAGGACTAGAAACAGTCACTGTCACGTGACTGTGTGTGTGTGGGGGGGGGGGGGGGGTGGACCTAAGTGGCGAGCAGTTAGGCAACAGGAAAAAATGACATCGAAGACTGTGTAGTGAAAGGAAAGTGACTTGTAGGGCGCTCTATTGGGCGGGAAGGATGCCGAGAAACACCGCTATTCAAAGAAGAGAAGCTGAATAGAGCGAGGGAATCTTATGCTTGGTGATTAAGAGGGCCGGGGATGCGGAATGGTGCATGAAGCAGGACTGCAGTCTAGTACAGGAATCAATGTAATGCAGAGTACAGCATGAATGGGTGTTATCGATCATGCCGTGCCGGGCATGCGCTTAAGGCTAAGTGGTGGCGTGGGAGAAGCGCTCACACTGTACATTGTGTACTGGTTCATGAACTACAGTACAATGGAACTAGGAGGTTGTGTGATAGTGACTTTCAGGGATACGACATCCGCCTCCTCTCCGGAAAGACACGTCCTCGTGTCTGGGGATGTAGAAGATACACGTGAAGGTACAGACCCTCAAAAGAATTGGGCGCGCGGATCATCTGGCGGTTTCGAAGGTTGTATGGACGGGGAGCGACAGGGGTCGTGGCATTAGCAGGGGAACAGGTGGAACGGGTTGAACGGGCTCAGGCGGGTGGAGAACAGGGAGGTACTGGGCTGGGGCAGGGGGTGGTAGGGGTCTGGGAATGAATCATTTGAGGCAATCAGCATGTACGACTTGTTGGCGCAGAGTGATGGGATCCTTGATCTGAATGGTGATATTGTCTATGACACGACTTACGTTTTAGGGTCCGTTCCAGTAGCAGTGGAGCTTGGCGGAGTTTCCTTGGGGCACGACTGGGCTGTACAGTAGTACTAGCTTTCAGGGATACTACATAGCCATCAGCGCGCAGTTACCTATTTCCTGTGTGCAGCTGGAGATCAAATCCGCTCCCTGCACGGTGCAAATCAAGCTTGCCTCCGCTGTAACTTGACTTTACCCTGTACCTCACCTCACAACCAAGGCAGTGGGGTACTCTATCTAGAAGGATTCAGCCGTCCGTACCAGTTGAAGCGCTCAGCTTTCAGAAAGTGTCAGCTGCCAGATCTTAGTTCGCGATGATTTCTTTCTTATCGGACGTTGAGCCAATAATAAAATTCAGAGAAAGGAAAGAACATAATGATGGTGACGAGTTAAGTTAAGTCCCTAGTTGTTGCACTTTTTGACTATCATTATAATAATTATAGTATCTACAAGTCATGTAGTTACAGTGGTGAACAGTTACTCTTGACTCGTAACCATAATATTCGTTTCCTTTCTCTTTCCTATCTCCTCGCAACTTAACGGAATGCAATGATTTTTGCTCTAAATGACCACACCACCTTTGCACCACCTTGAAACAAATTCAAACCCTGGTTTGTGGTTGGGATTGGGAGGGGACTTTTGAAAATTGAATCTCCTTAGGCTAGCTGACACCAGGATTCTTCTCCTTCGCGGTTTTACTGTGTTGCAAGAGCATGTCCACTGCAACAATGGCAATAGTTATGCTGATGTTTGCGGAACCTGTGGTTTCTAGTTCAGCTACGGCATGTCATACATTTTATCCTTTCCTGTGCTTTGTTTTGAATCCAGGCAACTAATCCGTCGAACTACAAACAAATCGCCGTAGCCTTCTAGGAGGAGAACACCGTGTTCACTCGTCACGCGTACCATACAGCCCAACCGGAGAATGGCTGGTTGTGCTAACTTGATCCCGCTTTAAAAACTAGCTGGCTGTCTCAGAGCTCCTTCTGCGTGTCAGCAAGCACGTCATCATCTTAATCATCTTAGAATGATTCATCCATCACTGCATCAGCAAGTGTCGACCCTCAAGATAATATAATGAGACCATCTGCAATGTTGGCAATAACAAAGCAAAAACAAAACATCGAGAATTCACTAGTGTTCACTAGTACTCACTAGTCGAGGGAATGGAAGAAATCATTATTTTTATTTTATAGTAAAGGAAAGGACCAAGGAACTACAAGTTACGCTGTAATGTCCACTAACACCACCAGTTACTTTTAAAACAATCAGCTCATGCGATATCATTGCATGGCACTGACTGATGGTACTGACGTTCTGCAACTAACTGGCTATCAGCTCTAGCACATCTTGGATGCGCACTCCAACAGCCGTTCAACTTGGTTGAAAGTTTTATGATGATATAGGAGGGGAAGATCATAGCGCAACTTGTGGTTCCTAGGTCCTGTTTACAAATTCATCTTTGGCTCTGCATGTGAGTCTAATACTATTATCATTATTTTTTTTTATCATCATCATCATCATCAGCCTTTTCGCGTTGACATCGCGAAGCAAGCTTGGCTAGTCTTCGCTTATTTTTTTTTATACCATTTTCCTTAAAAGGAAAATGAAGTTGAAGACACTACTGTGCTCTGCAGCTGTACTTATGCATACTTATGCATAATTATTATGGTTGAATTCTGTATGAAACTGCAGGAGGCCTCACCGCTTCTAATCTCTGAATTATAATTATGGTGGTAAAGACACAGCATGCAGGCAGGCACAGTGGGTTGGTCAAAGACCATGATTGAGATACGAGCATGCATCAGCAAATCGAATTTTCGATTTGATTATTCGAATGGCAAAAAGAAAATCAGCCCGAAAGTTCGAATGATAAAGAGGTTCAGCATGTAGCGCAGTCCAGTATTTTCGAATCGAGTTTTTTAAGCCTGAGTCACTGGGATTTTGAGATGTGCAATGGCTGCGTTTGTTGCAGAGCAAGTCGATTTGTTGGATTCGCTTCTCTTCCTTGAGTTCGCTGAAGGTCACCTGGACCGAACGGAGTTGCTGCAGTTTCTCATTGCCGTTGAGGATGACGCGAAGCGGCGGATGCTTCATCCGATTCAGGCTATTGGCGATAGGATCTCTTTTGGAGACCCCTTGAAAGGCGGATCTCGGCCGAGCTCCTCCGCTATCCCTTGCATTATCAGGAGACCCGCGGACGAATAGCTGAGGGTGGGCCCAACACTGCCTCAGCAGAATGAGATCCATGGTGAGGTCGAACCCGAGTCACTGCCTTGAATATTTGGCACACTTTGAGTTTGAGTTGCCCTCTCCCTGCGGGGAACTCACCATAGACGCAGATGCCGAGGCAACGTCAGCAGGGCTACTGGGAGCAGGAGGCATATACCGGGGCTGGTAGTTGGTGTAAAAAACCATGATTCCAGGATCTTGAAAGGAAACAAAAAGCACACTTGACAAAACTTTTCACAGTTCGAGACAGAGGAAAGCGTCAAGTCCGGTTCGACTGTGCCTTGTGCACTTACAACTACGACTACATGACGTAGTAAGAACTACAAGTAATAAGTAGCTACTAGCTACAAATTGTAGTATTTGCGCAAGTACAGTGCTGGCAACTGAAATCCGACCCCCCCCCCCCCCCGAGCGGTGCGCTCACATCGCTATTATTAAAGGCCCAACGCGGGATGGTAAAATTACGAAACAGAGACCGCTAAAATGTGAACCCACCGCTCAGGGGGTCGGATTTCAGTTGCCAGCACTGCACGAGTACTTGTAGAGCGCCGTGTACTGTAGAGCACCCGCGGAGCATTCGAAAAGTATGGTTGCGGGCATTTTCAGTCGAACAAAGCCCTGGTTTCGACTGATTGAGTGCTTTTCGTGACGATTCTCGAATTTCACTCGAAAATTCGATTTGCTCATGCTCCGTATTAGTGATCCATACCACTATTTGCATTTTGCGAAACAGAATTCAAGCATTATCAATGCTATTTTGGAGCAGAGTCGCGAGCATACATGTACAGGTATTGAAAAACAGAATCAATCAAATTAATTCTCGAGCATTATCCGCCGGGGCCCATGCAGCACGAGTAGTCTAAATTAATTGCAACAGCTGCTGATGACTACGAAAGCCACACACCCTGCTGTCCCTGACATCAAGTTTGGACGTATCCCGGTTCCGGAAGCCAACACCATCAAGCTTCTTGGAGTGACATTTTGACGCCAAGCTGTCATTCCGGGATCACTTGCACTCGATTGCGACACGTGGCTGCCAGAGACTGGGTGTTCTCCGTCGGGCTTGCTGTGTGTTAGATTACCATGGCCGGCTTTGTGCGTGCAAGGGATTTGTGCGACCTATCCTTGAGTATGCTCCCCTTGTGTGGATGGGAGCTGCATCCAGCCACCTCGCCCGACTCGACAGTGTGCAGAAACGTGCAATGGCCATTATTGGCCCTGGTGCCCTTCTCCAAAGCTTGTGCCACCGCCGAATTGTATCTGGGCTGGTATACCTGTACAAGCTCCAGTGCATCCCAGGACCACCCCAGCTCACCGCCATGATCCCCCCTCCAGCCAACCATGTAGAAGCTCGGCGCACCCGGAGTCAACCCCCTCCTGGCCAGCAGCACCGTGTGCAGCTGCAGCAAGTCCTGGACAGGAGAGCACCTGCCTATGCTTCTCGCTCCTTCCCGTTTCCTGTCATCTCAGTATGGAACAGCTAGCCAAGCGAAATTGTAAGAGCTCCACTCAGCTTGAAGTGGCTCCACACGTTCAAAGAAGATATCCTCTAAAAGTACCTCACGCACCAACACTGGCTGATGGCTACTGACTTCTACGGATGAACTATTGACTGTGGCATGGGTCATGTTCCTTAGTTCGGCTATGCTGATGATATTGGGCTTCATACCTTTTATTATTGGTTTGTTTTGTTTGTTATGAGTTTTTGGTTTTCCACCCGGTTTAGTTATAATTTAAATTATTATTTGGTGCAGCTTTAGGCCCTAAAAGCGCTATGTGGTTTATGATTTTCCTTTTTCTTAATTTCGTATTTAGCGCTTTTGGGCGTCATTATTTTCTTCTCATTATTTCGCACCAAGTTATTATTTTTGTGGTATTCTCTAGCTTCTGTTTGTTTTGCAGTTGTTCTTGTGCAACCCCCCCCCTCCCCACACACACACCCATTTTTCGATGCCTAGTTGCAACGCTGACGCCGAGACCTCTGGTCCGTTGAGTTGCTCTCATCACATCAGCGCTCAGCACGTCGTCCCTACATCCCCTATGTTTCGTTTTCCTCGTTTCTTTTTTGTTCTCCACCTGTTTTCCAGTAGGGCTGTGTCAATAGTAAAAAAAAAGTCGTGTACCCCATGTGTCTGCAGACTCTGCTCTAGCCCAGTCGTAAAATAGTATTTAAATAGTATTTTACGACTCCCTGCTCTAGCCTATAGATTGCAGGACAGCCGGGTACACGTGTACCTGGCGCAACCATTTCAACCGGGTCGGAGCTAGGCACCGCGGTGCCTAGCGCCGACCCGTTTGAAATGGTTGTACCGGCGGATTATGCCGGCATAAATATTGGCATAATTTGGTGGTTGAAAATTTGGAGCATAATTTTTTGGCATCCTCTCGGAGGTAGGAGCATAACTACACGATTATACCACAGTTCTAGTACTGATGTACAATGTAGGCTATACAATTGTGTACAATGCACCTGATCAGTGCTGGTGGTCTGCATGGCAAAGGTTTCGGAGGCCATGCAGGTAGTGTTTTCAATGAAAAGCAGGGTAGAAGTCATGGCAATACATTGTGGTATGCTCGAACTCGTCTTCTTCAAAGTTATTTCTCACACTGACACAGTACATGTAGCAGAAGATGCGAGTGAATCAGACTTCATCAGGTATCCCGGGGTGGACGAGATTGTGGCGGGTAATCCGCAAAACGGCTCCGTGTACATGTACATGACATTACATTTGTACATTATGCATGTTACGAAGTCATGACCAGTCTGGATTTTAGCAGCCATGATATGATTGCAGGCTACGGATATTGCTCTAAATTGATGTATAGTTGATGTTCGGTCATGATGGAAGGAGAAGTGAAGCTACGGGAGAGATGAGCTGATTATTCGCAGGGTGAGGCCCAGGGTCACGGACATCGGTTGGACGAGTATGATGATTACGAAGACAGTTGAACATGATAATTTTCAAAGGTAACTCAAACTATTTTGGCAATGAAATAATATTTTTACTGAAGTACAAAAGAAATCAAGTAATGAATGGAAGAAGCATTGTTTTCTCTTTTCCATGTTGACCTCTTTATGCATGGACACCTTGGTATGGGGATACTCATGTACATGTACTGAAGTATTTTGTTATACTTATGGCCACTTCGGACCAACGCATATGACAGATTGGTTTGCAGGCCTGCCTGCGAATCATGAGGTCCCGAGTTCAAGACCCGCGCTGGTAGCAGGGAGCGTGTAAAAAGACTTTTTACGCGTGTTGAACTGCGCCGACACCCACGGTCAACTGGGTACTCACAGCTCGGAGTGAGAATAACAAGGATGCAGTTTACAGGGTTATGGGCCGTTACGCGCCCGATTGGTTGAGAGACTAACCTCCTCTCCCCTGACTCACTTGTGAGGTCTGCATTCGCCACTAAGGTTAACAGGCATAGTGGTGACCTGCGGATGCGAAGGCTAGTTTGTGTGTTTCTGAACGAACATTCAAGCGATGCCGACGCGGATCTCGTGAATATTGTACTATATATATGGCCACTTGGAACTTGCAAGTACGAAAAAAGGCACAATTTCCCGAACTTTGAGGCTCCATAAGTACAACAAAGTGAATATAAATTTGCATGTATATGTACATGTATATCCCCGGATGCCAAAGCATAATATGAGGATTTTACGAGCATAATACGAGAATCCATGAAAGCATAATTCCTTGATTTCGCGAGCATAATCCGCCCGAGCCTAGTCGGAGCCGGGTACACATGTATTCGACGCGTGCCTCTGCATGATCTGTCACACATACAAGCAAGAGTACATAACCACAAGCCATGTCTGAAAAGGTTGAAAAAGAACAGAAAACAAACACACACACACCTTGGACCTTGGACGCCCATCGCGTAGCGATGATGGCTCAGACGCGGCAGTGGGGGGGGGGGGGGGGGGCGTGCCTCTTCAGGTCACCAATGCGGCCAAAGGGACGGCCACATGCGCAACGGAACTCTTTCGGTCCAGGTGGAGGAGGCCGCTGACGACACAACCACACACACACACACACACACACACACACACAACAAGTTGTGCCATATAATACGCATGAATGTAGTCAGTCTTTTCAAAGTTCGAACTTGTAAAGTACCAACCGGGTCACAGGTGGCCCGGTACTATATTTTCAACCGGTTCCAAGCGCCGCCCAACCGGGTTGATTACCAGGCTCACCCGGCTCTGGAGCAGACACTGGCACCCGTGCTGCCGGTGAGGACTAGTACCCGAAAACGGGAAGTCGCAAATGACATGTACTCGTACAGTGAACGTGTACAAATTCATGTAATACTCAGTATGTCTACCCAGTGTGTAAGGGAAGGGGTGCATTCTGGTGTTACCATGGAAACATTACCCGATCGGGTGGACGGCCACGGGTGCCCGTGCTACCCGTGGAAAACTACCCGAACTCGAAGAAAATGCTACCCGGCTCGGCCCTACCACCATTATAATTCAATCTTAAATTAAAATGGAACACCAGTAGCATTGCACAAAGCTGCAGAGTCTACCTCGAACTTGGGCTGGCTGTCCTTATTAATAAACATTGAGGGCCGGTGAGAATACATTGGCATTAGAGGACAACAATTGAAAGAACGAGCGACGGTGATGACGGAGAGAAGGAGAGACGACAACGAAGACAGGTACAGACTACGTAACCATGTTAGTGGATACTGGGGATAAGGCAATATCACTGTGAGACCGAGAAAAGCGTATCCATGTAACATGCCATGCTGGCGAGATCAGCAATCGTAGCCATGGTCATACAGGGCCGTAGCAGCCTGTCCGACTGTCAGGGCCTTAGACTTAGTACTCCGGCCCAGCCGGTCAGGCCTTGGCCTCAACGGTTGATCCAACCAATTCGTGGCAAGCGGCGTTTTTCACTCACAGAGTACACGGGGTAGTAGCAGAAACAGTAACTTGAGAAGTATCCATGGAGGTGAACAATAGACACCATGCCTAAACTGAACAGGCTATTCACGTGACAGTATTAGGTTACCAAGCCCTCAGGAAATGCAGACCGTAAAAAAGCACACGGGGTAGTGGTCTACTAAGGCAGTCACAGTGCCACCCCTTTTTCCAAAAGAAAAACCATACTCGCAGCCAAATTGAACTGATAGATACAACGCCGAGAATACATTTTGGCAAAGTGCAGAGAGTTTCAAAAGAGAAAAAGGGCCACTGACTACTGTAGTTTAGATTCGTCGTAACTCAAAGTTTCGTGCTACTGCAATCATTAGACGACTAATACTGAAACCTACCATACCCAGGAATAGGCTTTCCCCAAATCGGCCAGCCGAAGAATTCGCCTAACACGAGACTTAGCGAAACATTGCTAAGCTTTTCGCCGATTATGGACTGGGAGGGTTCCTTTGAGAATCGCCGAAAATCTACCAAAATATGTTGTTGGAAAGTGCGTTTACGAACGAATGATGTTGCTGCAAGCATGACCGCTCGAGCTCTCTACTTCAGTACTTGTACATTGTACTGCAGTACTAGTAGTAGTGCGTTGAGGTCGTGTGACTCGTGTCCTTTGACCTCCTCTCAAACAAACATTAGCCATTAGGAAGATCGTCACTGGTAAAATACTACACTTCAACGTACAGTTGTGGCCAGTTCCATCTATTATTAATTTTTTTAAAGCACTGCCGCGTTCAGGTCAGTGGATCCATTAGGTCCACCCACAGGTTCGGGTGAGATGTTGAGCTACGTGATATAATTTTATAAAAAGATACGCTCGGTGCGGTGTGACAAGGCCAAGGCAAGGGTAAAGACTGCACGCAAGCCGCAAGGCGCTAGGCAGTGACTGACGATGCCAGCAGAAAAAACGACAACGCTGCGATATGCTCCCTGCGGAAACGTACTCAAAATCTGCGTGAAGCTAGCTGGTGTCGACATAACACGTGCAGATCAAAAGACCCACGTGGTAGGAGACGTACAAACTACAAACTAGGCCAAACTAAAGAAGGTGTGTGGTTCGACTAACATGGACATTTTTTTTACGGGCGGGCGGGCGGATTTTTTTTTTTAATATATATATTTTTAGTACATGTAAATACACTGTATACGCGTATCGAGTAGACTCTACTACCAGCACAAGGCAGCAGTCGTACCACTCACTGCACTGCACTGCAGTACAACTACAAGTCAAGTCCAAAAGGAGCCGCCTGCGTCCGCAGACTCACGCCGCACAGCACGTAGACGTGGACGTGTTCAGTCCACGTACGTCAGTCACACGACAGCCCGCCGAAAAAAAGTTACGGTCGGGCTGAAATTGTACGGTCGGTCGGGTGAGTCGAACCACACACCTTCTTTAGTTTGGCCCTATTAAATTTTTTCACACTGTCTGCTACATGTACAGTCTACATGGCGCCGGAGTCACACAGCTTGAGCTAGCTCCTGTCAGCCTCCTGTGCATGTGAGTCCTGACACCGGACTCCCTTTTTGCATGAGTGCTGACACTGCGACTGGCAGAAAGCAGATGTGCGATCGATGTTCCACAGCTCTTTTATTATCTGATCTGCATCAAGTCCAGCAAGCCCACATTTCTGCCAGGATAAAATTTGCTGAATTGTGAACCCGCTGACGAAACGCAACCCCCGCTGTTTTGTTTCAGTTGTTGTGGAGGCGGGTGTCTTTGAAAGCACAGAGCAGTGCTGAGAGGTCCGTGCACAAGATTTCTGGAACTCAGCTGAGTTGATCTACTCAGCTTTAGAATTTTGCACCAGCAAATCGCGAACTCAATCTGCAATGGCGACGTCCGGATCCGGAACGTATGAGCCGATCCAAACATACCAGGAGTACCAGGACACCGACCGTGGTGCTTCCTCGCAGGCTAGTAGTAGTGGAGGCGGACCTTCCGCGTCCGCCCCACCAGCTCGTCCCAACGCAGTGCTGGAGGTTGCCATTCCCGGCGAAAATGAGGCTGGCAAGATTGCTGAGTACATGAGGGTGAGTAAAATTTGTGGCAATTAATAATTAATTATCCCTTTTAGGGGTGTTTATTTACTTGAAAATTTAAAAATGTAAAATAACATGTGCACGGATTTAGACTGTAATGTAGTACACTTAGATTATTTCATACCTAACTCAGGCTGCGTTTACACGACAACGCTGGGGGCGAAAACGCAACGAAATCCTTTCGGATCCATGGTTCATTTACACGGTACGCGGAGCAAAACGTAAAAGTTGTACACCAAAACGGAAGAAAACCAAAACGCTGGCCAAGGTGGAAGAATTTGAAAACGGAAATGTTCTGCCGGATAAATGTGGGTGTGTAAACAGTGGAAACGGTGTGCTGGCCTCGTTTTCCGTCACGTTTGTTTCGTTTTCGGCCGTTTACACGGACCCGACAATCCAAAAATTGTTTTTACAATTTTCGTCATGTGACGTGTGTTGTCGTGTGCCTGTTCTCAACCATTACTTGAGTGTGATTGGTGCTTCCACGGCAACACTTGGCACATGACGAACTTTGGCGGATCCTTTGCTCTCGTGTAGACGCTTGAAAACGACACAAACGGAGACCACCTCGGATCGGCTTTGATCGTGTAAACGTACGAAAACGAAAAAAGAAATGCGGGACTGAAAACGGAAAACTGGCCGTGCGTTGTCACGTAAACACAGCCTTAGTTCTGTCTAGTATCTGCTTCACTTGAACAGTAAAAATGATACAATAGACACCCTTAGCAAACAATGGTAACGCTATTTTTCACGGTACTCGTACCGTGATCACCCAAATAGCGTTGAAGCTGCAGCGTAAAAACGTTACGGGGCCGGGGGCTGATTTATCGTTGTGACCAACGGTACGTTTTTTTTAGCCAAATATTGCATAGTCCGTACGCATTTCACCTTGTATCGCGTATATGGTGACGTAAATGGTTGTACCGCGAGAAGTAAAAGCTATTCCCGCGGCAACAGCGTACTAAAAATAGCGTGCATCTTGATAAAGGTCGAGCCCAAATCACGGTATTTTCCCCCTTACGGTAATACCGTTACAACATAAAGTTGTTTGCTAAGGGTGTCTAATAGCAAGAGTACATAACCCCCCAGAGTGTGCAACGCCGATCCAGCTCTGTGTAGGGTCTTGGTCGAGCGGAATCAGATCTTCTGATGTCATGCGTACACTTCACACCAGCGCAAGGCCGGTCTCGAGGCAGGGCACCATTGTTTTTGATCCAAGAGTACCCGCGACTCCCCGGTTTCCCTTCAGATGTGTACGGTATTATGACGCAAAGATCCGATTCCGCTCGACCAAGACCCTATGCATAGCTGGATCAGGCGTTGCACACTCTGGGGGGTTATGTACTCTTGCTAATAGCAACAGTCCATTCACCAAACATGGGCCCATAGATTTTCACAGTCTCACTTCATTCTTATTCAGGATCGTGGAGTCGATAACTTGCGTAGGTCAGAGATATGATAGCCGTTGTTTCAAGCCTAAGACGAAGTGAATGCGGTGAACGCTGATCAAGATAATTATGTAGCAAAAGAATTTTTTCAGGCACATACTTCGAAGTACCGTAGTGACGCGCATATAAGCTGCATTTGCCTATACCAGGGCATACGCGCATCCTCACAAATAAGCGCATGGGCTTATAAGTGAAACTAAAATGCTATTCCATCCGCGACACACAGAAACCACAAAACCACCACGTTCACATAGTTCAATGTGCATTGCGGTATTGCACTATGTTCATAATTATGCAAGGTACCGGTACGCTTGCAACTCAAGCGCATGTGCCTATGTGTGAGACAAAACGACCCGCAGAAAATAGCAAATAACGCAAGAAAAGTTTAAAACTCACTCATGAGCACATGTGCGCACGTACCTTTATGTGCGTCACTGCGGTAGTTTTAGTGTATCAGGGGCTATTTCCTTTTTTCTTTTTCTTTTTTTACGATCAGAGGTGATCCGAGATGGTCTCCGTTTGTATCGTTTTCACGCGTCTACACGTTAGCGAAGGATCCGCCAGAGTTTGTCATGAGTCAAGTATTGTCGTGGAGGCGCTAATCACGGTAAAGTAATTGTTGAGGACACTCCTGTCTCCATACGACAACACTGCTCACATGACAAACATTGTTGGATCCTTTGTGATCCTTGTTGACGCGCAGAAACGATTCAAGCAATTCAAACGTGATTTTAACGAGGCCCAGCATACCGTTTCGACTGTTCACGCATCCAAATTTATCTGGCAGAACACTTCCGTTTTCAAAGCGTTCCACCTTGGCCAGCGTTTTGGTTTTCTTCTGTTTCGGTGTAGGATGTTTACGTTTTGCCCCGCGTACTGTGTTAGTAGGGAGGTTTCGCTCTACGTAATTACGGATGAAAATCCGTATATCGTATGCGACGGGGAGCGAGGGCAACTTTCATACGTAAATCTCTCTAAGGATTTCCGTAGGAAAGTTGTTTCCTATGTTGGTTCCTCCGCAGGACCTTTTGAAATATTTTTCGCACTTTCCGGATTTATCCATGGCAACGTTCAAGCCGCGCGATACACAAGGTACACACCACGTGGAAAACAAAATGGAAAACGCGGTTTCGGTTCGTGGTGCATGCGGTGGGCGCATGCACCTCACCCGTCTCCAAAGCAACAATTGGCATGCTCAGCAGTTGTGGAGAAATCACGTAGAGCGAAACCCGACAGCGCTGATTTTTATGTATGAAAATTACGTGCAGTTCCTACGTCATTTTCATACGTAATTCCGTAGAGCAAAACCTCCCTAGTAAATGAACCATACACCTGAAAGAAATTGGTTGCGTTTTCATCCCAGCGTTGTCGTGTAAACGAAGCGTTAATTATTTTCCATTTGGGGCAGTGCACTCTGATAAGCCCACTGCGCATTGCCAAATATGGAAGGTATGAGTAATGCATGTGAGTACACTGGGATCAGGAACGCGCTGTTCAACACCCCAGACGACCATGCCCAGGTGGCTGTGTGGGGTGTTGACGGTACAAAATTACGTCATTGCGCAATGGGCTTATTGACTAACAACATTCTGCTCGCTTGGTGTAGAGATGTGCACTGAGGCTAATGCTTCTCCATTTGTGCTTCACCTGTGTCTGCTTAGGTGGTGGGAAAGGAGATATTCGTGGAGGCCGATGGTGTGCGTAGCTTGCCGCAAGTCTATGAAATCGCGGTGACGGTCTACGACCAGGTCAAGGCTTGGACGTACATCATACTGACCACTCTATTTGCCGTGCTCATGGCGATCATTTGGGGTTTGATGCTGGCTTTCATCAGCTTCTTTATGATCTGGTGGGTCAATCCTGCCATTCGCATCTTCTACATCATGGTTCGCTCTTTTGCCAAGCTCTGGTCCACTTCAGTCCAGGCGTTCTTTGACCCTCTCTACTACTCGTTCGCACTCATCTTCTCGCGAGCAAAGGTTGGCGTTTCAATGCGAAAGGGAGCAGTTCAAGAAGTGTAGAGTTGCTGAGTGCGAGTCGCCACCGCTAAAGACCGTGAGGGGATAGGATATGCCGTACCCCTTGCTGGCAAGGGGTATCAGCGGCAGTCAAATTCACGTGCATCGATTTACTGCTCTCTTATTTTACAAAAATGGACATTACAGTAAACGACTATTGAACGAAATTACAAATTTACCATATTTTCTACATACCACAGAGGCGGAAGGCTGTGTAGCTGTCACTCACCATATATTTTATGTTTTTAAATCATCTACCCCCCCCCCCCCCCCCCCGGCCATTTACTTTTTGATAACTCCCTAGAATATGGTTATATTTTAAATGCTCTTTTCTTGGAATTTGTCCCATTGTATTGTTTGTGCAATCATGCAGAGTTGTGCAAGCACGTGCGATGACTGCACGTGGATGCACACAGACTGAGCAACTTGACTCGTGCACGGGTGTTTTCAATTCTTTCAGCCTTGAAATCGATGTGTATGCGGTGCCTGCATGCGTGCTGTGTGTAAATTATCGTGTCCGTTCCCAAAGGGAACTCACGACGGCCGCTAAACCCTAGCGGCAGATGCAGCGTGTAACGGGGGGGGGGGGAGTAGATAAGTCTGAAAACCACTGGCACAAGTGCCAAGAAACCCCATTAGCTACATCGATGTAAAGCGCACTCCAAATAGGAGGTGTGTGCTCGTGTATGTGTAGAGCCAGTGGAAGCCAGTGGTTGACTTTCCCTTTCCAACGCTGCGTACTGTGGCGTTCCAAGTGGCAATCTGTTGTCTTGGGAGCCATTCACCAAGGGAATTCAATTCATTGTATATTGTATTCAATGATTTTGTGGCACGATATCGGTAGATCTGCTACAGTTCCTACTTTAAAGGGACAAGACCAGTCATGTAGATGTTTTGACCAGCAATGGTGTTCTCCAGCAGGCTGATTCACCATGCACTATCTGTAACTGAATCAGACTGGGTGTGATGATGGTATGTATTAACGAGCGCATCAGCTCAGAAAGACAAGTCTAACAAGCTACAGAACTACTGGCCAAAGAAATCCAACCTCATGCATAAAAGAGCGCCGGGCGCTACGCAGCACTACACATACACGTACTGGTCTGTGAACTCGAACGCGGCGCTGCCTTATTCATGAGGTTGGATTTCTCTGGCCAGAACTGTACTCGAAAGTACTGCAACACAAGCATTCGCTATGCATACACTAGAAATGTATGCACATATCTGGTAGCTTCCAGCATGGTAGTCATGTGCTAGACTGTAGTGTAGAGACCAAGTAGACGTACCTTTGGTTATGGCATGCATGGTGTCAGTCTCTTTGCAAATGGGCGATCACGTCGTAGTTCACCGTACAACCGGTGTGTTCTTCATACGAAGTAAGACCACTGTCCATTGCAGCAACTGGCATTGGAGCGGGATAGAAACGCGATGGGAGTTCCCACGACTAAGTTTATCTTCTAAGTCTAGTCTCTTACTCTGTCCCCTTGGATAGACGCGATTTCGGGGCAGCGGCAATCTTTGCAGAAATTGGCATAATCCGCAGAAATCGCGGAATCCACACCTTTGCCCGCGGAATCTGAATTTTGCGGGTAAATTAGTAAAATTACTACTGAAAAAGCAAGAGAGAAAACTACTTTGCGATCTGTTTGAGCACATTGCTCTTGCCTGTGTAGGTGAGTGCAAGTCTCTCCAATATTCTTCACTCCTATTCAGTTTGTGACTGCAAAGGATAGTGTGAAAAGTACTCTTTCATGCAATTTGTTGTCATATCCTCTACGAGGAGGGTGAAAAACTGGCTTTTAAAACGCCGCAGTTTTTTTTATTTTACTGCAGAAAATGCCGCAGGATGTACCCCCTTTCCCCGAGGAATTTGCCGCGGAATTTTGAATTTTTGGCCGAGTTTTTCCAAAGGGACAGCTTACTTTTACTGTATCAGTTTCATGGTGTTGAGTCAGACATGCAATATCATTACAGTGGACATTACCCTCGGTGGATTTACCCCATAGCTTAGCATTTTAACACACTGCAGAAAACATTCTAATCCGGTGTTTGGAGCAACGCATGACAGTAGAAACTTAATAGAAGTAGTGACTTTTGTGGCATTTTGTAAATTTTAAGTAATTAGTTGGCTGCTCCTACCCAGCAAATAGAGGAGCGGGCATGGCAAGGGAAAATACGTACTCCTGATGGCCACCGCGAGTATGGCAGCATGAGCAGAGTACACGAGTACCATGCCGGGCCAACCAGCAGGGCAGACCAGGGTATATGGTAGCTCCACAGCACAAAGAAACCCCAGCAGGTGGCAAATGGCAGCATCAGTAGCAGGATCTGATCTGCGTCGAGTTTTTTTTCCTTCTAGCAGTATTGTTATCAACGAGAAGCAGCAGGCAACCTTGTTTCATGCCGATAACTGTGACAACAACATGTATCCCCGCTCTATGGCGCTCTGATATGTGTGTGTGTGGGGGGGGGGGGGGGGGGGCTAGGTATTTCTGTTCCAAGTACCCTCATAGTGTGGCAGAGTAATAGAGTAACACATGATGGACTGGAATCCCCGGGAACTGGCAGCAATCAGCGCCTACATTGCACTGCAGACTGCATCATGCAATGTTACCCCGCAATTTGCTTGGGCAGTGCCATGCCCTATACCAGAGGCGCACTGATACAGTCATACTGCAATGTACGGCAGAGCTCTGTGGACTATTATAAATCCCTCTGCACTCGGCCGAAGGCCAGAGATTGGCACCCACCGGGCTAGCATCCAGCAGCCAATTATCATCTTCACATCAGTGTTGGAGCTCAAAGTAACCATTTCAATTGTTAAGCCGTCTTCAAAGAACTTGTTCCATAATTGGTGTTCACCCGATAACTAGGATTTACACAGTTGAATGAATTTAATATTGTATCGTCGATCACGGCCTCTGTTCAAAGTTTGTAGAATTCTTATTGAATCAATATCAGTACAGATAAGCATATTGTCCGTTATTGTTGCCGTATCAGTAGGCAAATCATGATTGCAGTCGGATAGCTACGTGGGTGTAAGGCTGCACAGTACTTGTGATAATACAATTATACGGGTAATGTTTGGCCTGGATTGTTTCAAGTTCCAAGTCTACTAAGTTCAGCATCGTACGTACTATGTCTGTGTTCACTGAGTCACTTGCCAGCTTGGAGGTCCACGCAGACACCATTCACCCACTGCCAGGTAGGACAAGGAAGCAGAAAGCACATAGATAATCAGAGATAGCTAAAGACCAGTCGGTCACTTTATCATCTACAACTCCCGTTGCAGCTATGCACGAGTACTACATTTGTACGGTGGTTTAAAGAAACAAGAAAACAATCCTGGCAAATGTTCATGACTTCAGTGATGTGTTGTGATGATGGAAGAATTTCACCGCTCATACAGAAAAATTCTCAACTAGGAGTGGAGTTACTGCAGCATGGCATTGGCAATTATTCAGTTCAGCACTTGTACTTCGAGCCACATCAGAGATATTTTTTCTGGACAATTTACTCTGCAGGCATGCCAGTGAACGAAAAGTGCAAGGAAAGAGTGCCTATTGGCTGGAGCCCCCCCCCCTCCCACTGTGCTCTTGCTCTAATGGATGGGTGCAAATAACACCCGTCAGAATTATAGTGTTGCAAACTCTTACCGTTCCTCCAGCATAGCGGCAATAACACTCGTCGCTCTGCGCCTGAGATGTAGCAGGCTGGCACACCTCATCATGATCCACGGAACAGCTGCAGATCTCACAGACCTGTAGCTGGGACGGGATCTCGGCCACTTGCAAGTTGACTATACTGCACGTCATGGTGTCACGCAGTGAGGCGTTGCGCAGTAAATTGATGTCCCATGCGCCGCCGCCAAGTCGCAGCGCCAGGTCGATGTAGGTACGATTCGTATTACCGTACGCAAAGCGTGTCCGCACGGATCGTGACAAGACGTTGCACTGGTTTGGATCGCCAGACTGCCGGAAACCAACACTGTCCGTTCTGCCGACGCCCTGGGCTCCGTCCACAGTGAAAATACTGTCCACAATGACATTCAGCTGTACTTGATATGTGCTCAGCTTGCTTCTTATACTAGAGATGGTGATGTCTCTGCCAAGCCGACCTGCATCTCTATCCTCATCCGTCAGCAGGAACATGGTACGCGCCACGGCACAATCTGCTGTTGTGCTCCTCAGCGGTATATTCTCCAGGGCGTAGTCCATAGCCTGGTAACCGTCTTCGACTCGTCCTTGTGCATCCTCGGACAGCAATGCCACTGCTGCCGGGTACTCCCGAATGGAGAAGAGGGAAGAACCGGACGCAGATCTGTACAGGGATGCAGTTTCATTCGGACTACGGCGGGCGAAGCCGACAACCGCAAATCGGTTTGGACAGGCTGGTGAGCTGCCTATGTCGGCTGTTAACAGGTTGCTGTTCAGGATTGGAATAAGAGTCTTCAGCCACTCAATTTCATCTCCCATGCTTCTTGACTGATCGACTACAAGCACTGCGTCCACAGCAGCAGCACTCTTGTGTTCAACCAAACGACCCGATCGAGCTCCGGGCTGGCATAGACCTGAATGGCAGGTACGGACACATGCACATACACATACACACATGTACACACATATATACACACAAACACACACACACACACACACACATGTACACACACACACACGGACACACACACGCACGCACACAGACACACACACACAGACGCAGACAGACACACACACACACCTCAGACCTCAGACATGCCCATCGCGGGAGCGATGATAGCGAACAGCTATGTTTTTAGACATAGCAACTTGTGCTGGGATTACACCATTCAACAGCTTGCAAGGCTGATGAATTGACCGCCACTATTTTTAGCCTGGTATCCACCACACAGCTGTTTGAAGTGACTTTTTCTGGCCAGTGAATCCCTATTTTTCATTTTTCCATTTTTTTTCTTTTTTTCTTTTTTTTTCTTTTTCTACACACACACCACACCACATACTCCGGCATACACTGGCTGTTGGTAACCACCCAGGAGAATGAAAGAAAAGTCAGGAAGAGTCTGAGAAAGAGAAGAAAGACGTGTGTGACCATAATCGTCGGGAATTGAACCCGCAACCTATCGATTGGAAATCGCTGCACATACCACTGCACCATATGGGACACACACACACACACACACACACACACACACACACACACACACACACACACACACACACACACACACACACACACACACACACACTTGGCTGAGAGCATATTCACTATTCAGTATAAATTATGCTGTGTTCATTGAACGCTATGCAGGAACATGTTTCTGGAGACCCTTATTCGAATCAGAGGTTCCTAGAAAGATGATCTCTCTGCCACACACTCACTCTCTCTTTCCCAATCAGAATGATAAATTTTAGGTATGCTTTTCTGAAATTTATCATGTATGTTGCTATATGTAGAAGAGAAAAGGACATATGGATACGAGTTAAGAGTAACTCTCCATCACTGTAACATGATACTATATACAGTCAGAAAGTGCAATAACTAGGCACAAAACTGACAGAGTACTGAGACATTCGACGTCCTGACACCTAACTTCAACACATCTCCCTAGCGCTAACCGACTCTCAGTACTCTGTCAGTTTTGTGCCTAGTTATTGCACTTTCTGACTGTATATAGTATCATGTTACAGTGATGGAGAGTTACTCTTAACTCGTATCCATATATCCTTTTCTCTTCTACATTTATCGTTATGGCTCAACATCCGAGTTTTATGTTGCTATACTGAAACTTTTTGGTGCACCAAGAAAATTGGTTAGAGCAGACTTGCTCTCTTTCAAGGTTACACTACAATTACCCATCTTGTTTCCTACATACAGCCTGCTTTAATTAATAATTTCCTTCGCATGAAGCTGCAGGAAGCCTCACCACTCTCCCTTATTGTCATATGTATGCAGTTGCAAGAAATGCGTTCACGACTACTGACCATCGCATTGCTGAGTGGCTTCGTTAAACTGCACAGGAAAGACATGCACACACCGAACACAAACAATAGTCATACACACATGGCATATCAAAATGGAGGAAAATTATTGATTCCATAGAAAAGTACTTTATTTCTTGGAATAAGCTTTGAATTGTGAATTTTGTTAAACATGTTTGTATTGAAGTTGATTGTTCCAACTAGGAACACACGCTTCTTGCCGAACTTGACACTTGACTGACTCACGACTGCCATCCGGAGCACACGAGGAGCACGCCGCACCTTCCACTCGGCAAACCTGCAAGAAAGCACCACTCCCTGCTCAATACACAGTGTTTCGGGGAATTCACCCCTCATCAATTGAGCTTGAGTAGGCTGAGGAAGATTGTGCCTGAAAAGCACCACTTATATACTGCTCTTCAGGCCAAACCATCACCAGGGATACAAACTTACAGAGACGCTTTGTTTCCAGCGCGACAAACACGTCGTGAAGCTCCAGGTAGCAGCGTGAGTCAGAGTCGCTCATGGAGTTGTGAATTGCTGTGAATTCCCCGAAACACTGTGTATTGAGCAGGGAGTGGTGCTTTCTTGCAGGTTTGCCGAGTGGAAGGTGCGGCGTGCTCCTCGTGTGCTCCGGATGGCAGTCGTGAGTCCGCCAAGTGTCAAGTTCGGCAAGAAGCGTGTGTTCCTAGTTGGAACAATCAACTTCATGACCATTACCGCCGAAGTCGCAACTTCTAAGTATGTATTGTATTGTATTATTTATTTACAGATTCTCCAGAGGTAAATGGATACCTATCATGGGAGGCTCTCCATGTTGAGGTGCCCACTAGCAAATTTCAGCTCCATACTAACACCTAGCAAGTACATTAGTTTTGGAAGATAAATGCTCTTTGTACCACTCAATCTCCGGACACCTAGCTGTTTCGCAATATTGCCTTGATAGATGGCATCAGTACTAGCAAGAGTACATAACCCCCAAGAATGTGCAACTTCAGCTATGGGATCTGCGACGGCAGAACTTCACATCACGTCATGAACCCGTACACAATGATTTGCACTCCGTGCATGGTAGATACAGGGTTGTACGCAACCCAGCTTTGAGTGCAGCTCTCTTGTGGTCACTTTGCACTGTTTGCAAGCGTATCCTTTTGAACCATGTCACGAGATGTGAAGTTCTGCCGTCGCAACACTGCATAGAGGTTGTTCAGGCAGTTGCACACTCTTGGGGGTTATGTACTCTTGGTAGTAGGTATCAGAATTTGTTTCGTCTTCTGACTGGTAGACCAGCATTGAATACACTGGGTATAACTGCAATTGACGTGCTTATCATTGCGCAATGGGAGTCTTTTCTCTTTCGGGCAGGTGTTAAACACTTGAATTACCTCTCAGCCCTGGCTATCCTTAACTCCCAATCATTCTGGTCGGAAGTCCATTGCAGCTCCCTTGATGGTGGTAAGATATTATATTCATCTGATACGCTTGACGGTTTTGTAGCCCATAGCACGTGATGCTAGGCATGTGTTTACCCACATTTCATTCCAGCCAAGCAGGCTAAATGTTCCGAAACGTACATTGCCCTGGCAAGATGCAACAACACACATACTCGAGAAATATTGAAAAGTGTTGGTACCTCAAGTTCCGACTTGTAGGTGATCATCACAAAAGCTTCAATGACTTCAAACACCCCCCCCCCCCCCCGCACACAAAAATTATCCCGTTCTCCTTACCACGCCACCATTGGCCACACAGCGACATGCCTCCATGCTGGTCATCTCCCTACAGGACATCATTCCCCCGCTCGGCGATGTGGCGTTGGCGGTGCAGGTACACACGTATGGCTTGTCGGTCTGCCGCTGGATTTCCATGGTCTTGACGCTGGTGAAGGCGGCGGTGAACGACGCCGATTGAATTCCACTTCTTAGGATGTTGATATCCCAACTGGCACCACTCAGCTCCAGCGCCAAGTTCGTGTAGTCGACCTTGGTCTTGGCATATCCGTTACCAACGGTTACATCAGACACTTCCGTGAAGACGCCATTTGGCTGGCCTCTGAACCCAGCTCCGGTGTGAGCCATTCCAAGTAGATTATCGCCATTGCTATCAAAAAACTCGTTGTCTATGACTACATTCAAGACAAATCCATTGTCCTGCAAGAGCTGCTTTATGTCGGCTCTTGAAGTGGAGGCAACCGCATCGCGATCTTCGTCGCTGATGAAGATCATGTTGTGAGCCACTCCCGGCCCTCGGCGCCAAGGGATGTTCTGCAGGGCATGCTGAATGGCTTCATAGCCGTCCTCAATGCTACCCCGGGGATCAGCTTCAAGTTTTGAATTTGCCGATGGATAGCATTCTATTGGGAAGAGGTCGCCGTTGGGGCTTGCGCAGTCAGATTGATGGACATGTGCGGTAGCGTCAGGCGCTTTTCCAAAGCCCACCAATGCGTACAAGTTGCGCTGTGAGCGATCACTGGTTCCTTGTCCGATACCGCTGGCAGTCAGCGAGTCTTCCAGGGACCTGAGCATTCCTGGTAGCCAGGCATGCTCAAACTCCATACTGCGTGACTCGTCGACCACCACAAGGACATCAGTCACCGGTGTCAAGCCGACTTGTCTCACCCTGCAGACTGTCTCATCCTCTTCGTACTGTCCGTCACAAGTTATAGCTGCAAAAAGGCACGGCATCAAACACCAGAACAAACCCACCCATCAGTGTACTATGAACGTAAATGAGTAAAGAGGAGCAGAAAGCTATTTATATCACACTGTTCTACCCTGTTCTACCTATCCGCCGCATGCACGTTGCATTGCTCTGTTCAACAGGAATCACTCCTCTTAGAGAATTGTCAAACCTTGGTATTGTACTTCCTCGCAGATTGCTACAGACATTGAGCAAAGAAACGAACATGATTGCAAGCACGAAATAGCCAGACTAGAACTGGTCTGATGTGCCACTGCAGTATAATAGTCTTACCGCACGAGTGGGTGTTGCAGGACCGTGTGTCGGTCATCTGGCCGCATGCCTTGCCAGCACCATCCGGCACTTGAAGAATTGTTCGGATACGCGCCTGTGTGCCGCTGCCACATGTAGCGCTGCACTGCTCCCAAACTGTCCAGTTGCCGAACAGACAGTCTACAGGATAGGCATGCAAACAGTGGATAGTACTGGTTACTGCACCGTTAATTGAATTGAACGGTGACAGAACTCTGGGAGTATCATCTGTCATTGCATCCTTATGTTGTCAGTCAATGCCATGATAATATTGAACTCTCGGATCGGATTCCTCCCGGGTCATCCACGTAAATTAAATGCTCTACCAGCTTTGTAACTTGGAAAGTCGGAATAAGTCTACTTTTAAAACACACATAGTCTATAGTCTTGTGAACGCACCTGGGTCGCAAGTGGGTTTGGGCAGATCCCACTCAGGAGATGCTCCTTCCTTGCATGTGAGCACAGATGGTCCGTTCATTGTGAACCCCATGTCGCACTGATATTCAACTTGGCCGCCAACACTGAAGTCTGTTGCAACTTGTTGGCCATTCAGTATCTGGCCAGGATCAAGGCACAGCATCTCTGAAACAGCAAACGCGCATGCAAACCTGCATAAATTCACACATATGAAGATTTCCTGTGCTATGTTAAAAGCCAAACTACCTGCATGAACCTGTGTTTTGTGACCACCCATGGTGCACAGAACACTGGCTGGTCTCTGTACACAGGTGGTCTTGCAACACAGGTCGGAATGGATGCAGCAACATAGCTTAGATCTAGAAAATACTGGTCTCAGAAAACAGGTTGTCTCCAATCACAATGATTCCCTTTTACAGGTTTTACACTACGTCAATAATGGCTTTAGCTGCAAGCAGGCAGTTTGCGAGACAGCAACAAAGCAATGTCACCACATATGGGATCTTTTTCTTTATTTTTTTACAGAGGGAATAGCCTTGGAAGGTATTAAGTAAGCCGCACGATGGTCTTACAAGATTTTCCAACTCTTCATATACAGATATACGTGAACTTTCGGAAGAGATAGTTTGTACTTGTTGAATCAGAAAGAAAAGGAAACGATAAGGTCTCAAAATACAGTCAACTTTGCGTATAACGACACTCGGTGGGGCATCAGAAAAGTGTCCTTATTCGCGAAGTGTCGTTATACCTGAAGTCTCAGTATTATGTATTCAGGTAGAATGGACTGGGCTCTGGGCATGGACACTCTGTCGTTATTCGCGAATTGTCGTTATCTCCGCAGTCGTTAGTAGCGAAGTTGACTGACTGTACACGTGTCTCTATCTTTGTACAGTACAGTTCTGTCGAGTGGCGAGGAACTACCAGCTAGCTAGAATTTAACCAAGCACAGCGTACCAGTGTATACCAGTGTATACACTGTGACTTAAAACTGTGCACAGACTGTAGTACATGAGAATAAGAACGGTCTAGGCTAGGAGGATGACCCCCCCCCCCCCCCCCCAGGTCTAGGCTAGGACTCTGACCCCCCCCCCCCCCAGGTCTAGGCTAGGACTCTGACCCCCCCGGTCTAGGCTAGGACTCTGACCCCCCCCCCCCCCCCCCCAGGTCTAGGCTAGGAGGATGATCCCAGTTCTTCGGCGACCGAAGTTACTGTACTGACCCTCACATACTGGCACTCCACCAGACCACTCTCCTGAAGACAAGCATGTGAGAGTTGGAGTACCGACCAGAGCGAAGCCCGCATCACAGGCAAACTGCACCTCGCCCAGGAACTGGATACTGGTCATGTTCATATTTCCGTTGAGAGGCGCAGGCACCATCGGACACTCTTGGGCTGAAATAGAGAGAAGGATAGAGAGCGCTTTCAGTACCGTGGGCTGTGCAATGAGAACATCAATTCTCAACATGCGAACACTCCACTGTAGCCATCCACCAGCACTCTTTTCTGGTTAGCCTCAAAGTTGTCTGCCCTGGTGCAAAGCTTGGTGTGTTTATTTCAGTTAGAGCACTGGCATTTTGAGCTGGTTTAAATGCTTCAGTGCTGTTCATTCGGTTTGACCAGGCCAGTAACTCTGAGCTCGGCTGAGGAGACATAATAATGTCGAAACAGCTTGCTGTGCGGAATTTGAGTCATGAGCCCTCCATTATAGTGAGAAGGTCACGGGACAACAAGGGGGGCAATCAAAGCAATCAAGGCTCTAGTCAGAAGATCAGAAATATTCACAACTTGCCGCGTAAGACTCAATCAGACAGATATTCTGCATCCGTAGAAACACCATCATCCCCAAGGATCAAGGTGGAGAGGATGAGAAGATGGCCCATTCATAATTGTGTCTCGGGGCATAAATCATCCATTGCTCTGTGAGCACATGCGTGGCTGTACATTTGCAGGCTTTGCACTCCGTGACGTTATGTGTCTTGAAGGGAAGTGAAGATCCGCCACCTGGTATCATTGGCCTGGGGGTGGCAACTATGCAGCACTGATGTGTCCTTTCGGGCTTACCTAATTTGTAGCTATAGGCTTCCGATGTGCTACAGTAGTTTTCAGCGATATCTGACCAAGTGCAGAGCAATCTTTACCCTCCAAAAGTGCACAGCCCAGTGTTTGTATTTCCGCATACTGTGCTTCATGCTAGCTTGTTCGCAAGCCAGGATTCTAGCGAACACAATTCTAGTGGTAGTGACAGGCATTCTATTTTCTGAGAAACGTTTTGGCATGTTCTCTGACACCTTACATTCACAAGTGGGTACGGATGAAGACCATCGACGGTTGGGCAGGCAGATCGCTTTCTCAATGCCCGCCAGCCGGTAGCCCTCGTCGCAACTGAACGTGATCGAGCCGCCTAGTTGCGGATCGTCAATCAGTCTTTGACCATTGGCAGGTGCACCAGGGTCTGGACAGGCAGTGCCTGCGCATGGGAGGAATAAAAACCAGGGTAATGAAAAGCAATGGACAAGCATGTTCCATCTTGTAATGCAAAACATATGCAGGTCTACCGTCATTAGTACGACATCGGTTACAAGATAAACCTCACAAGCAGACACCAATCCAAACATCCCCTGACGCATGAGAAGAACATTTAACAGTCGTACATGCAAGTCCGGATTGTAGAAGAACTGATAATACTCGTGGACGACATTTTTGACCCCCCCCCCCCCGGTTGTCTTCTAACGAGGGTAAACCTGTGTACAGTTTGCTGCTTGGCTCTCCGCTGCAAATCCATCGCATGCTGTACTAATACAGTAAAAACCTGTAACTAAAGACCACCGTGACTAGCGACCGGCCTGCTACTACAGACCACCTCGTAAGGCGAGGACGGTCCCACATTCATGTATGATTGTGCGGTGCAAACCTCTAACTAAGGACCACCTGCCACTAACGACCGCTTTCTCTGGCCCCAAGGGGTGGTCGTTAGTCACATGTGTTTACTGTATGTTGCTTACTACTGCATAGCAAAGTAATGGACTTCACTTTCTAAGCACCCATCAGCTAACAAAGTCACTTTCTAGTTTGTGTTGTCTATTTGTTTCCATTTTTAAAGGATTTCCCAATAGCATTGTAAATTATCGTGTCCGTTCCCGAAGGGACCTCATGGCGGCCGCTAACACCCGGTAAGCTCTGTTGGTTTAGCCGTGAACAATAATTTTTCTTGCCTAGTAAGAGACACATATTATGCAGCAACGGCAACCACTTACTCTCGCATGTCGGCTCAGGATGCGACCATTCCCCGTTTGCCCTGCACGTGACGATGGCGTCCGGACGGTTTTGCATCTCGTATCCTGCATCGCACGAGTACATAGCGGTGTCCTGATAGAGCAAGCCAGACACTTCATAGTCTCCATTGGCAGGTGCACTGGGAACTGGACAGGTGATCTCTGAACACATGGATAGCAGAAACACACACATCGACACACATCATGAGAATGCAGTGCACCTGCTATGCTGTGCAAACGACTCCGGCAGACGGGAATGCTTCATAGTGGATTGATATTCATATTCATGGCGAGTTCATAAGACTTCGTTGTGGGTGGTTCGGCCAGGAACTCTGAGCTCCGTTTAGGAGACCTAACACGGTCGAAACAGCTTGCTGTCCGCAGCTTGAGTAGTGGATTAATACGAATCTTGGCGTACAATACTGGGCACTAGTTGTCGGTGTGTGAAAGTTGTAGACAAAGATACATAACGTGTTGTTTTCCAGAGTAAGATCTGGTTCCCCACTGCTGCGGAGAGGGTGATGTGTTGTTTTCTGTTGTTTCATTCAAGGGGTTTATACTGATTTCCTCCTGCCACTCTTCACTGCCACCCTTCAGCGGAAGCTGAACAGCTAGCGTGATCCCGGCTGCACAAAGTTTGCTTGCCAAATCAGCATGGACACAGATAGAATCACTTCCTCCTCTCCAAATGGGAATATCAATCACTACATGGGAAAGTGCCCAATGGCGTCTCTACATTAACACTTTCTATATCTATAATCTGCTGGTACTAAACCTTACGAGTGCACTTAGGTGATGAGAAGCTCCACCGTCCATCAGCCTGGCATGCAGCACTTGCCTGTCCTTCAAGATTGTATCCGGGGTTACATATGTAAGTGAGGATAGCTTCATACCTGACCGCGGAGAAGAGAGCTATGCCATTCGGAATTTCAGCTGGAGCTGGACAGCGGACAGCTGAGAATCATAAACACACACGTGCACACGGACGTGTGCAAGCATGCACCCGTGCGTATACACACATTCACACACACCTCAGACCTCAGACATGCCCATCGCGGAAGCGATGATAGCGAACAGCTATGTTAGACATAGCAACTTGTGCTGGGATTACACCATTCAACAGCACACACACACACACACACACACACACACACACACACACACACACACACACACACACACACACACACACACACACACACACACACACACACACACACACACACACACACACACACACCAGCACACACACACACACACACACACACACACACACACACACACACACACACACACACACACACACACACACACACACACACACACACACACACACACACACACACACACACACACACACACACACACACACACACACACACACACACACACAAATACACTCGCCTAAACACACACACACACACACATACACACACACACTTGTACTTGCTCACTGCCAAAATTGGGTACGTGGGTCTCTCCGGAAGACCTCAGTAAGTGGGTGAGGACAAGGTGCAGAAAAAAGGATTGATGGCATCAGGGTATCCGCCCCGGGACCCGACTATATATCTACCCCTGTCCCCAGTGAAGAAAAAATCTGAGCAGGTCTGATACAAGCTTCACCAGCACCATTGATTGCATCATGTAGAAAGTATATGAACCATGAAACCAACAAAGGTGGCAGGTATAACATTTCACCTTTATACGACTTCTACAGTAGCCAGTGAAATAGATGATTGACTTTCCATAGTGGGCCACACAACACACCATGTCCATTGTTCTGCATGGGCTTTTTAGACAACAGCAACATGCATGGGGACTGCTGTCTACTAGCTTAGAAATACGTCAGTGGGAGGTTAAGCTATTACAAGCTGTTGAAGCACTATTCCAAGGTATGTTCTTTACCAACCAGCATTGCATGAGATATATTGTAAGCCTATTCGCACCTGGTGATAACGGGCTCATCTGCTAAAGCCCAGCTCTACTCACGTTCACAGATAGGCAGTGGCTGTGACCATTCACCGCTGTACAGGCAAATCAGTGCGGCCGCACCGTCCAGAGAGAATCCACTGTCACAACTGAAGCGGATGAGACTTCCAAACGTGATGTTATCACCTCGCCGAAGACCGTTCAGTGGTGTGCCGGGATCGACACACTTCGTGGCTGAGCAGCGTCAGACATGGAAGGAACAACACCATAATAAAAGCACTGCATCTAGAAAATAGTGTGCATGCCAATGTGTTAGTGATCTTTGGACATAAGTTAAGCATCTAGCTGCTTAATGCATGTACCTTGCATGATAGATAATTTAGTGGCATTATGTATCTCTAGTATATGAACAACACACACTTACTAAGGATGGTCGTGGAGAGCTTTCAGGTAAAATTTCTTAAAACAAATACCAAAAAGAAGATGTTCCTGTCCATGAACAAGACTGCTCACTCTTGTTGTCAGCGTCAGCAAAAATACTGTGTATTTATAGCAATTTGAAGTCAAACATGCAGACATGCTGAAGGGCAGTGAAGGCATAGGTTAAAACAAAACAGACCGGCTACACTTACGGAGACATTCTGGCACTCTCTCGTCCCATTGCAGCACAGAAGCTCCCGGTGAAGGAGGCAAGCAGGCTCTTCTTGGTGGACCGTTGAGAGAATAGCCAGGGTTGCACTCAAAGTGAGTCATTGAGTTCAGTGTGTTGCCGTCCATGTTGCGATAGCCGTTCTCTGGTCTGCCAGGATCGGCACATGTCAGTGCTGCATGCATAGCAAGTTACCGACGACAACACCAATAGCAACACTACTGATCACATGCAGTGAAACTTGGTTAGGAAGAACCGACTGATAAGACAAATGTTTGCTTTAAAAGAAGAACTAGTACTCGTAACTCCATTGGATACATCACTGTGTATTCACTGGGTATAACATACGGATAAGAAGAACTCCCGTTATTGCAAACAAATATCATCGGTCCCTTGGTGTTCGTCCTAAAGAGGTTCGACTGTACATTCAACTTCCCATCCCAAAACGGCAAAAGGCAAGGCCAATGCGGTGTCTAGGTGGCATTTCCACTTTACAGATTAAATCACTGCATCATGCAAAGAGGTTTGCGACAAATTTTGTAGATATTTACTATCCAAAATTCAAGATTTACAACAAAAATAGCAAGGCAGATCATGGTTTGCATACCTCGGCAAACTGGAGCAGTGCCACTCCAGAGTCCAGTGGTCAGACAGTCCAAGCTGGAAGAACCCTGCAGCATGTATCCAGTGTTACACATGAAGCTAACGAAGGAGCCAGCATTGAAGTCATCACCGATGCGCTCTCCGTTCACAGGACTTCCGGGGTGCAAGCAAGTAACACCTGAGAGGAAAATCATGAGAAAAAGGGATGTAGATTTCTTCAGCAATTTGTCAATCTTAGGTTCTTGAGATTTTCAAATACAGAGCGATGTGCATAAGCCACCTTGCAAGATTAGTATTCTCCCATAAGTTTGATACGTTCACTGTCTCCTTCAACCCAAAGCATATAGGAATTTATTTGTAAGGTTCAGACTCGTACTGTACTACTGTACTTACACTCCTACGGAGTATTAGTCTCACTAGGAGTTGCTTGTTACAAGTAATGCCAGGAAAATGATGTGAACCAGTCAATTATGAGCAGGACAGAAAATGAGAATACTTGTGGGCATGTCTGTCTCAATTTACCACAGCAACGTACGGTTACAAGTCGGTGTCGGACGTGACCATCGGCCGCTTGCCTGGCACTCAGCAGCGGGATTACCCACCATCCCGTGTCCTTGATCACAATGCCAGTCAACCGTATCACCAACAGTTGTGCCACTCATTGTTCGGGTACCAGATACCGGTGTACCGGGATCGCCACAGCTACCCACTAGGGTTTTTAGAAACACCAAAGGAAGAGAGACAGAGCGAAAAAAGGTACCTCATGAATATATTCGGGGTATATAGATTTTGTGCATGTGTACTGGAGCCATTAACAGAGAGACTGATGAAGGTCTCTGTACTATAGCGTTGTGCATTGATAAACACTACGCTCTCTGCTGCGGCATTGTGCGCTTTGAAACAAAAGTCTCCGACAGTATTGACAATGTATCTGGTGAATGTGTGAAAACATACCAAACTGACAGAATGGTTACACTCCTGGGTAATCCATGTCGAACTATCCATTGGTGAAGCCGACCAATCTGTATTCTGCAATGTGTAATGTGCATGAGCCTTGGGAGTTGAACATTTTCTTTTGAGCTTCCTGTTGGCTGTACTGCATCACTTGTGACAGTTATTCTTGCATGTGATGTCCACCCTGCTCTTTGAAGCAAACATGAGCAGACCAAACGCTCCAAATGAAGCAAGTTCTATTTGTTTAAGGCAGTGGGAAGAAGGATAAGAAGCAATCTAACTTACAATTGCAAACGGCCGGCTCTCCTGACCAGGTGCCATCGGCAAGACAGAACCTCACGGCTGAGCCCAGAAGACGGTATCCCTCACCACACGAAAATGTGACATGGTTCGTATATGTGAACACATCGCCTTCACGTCCACCGTTTTCTGGGTGACTGGGATTGCCGCAGTCCACAACTAGAAGCCATTGTTGAGAATTGGAAAGCAGAATACAAAGGAAGAAGTGAAAACTGCTTCAATGACTACTTCTATAATTTATATATACTTTCAATAGGATCATGTTACTAGATCAACTTTATATTGAGTTGTGAGTGTACAAGCAGGTGTACTGCAAGTTAAAGTTGCATCTGTTGGATATTCATACGTTTGAGGGAATGGAAACGAGAAAGTCTGAAGAAAAATTGATTGTCATCACCAGGACTCGACCCAGGGACCCTCGCTTATGGCCAGCGATGCTCTAACCACTGGACTGTTAACATTCTCTTCAGACTTCTGTTTGATATTATCATTATTACATTAACAAGTATTTCTTTGAAGTATTATGTGGGGCCTTCTGTGCTACCGGCTCCCCAAGCACAGTGGTTGCTGCTAAGGTTTGATTGCGCCAAACAGTGCCACCACAATGCCTCAAGTAAAACAAAAAAGGAGAACAAAGGGAACGTGAAGGACAACCAGATGAATTGGAGTAGGGTGACAGAAGAACAAAAATGTCGATTGGACAATGCCAACGTAAGAGATCAAGGCATGATCTAGGACCTGAGTTGACCAGTCTCCCAGGATTGGTGTTCTCTTGTTGCAATGGTTATTTAACCCTGGCATCACCATAGTCGAGCCGGAGAAGGCACTCACCTATACAAGATGGCAGCGGCTCATCCCACGTGCCATCACTCGTGCAGCCCAGGACCCTGGAGCCCGCAAGCTGGTGTCCAGTGTTGCAGAAAAAGTTGACCTCGCTACCGACAGTGAGGCCAGTAGCCGTGTACCCGCCATTGTCAATCCGACCAGGTGCCGGACATGACAACACTAGAACAAGAAAATAGAAAAAAAGGTACTGGCGACGGTGGTACAGTGCCGAAATCAGATACCTAGCCAATCTAACTCATTACACTCCAAATACAACAATGTGATGTGGTCAGACAAGTCTTCCCTTTATGAAAGAGCTGTCAGGGAGAATGCAGAAGGGGAAAATCTCCAAGAGAAGGTTTATTTAGAATCACAACACTCAGGACTTCGAATCAGGATGATCTCCTATGGAGTCCCCTGGCGACTTGCATTGGTACTTCAAAGTGCACGCATGGCAATACGCAAGTATCGCCGAAGTCGTTACAACCTCTTCTTCGTAGATTTCTCACTGTATACTAAAGCATGCGTGCGAGGTGCTGGGAGGCTACATAAATGTAAAAGCACCTTCAAATTATCCAGCCCCCCCCCCCAACCCCACACGAAAGCGCACACAAATCTCTCATCTAACATATGTGCAGAATGTTATTGTAAAAACAAGTGCTCACACAAGCAGAAAGCAGCATCACCAGTCCAAGTGCCGTCAGCCTGGCATTGCCTCTGGGCACTCCCAACCAGCTCATAGCCATCATCACACTCATACTGAACAATACTGCCGAGTGTAGCCTGGTCGCCGATTTTCCCTCCATTCCGCGGTCTCTCCAAGCAGCAGCATGACCCATCTACCAAGAGATAGAGAGATAAATACAAGCGCAATATTGAAGCTTCCATGTTATCGCGTTGATGAATGTGGAATTCGCAAACAACATACTGATGGGTTGGGTTCCGATAGGCGACCTGGAAATGGTCTGTGTTAGATGCAGTTTTTTCTCCCACGAGGAACGCACGTTTCTTGCCGAACTTTACACTTGACCGACTCACGATTGCCATCCGGAGCGCACGAGGAGCATGTCACACATTTTACTCGGACACCTTCAAGAAAGCCGCTACTGCTAACTGTTGAATACACAGTGTTTTGGGGAATTCAACCCTCACCAGGTGAGCTTGAGTAGGCCAATGAAGTATGTACTCCAGGAGCACTACATTATAGTGCTCAAGCAGCCAAACACCACTGGGGGTAAAAACTGCATCGATACTCGGTTTCCAGCTCGATAAACACCTCATGAGGTCCAAGATAGCAGTTTGAGTCAGAGTTGCTATAATAGTGGTGTGAAACGGACGCCTACAGCCAGAAGCTATGCACAATCACTCCAATAGCTGCGTCGAAGTATTCACACGTCCATGCGAGGGAAAACAATACAAATAGCTTATTGTTCGTATTGATTTGTCCCTCACGCCAATGTGCGATTATTTATGGGAGGTGACAGGGTTGTGAATAGTGTTTGGCTCTAAGCGTCTGTTTTGGACCTCTCCATGAGCGACTGTGGATCACACTGCTACCTGGGCCCTCACAAGGTGTTTATCACGCTGAAATGGAGCATAGCTATAAATGTGTATCCCTTGGGCTGCTCGAGCGCTATATAATAGTGATCCTGGAGTACAAACTTCATTAGCCTACTCAAGGTCACCTGATGAGGGTTAAATCCCCCCTCCCCCTCCCCCCCCCCCGAAATACTGTTTATTCAGCAGGGAGTGGTGCTTTCATGCAGGTTTACCTAGTGGAAGGTGCGATGTGCTCCTTCCTTGGGATGTGAGTTGTGAGTCAGTCAAGTGTCAAGGCCAACAGGAAGCGGGTGTTCCACGTAGGAGCGTTTTTCTTCATCTACTAATACCGCCAAAGTCGTTACTTCTAAGTTCAGTGCCTAGGTTTACCATAATTTGCACTCCCCTGTGTTGTTCCATTGTGATTCCATGGGTCAAAATTCAGTTAGAAGACCAGAGAACAAGGCCATACTTTAACACAACCTGATCAACTGCTTTTTAGTTTACTGCACAACTCAGAAAGGAGACCCTACCCTCGTTTATAATGCCAATGGGATGTCCTCCCACATGTCCACCGCTTCGGCACTGTCACGGACGGTACAGAGACGAAGTACATGTACCTCGCTGTCACCAACTGTGAAGGGGTTCATGCCTTTGTAAACATACAACTCTCTGGTCACTCTCTTTGTACAGTACTCAGAAGGGTAAGCTCGCTATGTGGTTACTGCCCTCCCAAGTTCACGGATGTGTAGTTTTGAGACCTCTCCATAATTATTTGCTGGCTGGAATGAATGAGAGAAAATGCGTGATCAACACGGTGCACGGTGGACGACTCACCTTGCGCATGAGTGTGCCAATGACCAAACGTGAACACCAACAGGAGCTGGAGCGCGACCTTCATGATGCTGTCGAGAGGACTTCCAGGTTGGTCGAAGTATAGAGCTTAGTGGTCTAACTTACAGCTTCTTCCACGCTCACTGACGACAGGCGACGAGCTTGTGCGTCCTCTCCAACAGCGATTCAGTCTGAAAATATTCACCGCTCCGAGCTGGATATTTCCATGGTAGACTGCTTTCTGCGAGTAGGGGTTTCTGATTGGGGTGACCCGGTGACCTCTTGCGTGGTGCTGCTCTGATTGATCACGGACACATCACCGTTTCAGCAGGTCGCATTGCATATTGCTCTATCACGCTATAAAATGAATTGACCCGGCCCCATATTTGTTGGGAGATGGATTCATTGCACTGTGACAATGAACCATCTTCTCGCTGTCAACACGCGCATCGCACACGAACCATCACGACTTGGTGCTAAACTATCCGTACTCCAGGACGCCTTTTGATGACGCCGCTGGCAACTTCCCAGGCGCTAGCCGCCGAACTAAACAGCCTTGAACCATACTCATAGATAGTGACATAATACTAGCGACGTCTAAGGTATGTGGGAAGAGCCTGATTGTGTGGCCCAAAGTCCATCTACACAATTGCCCATCAAGTCGCGAACAGCACCTTTGGGAGCTGCGACGATAGGGCCACGACTTGTGACAAGATCCGTAAAGATCAGTGACATACTTCACGTGATGGCAGAACCGCTGACAGATAACTTATGATAAGCTCGTGGCAATAGCAGAGATGAAAGCAGCAGACCGCTCCAATGGGAAATCAATGTTATAGGGTAAGAAATGAATGGGGTTCGCGTCAGGGTCTTTAGACTGACTTTCGCATCCGCGGGAACGCAAGCGTCCTGAACTGGCTGAAGGCGTAGATGTACATGTACCACCTAAAGCAACGGGACTTGAGTAGGTCGGACCCATTACAAACGGTGGTCCCCTCGGTTTCTTGTTTCCTTTCCTACATCCGTCATTGTAAAAAAATATATATATCCGTATTATGAGATATGCATCACCGCAAGCGGTATCACCGTATCAGTATAACTGCATAGTCAGGTGTGAGATTGTGCAAGCACCGACATTTTTCAATAAATAAGATAAATTGTGCACTCATAACAACAGCAAAAATGAAGAAAGTCAAGTTCCATAACGTTTTCTTGTGACTGTCATCAGTGGAACGCCGTCACATAAAAATGTAATAACTAAAACACACACTTATATACATGTAGCTAATATGGTTTCAGGTAGAAATACAGCAGCTAACAAGTACAAAAAGCGAAGTTTGCACCTTTGCAATGTGTGAATATAGTGTATGTGAGAAAAAGGTGAAAAGGTGCAAACTTCGCTTTTTGTACTTGTTAGCTGCTGTATTTCTACCTGAAACCATATTAGCTACATGTATATAAGTGTGTGTTTTAGTTATTACATTTTTATGTGACGGCGTTCCACTGATGACAGTCACAAGAAAACGTTATGGAACTTGACTTTCTTCATTTTTGCTGTTGTTATGAGTGCACAATTTATCTTATTTATTGCCATTTTACGACTATTGTCTCCTCGTCGACTGTTTAAATACCGACATTTTTGTTTTTGTTTTTTTTTACTATTGAACACTCACTGCATGATGAACTAAAATGAGGAGAAGAACTCGACACAATGGTACATTGAATTCTTGTGTTATTTTAAACCACCCTTGGGGCTTGGAGGCACACTAGAAATTAGAGATGGAAATAGCAAGCACTCCTCGTCATCAGGTCTTGCAACCCATGTTGTGTATTTGATGTGTTTTTGTTGTGTAAGTAACGGCTAGCCTTTGGCGGATTATGCTGGCATAACTTCTGGCATAATCTTCGGATTTTGCCTAAATATTATGCCCTGGTTTAAAAGGACTTCTGAGACCAGACGGTCGGCATAACCTTACGATGCTGGCTGAAGATTAATGCTCCAGGCATTTTTAGCATGTTACACGAAATAACCTGGTGAATGTTACCCCTTATAAGCCGTGCTGTCATGGTGCCAGAGTCTTTGTAACGTTGCAAAGTGCAACACGAGTGCAAGGGTACAGTATAGCACCATCATTGGCAGAATTCTAGCATAATGTAGCATAATCACTGGCATATTTTGGGCATAACGGAAAGCAGAATCCAGCAATTTACCGAGCATAATCCGCCAAGGGCTGTTTGTACTGAGTTCACCATACCATTAGATTGGACCGCAGCATAGTATAGCACCATCATTGGCATAATTCCAGCATACTGATGTAGCATAATCACTGGCATGGCATAATGGAAAGCATACAATCGTCATGTAGTTCAGCAATTTACCGGGCGTAATCCGCCAAGGGCTAGTAACGGCTGTTGCGGAGGAAGATAATAATCATGAGGTCAAGCACATCGTTGTAAGTTATACTCGTATCTTTCAATGTACAATGTTCAACTGTACATGCATCAGAAGCACTGACAACTACATGTACCTGTTGTTTGTAAAGGATTCTTGGTAAAAGGGCTGCGTGCCCGCTGGTGCCTGGTGGTTGACGTTGGTGATTGCGTCAGACATCATGGCTATCAAGTATCATCAGTTTCTGCTTCCCATCACCCTAAAACTAGCCGTAGATCAAAATGCAGATGCTGTAATTATACGGATGCTTGGGAGATTAGTAGATTTGACCCACGACGAAGTGGTCAAACTTCGGACCGAAAATCGCATCCACGATACTATAATTATGTACGCAGATTGAGTTATTATGTATACTACATAGTCGCCTGATGATTGCATTGAGCAAGAAACTCCGAGTTGCGACTAGGCCTTGACGGATTATGCTAGCATAATTTTTCGCATAATTTCTACCAAAATCGAATAATCGCATAATTTGAGGCAAGCTGCATAAATTGTAATAATCCGCCTGTTCGCATCAAATTCCATACAGTTATACATGTTCTACAAGTACAAGTACAAGTAGATGCACCAGGAAGTCGTAGGTTTACGACTCCCTTGATAACATGTCCAGTCCACTACAATCAGTGACGGTCGTAGCTAGGTCAGACGGTGAGTTGACCCCGTTAAACTTTTGCTACTACAGTATAACGCCCTCTACAAAACAATTCCCCTGGTATTTTGCACAGAACCATCATATACATGTACATGTACATGTACATCAGCAGCATATATGAGCATAATGTGGCATAATATGATAACTTTTAGCATAAAAATGGCATAATTCTGCAATTTTCCCAGCAATGCGAAAAGCATAATTTCACGAAAATATTAGCATAATCCGTCAAGGCCTAGTTGCGACAACTCTGTAAAACTCCTTTGTGCTAGGCCTTGACGGATTATGCTGGCATAATTTTTCGCATAATTCCTACCAAAATCGAATAATCGCATAATTCGAGGCAAATTGCATACAAATCGCATAAAATTGTAATAATCCGCCTGTTCGCATCAAATTCCATACAGTTGGACATGTTCTACAAGTACAAGTACAAGTAGATGCACTAGGAAGTTGTAGGCTTACGACTCCCTTGATAACATGTCCAGTCCACTACAATCACTGATGGTCGTAGCTAGGTCGGACGGTGCGTTGACCCCGTTGAACTTTTGCTACTACAGTACAACACCCTCCACAAAAAAATTCCCCTGTTATTTTGCACAGAACCATTATGCATTAGCAGCATATGTGAGCATAATGCGGCATAATATGAGAACTTTTAGCATAAAAATAGCATAATTCTGCAATTTTTTCAGCAATGCGAAAAGCATAACTTCACGAAAATATTAGCATAATCCGTCAAAGCCTACATTGTGCCTTTCGTGTGTATACTACATAATTATAGGTAGCTCATGCATGGCGGATAATAACTGCAGAAAATTAGCAGAATTTGGCGTGTGGATAAAGAAATGGAGCAGAATTAAAGGCCCTGAAGTGACTGCCATTAGGCTTCACGGTATGGTTCTGCCATTTTCACTGGTTTTCGAGCAGAGTCTGCCAATTTTTCATGCCACAATCTACATGTAGGTCTACCGTGAATGTAAGTAGATCTAAAAAGTTTTTAAACTAACTTTGTAGATCTACTGTCTAATGATTGTAGATCTACATCACAATCATCATACATGTACATGATTGGTCACTAGACCTTGGCGGATTATGCCGCGGCATAATATTTTGGCTTATCACTCCCTTAGTATTGACTCACATAGATTTTTGACATACCTAAGCAGTCAAATATTCCTGCATATTTCACTCCTTAGGGCTATATTGACTGCTTATATTTGACTGCTTAGGGGTTGCGCAGTTGAACGGTGCCTAGTGCAGCATTGTCACTGCATGAGTAGGTGGTGGTGCAACGGTTGTGCAATCATAAAACCGGGATTCATGAGGTTATCGTTCTGGAATTTGAAATACGGACTGTTTGTCGTGATACATCTAATATTGACTTCGTACTTGGTCAGTATAGGAAATAAAAACCTCGTAAAAGACCTCGGCTTCGCCTCGGTCTTTTACTCGGCTTTTATTTCCTATATTGACCTCGTACTCAGTCAATATTAGATATACATGTATTATCTTGGGATTTCGTCAAAAAATAATGCTCCGGCATAATATACGGATTCCAACGTTGCAACGTGTATTAAAGGTCGGCATAATCTTTCGGTTTAGACAAAAAATTATGCTTAGGGGCATAATACAGCTTTGTCAGAAAGCCTGCAGATGTTTTTTTTTAAATACCCCAGTTACTACTCCTTGTCATAGCCCTTGGCGGATTATGCCGGCGTAATATTTGGCATAATCTTGGGATTTCGTCAAAATATTATGGTATGGTATGGTATGGTATTGATTTATTTGAATTCGGTATCTCAACAGTACATTGTACAACTTGGGAAGATCCGAATGACATAGATACATAAACATAAAAGTGGAGTAGGTGCTACAGCGGATCATTTTATCGCAGGTTGTGGGACTAAACTAATACCAGTATGCTCCGGCATATTATATTATACGGATTCCAACGTGTATATGTCGGCATAATCTTTCGGTTTAGACAAAAATTATGCTTAGGGCATGGCCGTGTGTGTATGCGTGGTTTCTCAATCCTCTATGTACAGCGTGAATACATAGTGGAACCGAGCATAATTCAGCATAATTCAGCATATTTGTTGGCATAATTGTGGCATAATCAAAAGCATAATTTGACGATTGGCCGAGCATAGTCCGCCAATGGCTATTGGTCACTGGGATTCTGGAGTCAGCATAATAATTATTGATGAATTATTATCTTCACAAATTTGAAATGTGATGTCATAACAGTAATAATTATCATCACTCGGTGCGATTTGGCATATCTTCTCAAGATGGTGGGAAACAAACCGACAAGACTGTATGAAACAGGCAAGATAGTGCACGAGTTGGTGACATGACAGTGTGACCAAACGTCCGGCATGACAAAAAGTGGGCCAGGTTCGGGCCTGGCCAGTTTTGAGATAGCGTCTCGGCAATAATATGGATCATGATTTCTTTGGCTGTTACATCGAAAAACCTGGAGGTCGTCTCAGTGACCAGTCACTAGTCCGCTGACCCGGCGCCATCAAGGTGAGTTGTCCACAACGTTCAAACCTTGCATATTTTGCATCATTCATTGCACCATCCGATCAAGTCAGCTACGTTCTCATAAACGTTCTTTCCATGCCTGGATGCTCAGTCTCTCATCGATGGTGTATCAGCCACTCGTGGTATCACAATGTCACTGTGATGGCTAAAACTGGTAGTCATTCAGTATAGTTGAGAGGCTAGATATCCAACTGTTCAGTGTACCAGTGGACAAAAGCATGACACACACACGCACGCACACAATCATGTGTTCATGCATGTGTGTGCATGCGTGTGTGCCTGTGTGTGTGTGTGTGTTTGTGTGTCTATGTGTGGTGTGTGTTTGTGTGTCTATGTGTGGTGTGTGTGTGTGTGTGTGTGTGCGCGTGCGCAAGTTGCTATGTCTAACATAGCTGTTCGCTATCATCTGGGCATGTCTGAGGTCTGAGGTGTGTGTGTGTGGGTGTGTGTGGGTGTGTGCGTGTGTCCCATATGGTGCAGTGGTATGTTCAGCGATTTCCAATCGAGAGGTTGCTGGTTTGATTCCCGCCGATTATGATCGTACCCATCTTTCTTCTCTTTCTCAGACACCTGACTTTCTTTCATTCTCCTGGGTGGTTACCAACAGCCAATGCATGCCGGAGTGTGTGGTGTGATACGCGTGCGGGAAAAATAAAGAGGAAGAAAAGAACAAAAAGAACAAAAAGTAGGCATTCACCGGCCAGAAACGCCACTTCAAGTAATCGAAATCCTGTTGCCATGAATAAGAAAAGAAAGGTATGTTGCACACTATGAAGAGATAGGTACGTGTAAAGCCGAGATATAGCCCTGGCATTCAAATGGTTCTCACACCCGATATAAAACAGCACCAGTTATGTGCTGTTTTCTGACCTCTGCGAGCTGTCTATCAGTTTAATTTTAATCAAAAAAATGTCTTCAGGTAATAGTGTTGTGTGTTGAATAAAGCAGAGCCGGTATTGGGTTTTCGCTGTAAGACCTGTATCATCTCGACCGGAAATATGTATACATTAATGCTGCGTGCATCATGGGACTTCAGTTTTTTTTATGCTGATCGCTGGGTATGATGACTCGCTAAGCAGCACAGTGAACCTTCTGGTCGATGTGGCGTCGCGTTACGGACAAACATAGAACGTGCATGGTGAAAAGCTGGCGCTAGTATTATAGTGTAGTGATGTAAGGTGTATTGTATTTTCATCTCGTATTTGCACACCGTGCTGACTTGAACCCTTCTGGTTCGGCCACGGGTTTTTCTAAACACCAGACATATGCACTGTCTGGGTGCCAGCTGCAAGGAATTGGGAAGGAAATGTGGCGGGAAGAGAGGTGTTTGGAAGCTTTCTGAGTTGTCAATCGCTGTGGCGAATATTGTTACCCGATGCACAGACCAAGTTGATTGTTCCATCTCTGGGCCGCACAAAAGCACAAATTCAAAAGCACACACAGACACACACACACAGACATACACACACATGTGCAGATAGCGTGCGTGCACACACACACACACACACACACATACACAGTTATCTGCACGTCGGCATGACAAATGTCGGAGTATTTAAAAATGCACCCCAGCGGAATTAATGGTTCAAACCATTTACATTGTGGATTCCCAAAAGCCAGATTCAGAGTAGGCACTTGGTCACTGAATGAGACTTGCATGCATCAATACTGACTTTGTCTTAGTCTTACCTTGCCTGCAACATTGCACTGGCAACGTTCCTGATTGGTATCCGGCTGACAATTCCAAAAGAGTGACCGTGCACAGTCACAACGCTGGCATGTACTCAGCTGTCGTCGCACCTCCTGTGTCTTGACGTGGACGAAGGCTTGCGTGAAGGCAGCAGTTAGGTCACCGCCCTTCTTCAGCTGGCTGATGTCCCAGACAGCTCCGTTCAGCTGCCACGCAAGCTCGGTGTACTGTTCCCTCGTGGCGTTATATGCGTAGCTGATGCCGGTACCGATGTTGGTGCGCGTGAATTTACCGCCTTCCCTGCTGAGATAGGCAGTGCGTTGATTGTCCATGCCGATCGTACGGTCGCCCAGCGGATCACTAGCTGTGAAGAATGTCTGATCCAGGACCATGTTGAGTGTGGCACGCTCTCTCGCAAGCCGTTCTCTCACCAGCTCCTCTGTCAGGCGGCTACCGTAGGTGACGTTGACTAGATCCCGGTCCTCATCGCTTACGAATATGATGTTGACAGGCACGCGGTCATTACCACGGCGTATGGGCAGGTTATCTATGGCGTATATCAACGCTTCATAGCCGTCCTCGATATACCCATTATCGTCGGCATGGAGCTGCCTGAGCAGAGCGTCCACATTCGCATCCGTCACATCTCTTCTGCCATTCACGGCAAACGGATGAGCCGAGTGATGCGGGTATGCATGACCGAATCCCACGAGCATGTAGTGGTTGTTCAGTCGTCCTGTGCCGATGCCAGATTCCCGGAGTCTGTCATCCAGATCATGCACCATGCTCCTGAGCCAACGATGAGCCTGTTCCATACTGTTGGACTCATCAACAACCATGATTATGTCGGCGGCTATGTCGCTGGCGAATGGTGTCAAACGATACTCTACGTCGTAAAGTGAGCAGTCGACTAGACGATGAAGCCCAGATGCATGAACACACACACACACACACACACACACACACACACACACACACACACACACACACACACATACATACACACACACATACACACACACACACACACACACACACACACACACACACACACACACACACACACACATGCACAGTATAGTCAAGTCACGTAGCACAGGTGTCCATGCCTATAGCTACCGGTATCTTCCGGCAGCCGCATTAACACATGAACTAATGTATGCACAGACTCTCTCTTGTCTCGCATACACACACACGTAACAGTTGCATACGCACACAGGTGCACACATACACACGATAGTGATTATCGGCACCCACATCGTGCAAGCTACATACTGTTCACATAGTGATTGTTACCACTGCAAATTACACTTACAAGTGGATTGACGGTCTCTGCATTTCACTTGCACAACTCAGTAAAACTGTTTTAAGAGAGCATGTCTGAGAATACCAAAGTATGTGTGCAAGTGGATCTCTCCGATTTCGCTCAAAATTTGCAGGTAGGTTGCCTTTGGGGTGTGGGTCGACTGTGCAAAGCCCTTGAAAAAGTTTCTGAAGGGAACCTTGAAATTTGCATACCCTCAAAAATGGCCGAAATATCACATTATTTATGGGTCTAGAAACGAGTCACGCCACAGCGTATACGAACAAGCTATGAACAAAACTCCATCAAGCCAACATTGCCTCACCTTAGAAGAGTTCCTGGAGCAGTACCGCTTAGCCACGCCAGCATCCCAGAAGACGAGGTCCATCACCCCCTGACGCCACAAATGATCGTCTTGAAAATAGCCAATTTACAAGCGCTGGCAAAACAGCCAGCTACGTCCTCAATTGGCCAGAACTATACACCGGCAGATAGTAGAACACCTCTTCTAGCGCTGAGGACATGTCTCCCATCTTCCTTTTGGGGTTTTATTGAAATAAACTTTTTTGAATTTTTCCACTCGACCATGCTGAAATACGGCCAAAGTCATACCTGCGCAGGAAAGCTCGCCCCTCCGCGACGTCTCCTCAGCAATTTCTACTCCAACACTACTCCCAAGGCCGCAGAACAAAGTATAGTGTTGACTCTGACAAGGAAAAGCAGCGGTGATCACTTGTCACTCCAAACGACAAGCTTCTCCTTGCGCCACCAATAATTTTTTGTGCGACTGTTGATGCAAAAGTGACTGAAGGCCTGAGCGCAGTTTTTGAATTTTATTGCAAGATGCACGGTGAGATCGCGTGCTCTGTGACGTAGGATGACGCTTCCTGCATCACGATACGCGGCCAACGATCGTGAAAGTGCCCGGAACGCTACTCGGAACAGACCATGATGGCAGAGGTAAGATGAGCTTCATTTCCTGCTTGAACTGCTGAGTACCCCAACAAACTGTCCTAGGAGTGTTGCAATGGCAGCAAGCCGTTGAAATATGCCCCGTACAGCATGGAGAGTTATTCGTCTTTCACACTTACCTCCTGCAATCCCGAACATAGTCCAACAGTAAAAGTCCCTTGTTTTCATGTCGATGCTCGACAAAAGCGGATAGCTCGGTCCCTGTGTTGACTGGCACGCGAGTAGCACTGACTGCACGCACTTGTCGCGTGAACTGCATGTGAGATTTCTTACGTCATAAAGAATGTGATTTCAACATCATTTCACTGGTCTTCGACCTACAATAATCTACATGGTCAGGGAAAGTCCCGGTTCGTAGGCCTACAACACTCCCAGCGTGTTCTTGAGCGCAGTAACAACACAAGTGGGATGACTTCCAGACCAACGGGCGTTCAAGGCGAGTAACAAGCCCACTTGACGAAGGTGACTCTGAAATCTCGTGAGCCGTGGGCCACGCGACTTGGCATTCTTACGTCACAAGGCACGTGATTTCACCGTTCATCTTGCAATAAAATTCAAAAACTGCGCTCAGGCCTTCAGTCACTTTTGCATCAACAGTCGCACAAAAAATTATTGGTGGCGCAAGGAGAAGCTTGTCGTTTGGAGTGACAAGTGATCACCGCTGCTTTTCCTTGTCAGAGTCAAAACTACACTTTGTTCTGCGGCCTTGGGAGTAGTGTTGGAGTAGAAATTGCTGAGGAGACGTCGCGACGGGGCGAGCTTTCCTGCGCAGGTATGACTTTGGCCGTATTTCAGCATGGTCGAGTGGAAAAATTCAAAAATGTTTATTTCAATAAAACCCCAAAAGGAAGATGGGGGACATGTCCTCAGCGCTAGAAGAGGTGTTCTACTATCTGCCGGTGTATAGTTCTGGCCAATTGAGGACGTAGCTGGCTGTTTTGCCAGCGCTTGTAAATTGGCTATTTTCAAGACGATCATTTGTGGCGTCAGGGGGTGATGGACCTCGTCTTCTGGGATGCTGGCGTGGCTAAGCGGTACTGCTCCAGGAACTCTTCTAAGGTGAGGCAATGTTGGCTTGATGGAGTTTTGTTCATAGCTTGTTCGTATACGCTGTGGCGTGACTCGTTTCTAGACCCATAAATAATGTGATATTTCGGCCATTTTTGAGGGGTATGCAAATTTCAAGGTTCCCTTCAGAAACTTTTTCAAGGGCTTTGCACAGTCGACCCACACCCCAAAGGCAACCTACCTGCAAATTTTGAGCGAAATCGGAGAGATCCACTTGCACGCATACTTTGGTATTCTCAGACATGCTCTCTTAAGTATATAAATCCTGAAGACTATCGGCAATGACTCAATGATGCTGGCAAGACATAACTCGACCAAATGGTAATAGTATAGTGTAAGTCAAATCATTCTGCATCGGGCAATGCAGGACTGCCAGAAGAAGTTTTAGATCGGTCCGACCATCCTAGCCTTTCATACGTTGTGCACATGACGGGTATGCACATTACTTTCTCAGCAGTACACACACTTTGGTGAGCAAAAGGTTGGTCCAACCGGACCTGGCCTGGCCAACCGGACCAGTTCTGCCGGGCCTGCAATGCCAAAGGGCGCAGCGCCATGTCACTTACATGCATCTTCGCAGGTGCTCGAGCAGCCCTTTCGGCAGCAGGTCTCTCCTCGGCTGCAGTTCACGTTCGACACGCATTCCACTGGACAGCTGGGATCTGGATCCTCATAGATTGTCTCCGGCGGACACTGTGGCAGGTCAACCGCTGCAGTAACAAACATTGCAGATGGTTGTGAAACAAAAATGATACGAGCAGTGGACGTGGAGATACTAACTTTAAAATGTATACTTCAAGTACTTTGAGGTAGTAATCAGGAGTACCCAGACATCACTAAACACCACTAGTAATCAGGAGTACCCAGACATCACTAAACACCACTAGTAATCAGGAGTACCCAGACATCACTAAACACCACAGCACCGGCTGTAGTTTATAGTATAGTAGTTTTCGTCCAGAATTGCACTCCTTATAGCTATGATTAAACAATGATATGTTTGTGAGTTCAGCCTTGCTTGCTTTAGTAACTGTAAACACACTATACGTGCCCGGGGGCGAGTATATGGTACAGTTTTAACCACGTCTAGCACATTTTCTACAATTGAAATACCCAATGTTCTGCACAGAAGACTATTGGGGATAAGACACAGTGACACATGTACTGTATGTATTTGTCTGAAGGTCTGGAAATGTTCCAGGACTTACAACACCCCCCCCCCCCCCCCCCTCCACGCACATGCATACACACTCCACCCACTACCAACACACCCACCCCATATCAGTGACTATAATCACTGTAAGAGAGGCCATGCATGAGTGGCGTGCTGCCTGTATTGCGTGTACACTGCGTAGCATGGTGGGTGACTGCATGCTCAAGCTATGATGCAACGCATGTACTGTACTTACTCAGGATGCACTCTAGCTCCTGGGCTCGGTCCTGCAGAACAAAACGACAATGGCAAAACATGATTGTGCCAAGCACACAGTCATGGACGTTTCGTTCAAACGCTGCTTGACGTTCACACAAGTTAGGACAGCTTAGTTCCATTGCTAACTTGTGTTTTCGGCTCTGCCTTCGTGGCATCGAGCACTTTTGCAAGGGTTTAGCCACATGGCCCTGTGCTTGTTGTTCACGTATCTGTGATTGTCTGTATACTAGTAAGCAGTGTGTAAACCATGTCCCCGTTAGCGAATTACCTGAAAACGCACAGTTCCTCACACAGGATTCTCCATTGCTCAATTTTGAACGATTCATCAGCCTACTGTAACACCCAAAGCATAATGTCACACCCAGATTCCCCCTCCACATCTGCACATGTATTGTCTTTTGAACCGAAATTCCTGGTGCTGACACCTAACGTTTGCATTATCAACAACCTCATTTCTTTTCAATTACACTGGCATGATCACCGTTAGGATCCCGTGCGGTCTGGTGAGTGTGCGATGTGCGTGAAATTCCCAGCAACAGCACCATAGCCTAGACAGCTGTCCAGTGATGCCATGTCGAACAAAAAAACGTCAAAGACTCGCAATGCTATGCTCTTGGATTGGGGTAGCTTGTGAGCATTGTTGTGAGCTTACCTGTCTGTATTTTACTCTGCATCGACACTTCTCCTGATCCTCATCCACCCGACAAGACCACCTTCCGTCCTCACCGCATTCGCACCGCCGACACACAGTGGTGCGCTGTCGGATCTCGGCGGTTTTGACCCGCGTGAATGCTTCGGTGAACTGCAGCTGCGTGAAATCTCCACCCTCTCGCAGCAATCGGATGTCCCACGCGGCACCGCCAGTTTCCAACGCCAGTTCGGTGTAATCTTGTCGAGTGCTGCGATAGCCGGCTCCTATTCTGATGTTCTCCTTTGTCTGCTGGAAAGCATTGCCCTGTTCTAGGTAGGCCATGCCAAAGCTGTCCACTCCCAGGGCCCTGGAGTTGTTGTAGGCCTGGAAGTCATTGTCAATGACCACGTTCAGAGCGGCGCCTTCGGCCAGGATGCGCTGCTTAACTAGATCACGGGTGAGCGATGCTGCCTCCGCTAGTATGTCACGATCCTCGTCAGTTACCAGAATGATGTTGAGTGCGACCGATGAGGAGCCTCTGTGCTGTAGGTTATCCAATGCATGAATAATAGCCTGATAGCCATCTTCGATTCGTCCGTCGGAGCCACTTTCAAGCAGGTCGTTGACATACACATAGCCTTCAAAGGGTAAATACCCTACGCCTCTACTATCACGAAGTATTCTGGCTCTTGGGTTGGTGACATTCCTGCCGAAGCCCACCAGAGCGTAGTGGTTGCGTAACCCGGCGTTTGTTCCGATGCCATCACGCAGCAGGTTGTCCTCGAGCGTCTCCACCATGCCGGGCAGCCAGGAGTGTTCGGTGCTCATGCTGTCACTCTCGTCCACCACAATGATCACATCTGCAGCAGTGTCTGTGTAGAGTGTGTTGTCCTCGTACACTGTCTCACCCGCT